GTGGCGGCAATTCGACGTCTCGATCGTAAAACCCGCGTTTTAAACGGGGCCAGGTTATACACTATGTTTCGGGCGTAAATCATTCGGCCGGAATGTATTCATGGCCGAATTTTCTCGAGTCACATTCGAGAAGTACTTCAATCTTCCCTTCTTGCGGTTTAATAATAATGGTAATAATTTACGGGGGCAGGGGAGGGGGTAGGCGTTATTGGGAAAATCGGGATCTTTTGGAATTGTCGAAGTTTCATTCTTATTAAAATTACAACTTTCCATTCGCAGTGTCCTTTCATCTCTGCGATTTCTATTTGAAGACCACACAGAGGAGAAACACATACATACGTGTCCGGTTTCTGTTGATTTTCGGATTTTTATGCCATCTGGTGGTTAAAAGAGAGCAACGTAACCTAATAATTAAAAGAACAACCTGTCAAGTCCAAACTGATACGAGCCAAGGCTGCTTAAAAATAGGTTTCCAAGGAAATAATCTTCTGTAAGAAAATGGAAAATCGTGTTTTTCTTGCGTGGTCTTCAACTTGGTGTTGCAACTTTTGGAATTTCGACTTTCCGATTCCCTCTTTCGTCCACACGGAACCGCTACATTCCTGTTCCTGGGTGGAATTCTAACCACCACTCGAAGTTTTCTTGTACCGATTCTGTTCCAGTCTACTATTACCATCGAACAATACATACCTATTATGATTTCCGATTCGCGGAAAGTGTCCCGTGAGAGATTTATAGAGTTATTGTTAGGAGGGAGGCGCTTGGAGGACCTTAGAATCGTTGACCCATCACGGATCGATTAGACGTTCGACAATATACTATACGTAGTACGTACAGTGAACCACTGAAAAACTGTAGTCATTCTTTAAAACCTAAAGTCGGAGCAGTCGGTATATCTGCGTCACGCAGTATACGGGACAGATAACACGTACACGGTCGATAAGACTAGTTTTCCAATTGTTTGCCCTACAGAGGGACCAATAGGAAACCTATTTTTTTTCTCGGTGAACGTATTTCTATTGACGTCAGCGAGGAAACTTTCTACAGAAGCTTCAAGGGCTCGTTTCGTGCAGAGAAAATTTGTTTGTCCTCGAGGAATCCAGGACTTTAATATTGACGATACGACGAACATTTATCGGTTAACTCCTCGGCGCCGATAACGCCACGAGGTCACGGAACCGATTCGCAACCGCCTGGCATGATTCTATGTTGTCTCCCAGTACTCTTGCGACATTCGCCGTGATTGCATTTAAATGACCGTTTGTTAACTGGAACTTTAACTGGAATCGATTCCACGTCCCTTCGATATCGGAACAACGTTGCCCCCGGGAATCATGGACCGAAGGTAATGAAACGTGTTTCTGTTTGCGAATGTTCTCGAGTCCAGGCGACGATGGAATCCTTTTTTTTTTTACCAGAGTTTTTTTTTTTATCTAATAAACGTGACTGGAGGAACATTGATTGCTGAAAAACACCATCAGACACGACAACGATCGTATTACAATTGTGTTGTGCTACGTGGATTCGATTTCGTGCGCATGTCGCCCGTGAAAAATCCGCGCGTAGATTAGATTAGATTCAGCCTGTAGAACGAGTAGTTACCATGTCGATTAGAAGTTTCATGGAATTGTAATCGTTAAAAGGAACGCGGAAAATTTGATCGCTCCGATTTCTGAACAGACTTCCATTTTCCACTTTTCCGAGTAGAATACACCGATCGATGCATTTTGGCAGGAATTCCTTTTACAAGACCTGACGAATACTTTTCTGCAAATTTGTTAAATCGTTCTTTTAAAGGCTGTACGGTTTTTGTTAAAGAAATTTATCCTTGAATTCTCTTGAAGCGCAAGACTTTTCAAAAGAATATAGCTACACTTTGTATTAGGTGTGCTACTAAATAGTTCAGAAATTCTCTTTATTTATATAGACGATATGTGGATAAACGTCTCTCTGACCTTCCACCCAGTAAAAATGCCGTAGAACGTTGGCGAATTATTAAAGAAATATAAATCAAACAGATATTGACTTTTGGCTTTCAGAAAATCGAATATTGATTTCCTTAAGAATTATTCGGTTACTTATTAGAAGAATGTCTTAACACCAAATGCAATCCTTCTTGAAGAATTTATTACAAAAAGATTCGTTACATTTTGAAGAACACGTACGAAAAGAATTTCTTTTCACACTTTCTACACCTGGGGAACTCTTACGCAAATACAGAGCAAAGTAGAAGTTTCTAAACGGTGGACCAAAAGTGTCTTTCCAAGTTTCGATTGTATTCAATTGTATTCATTTGCATTCAAAATCTCACTCCAAACAATAATATTCTTCGTGCTAGAAGATTCTGTTTAAGAATAAAAAAAGAAAAAAATCGGTATCGAAAGCAATCTCTGGTTGAATCGATCGATATACTTTTTCGTCACCTGGCTCACCTGGATTCGCTTTGGTATCAGCGGTCGGATAAAGGAGGCGGTGGTCGAAGAGGAGAAGGAGATGGAGGAGGAGGTAGGAGAAGTCGCGTACAGTCCCGTGATAAACCGAAGGTGGACAGTGTTAAGTCATTCTTTAGTAGCCGTCGTAGGTGAATCGATCCCTCGGTCCCCGTCGCCGCGTCAGAAATCGTGGATCTATCCACCAGCGGACGTGTGCATATACACCTCGATCGACATCATCTACGAAAGATCAAAACTGTGACGGTTGTGTGGTACGATCGAACGCGAGGAGCACGCACGTTGTTGTATCGGATAAATCGGAATCGAGGCTGGATCGTTTCGCGCAGCTGGGTGGTGGCTCAGCGTTGATCTTCTTTAAGTGACCGTGTTCGTGACGCTGATCGATCTGTTTAACATAATCCCCTTCTGAAGCATATTGATAAACAACCTGTTGAAAGGGTCGACGAACGGAGTGATTGATAATATGTAGTATTAGGTTTTTTTTTTGGGGGGGGGGGAAGTGTTTCGCAGACTTACAGTGACTCACAAGTTTGTTCACGAAAGCCTGTCACTTCTGTTTGACCACTTATCGAAATACGAATTGATATTTCAAACTTAACTGTACAACAGGATGTTAAAACTTATTATAAGGAGAATATATAAATAGAAATTGCATAATAGTTTTCTGACATGAAATTGTTATTTCAGAAATCTGTGAACAAGTGTGTGTGTGTGTGTGTGTGTGTGTGTGTGTGTGTGTGTGTGTGTGTGTGTGTGTGTGTGTGTGTGTGTGTGTGTGTGTGTGCCGGTGATCATAGAAGTGATCTAAGTGAAAAATCGATAAAAATTAAATGTTACACTTATGCGGTATTACTAGGTGTACACATTAATTTCCCCGTTGCCTGACTGTAGTTTGTGGAGTAACATTGCAAAAGTGATCTCGTTCCCTCGAATACATCGGTATGTAACAAACGAATATTGGTGTAGATTCTTGATTAAACCGGACAATATGTTCGATAACGGTTAATCTCAAGTCGATAAGGAAGCAGGCGATTGTATTTTTCGCTATGGAACACTCGGTAGAATTCTCGAAAAATACCTTTAATAATAATAATAATAATAATAATAATAATAATAATAATATGTATTTTTTAACGGGTTATTAATCCTTTGGTATAATATACAAGTATATGAAAGTCTAGAGGACAAATATAATAACTAAGAAAGAAAGTTCAACACCATTTAATAAAAAATCGTGAATTCAAGGTCGTAATTTTTACGATAATTTAGTGATCTACGGTTGAAGAATAGCAACGAGCCGATTAATCGGTGCAATCTTCGAGCGGATCACGTACAACACCTAGAACCTTTTCTCGATTAATATTCCATCGTCGACACCTGCCTGAAATGATTTTTTATTTATCGACGACTCCACCACGGTTGGGCAATGATGCTGATTGGCGAACCGCATCGTTTAATTTTAAGAAACAAAAAGAAAAGAAGAAAAATAGGATTAATTGAAACAGAAATCGGTACCGGAATCGACTCGAGTTGTTGCGTAACCGTACATTTGTATTTTTGTTCCCGATTCGAAAAGAATGCTCGCACAAACAGTCGCTAGATGATCTAATCAACAAGACATAAAAAGGTCTTCTTGTGCAGGACTCAGATAACCGGCCTCTCTCTTTATCGATCGGGGCTAGATTACTTATATACTCTAATTCTTTTTCTTTCTTTTTTTTTCTTCTCCCCCTCGAAAAGTCCGACTACTATCTTTAGATGGTGATCCAATAGCAATATCGGACACTGGCGTTTCAGGTTTTTCACTTGTCGATCGCGAAATTGTTAGCAGCCGACATTGCCGTTACTTACGAATCGGATGACCGGATAAATATATACCGTGAAAACGAAAGCTTTTAACCCTTTCGATGTTTATGTCAAGTATACTCGTCATACAAAAGATGGCACTTTTTTGTTCAGTGACGCGTGTATAATACTCGTTGTTAGGCAGGAAAACGTTTGCATTTGCTATATAAAGTAAAGCTTAGGTAAAACAAGAAACATATATTCGTAATTTTAACACATTTTAGAATATTTCAGGACAAAAACAAAAAAGAAAAAAAATCACATGAAAAAACAGAAATATGCAACAGTATATTCAGGCTGTTCGATAAGTCAGTGAGTTTTTTTTCTAACAATAGGTGGCGCTCAAGTTGCAAAAATAATTTTGTCATTTTAGTAGAATGTATTTCAATTTCACAGCAAATGCATTTACTCTGGTTTTGTCGTGTGAATACTCGTCGTAGCTTAAAAACAATTAAACACACAAGTGTGCAGATTTTCAGAATGAAATAAAACACTTAAAGGGTTAAGGGATTGCTTTTCTAACGGTGTACTCGAACAGAGAGGGGAGTAACTGGCCGAAGATCGATTTCTGGATCCGTTGATCGAGATCAGCGTTTCCACACGTAGTTCCTCTATCTTATCTCGCGATCTAATGTTAGATTCCACCGAACAGCGAAGAGGTAGGGAGAACGCAACCGAGCATCAGTCGCGAGAGCACCAGCGTCGGTTCTACGGTTTAACGATAACAATAACTCGCGATCGCTTAATTAATCGGTTCGCTCTGAATGATCTACAGGAAGCAAGAACGTCGGTGAAACATGGGGTGAGTGTTTGACGATTACTCGTTGACCATTATTTGTTCGAATAAATTGTAAACAAACAGACCACCAAGTCAATTAACTTCAATGCTTTATGAATTTTTTGTAAAATTTTCGTTAGGTTGGTTACCACTTGATTGATTGGCTTAACTTTTAGGTATTTCACACATTAGGTCACCGATTGTTATTTAACCCCTTACGTAGAAATGACCATTTTTTTAAAAACCATAAAAATTTCTTCTAACTTGTAAAAAAAAGATTATTATGATATTTACACATTTTCTTGCCTTCTTTTCTTATCTATAAGCACTGAAATTTAAAAGTCTATTAATAGGCTACTGGTCAATAAGGTGTTAAAATACATTTGATCACTTTGACGAACCTATCGTAGAAATACCAATGGATCTGTTGAACAAGCAGTCCAGAGGGTCCACTTTGTACTGGATACATGGTGCAGCTCTGTTACGAATCAAACCAATATGTATATGTATGTTCCTACTGACAGTAGTGTATATTTTGGCTCTTTTGTCGAAAGAAAATAAAGATTTATGCTTCAGATAGAGTATATACCATTTGATTGGAATGAATGATATTCGGTTAATTTTGTGAACACAAAAAAGTGGTGGCGGGGTGGGGAGTGGAGGGGGGGGGCGAAGATAAGAGCGTTACAGCAACGTCAACAATTATACTAGAAACGTAGATACCAAAGGGGACAGACAATGTATGACCATGCGCCAACGCACATGCAAATGTTTACTCGCACTGTTAATGTATTTTACAAACAAATATTTGGTATAGTTATCTACGATGGACTAGGTTCCATTGGACAAGCGTACAAGAAGGAGCCGTTTTATAACGAAATGCAGTACGCCTTAGAATTCGAACAAAGGGAATCTTCCTGTATAACCATCCCTCTGAGATCTTTCTTCCTCCCCACCACGGATGGAGCAACCCTTACGACGCAACATGGAGGGACGAAAATGGCCCCTCGGGCAAACCGTATACTATAGTATACATATACCTGATCGGTTATTGGACCTCGTCTACCTGAAACGCGTTCCTTTCTCAGTCTCTCGCTGAACGTTTTATCGAAGTGCAGAGAATATTCGTATAACCTAACTGTGATCGAACGACCGAATTTCGTCGTGATTCTGTACCAAGTTACGTGAATATTACCGTAAGTGATTCAACCGATTTTAGTTACCATTTTTGCTGTGATGCTCTTCGACGCTGCACTCTGATATTTTATCGATCACCAACATCCGTTAACGCCAGTCCAGTATCTAATCTGGATGCTTTCTCGGCCGCGACTCAAACGGATCAAATCAATTGGGGCTCACTTACGAATTTATTTGTGAGAGATTTGTAGGAGAACAATAGGTGTATCGGGCTGATTGCTCGGCTTATTATGCGAGGACCGTTATTCGTTGAAAGTGTAACGGTCGATTTCGATTCGAAAAGTTTCTATAGGCTCGGTTAACATCAAAGTACCCAAACTGATTCACTGTTACTTCGATTTCTTTAGGATTTCGCATGTTTCATGTCTCGTGATACCCAAACCTACATCGTAATTGTAATTACAGTTATTTAAAGATTGCGACTCTTGAGGGAAAAATATAGCGTACATGGATTTAATTTTGTTGAAAATGATTACCAGCGACATTTTCGTAGAAAGAATGAACGTTCGAAAAATTCCGCCAATAATCGAATAATATTGATTTTTCTTTTATTTCACAAAGCACGTCGGTAGACTGCGGACGTTCATGCATTTCTTGTTACTTAATTAGTAGTTAGTTAAACTTCTTTTGAGGGAAACTTAAGGAACGTGGTTTCCGATCGCGCTTGAATCCTCCCCTCAAGCGATCGATGATCACAGATTTTCCATCGTGCGATCACTCGACGGAACGAATTCAACGTTCCGCCGCTTCCGATACTTTCTCCTCTTCGTTCGGTAACGTCGATAGATGGAAACATCGATGAACTCGCAGCTCGATCGATAATCATGGATTTTCCATCGTGCGATCACTCGATGGAACGAATTCAACGTTCCTCTCCGCTCTACCGTTCTTCCGATGTTTTCTCCACTTTTCATGAAAACGATCGTCGACGCAATACACGTATTATTGATAGACCGCGGATATTATGCATTCAGTTATTATTCTCTTTGGAACCTGATATTTATTTCACTTTCCATGTTCCGTTAAGGTTAAGTAAATTAACCCCCCTCCCGAAAAATCTATATTTGCATAAACATATTCGCAGTCCAATTATCGATAATCCCGGTCTCGAAAATCGTCTCTGGTCACACGATACGCGAGAAAGCGCGCTGGTAGCGTTCACCGACCGCGCCGGAAACGAAATCAACACCCTTCGAATCTTCGACTGTAGCTTCACGCGATCGGTGTCGATTTTCCGCGTGCGGTCGGCGTGTCGCGGCTCCCGGGACACAGATACGCAAAAATGACCACGGAACCAGAAGTATTCAGACAGTCGCGTGTTTATGCTTTCGACGTTTTTTTTTTTTTTTTTTTTTTTTTTTTTGCAATCATCGACAGCAACCCGCGGATTTCACTTCCGTTTTCTTGCGGAAAATCTACGTAGATCTTGACAGAGAAGCACCACTAAACTACCTGAAATGTATCAAGTTATTTGTTTCTTAATTTAATGTAAATGAACGGGCATAACCCTATTTGTACAAAGCAGTTGTAATAGAATGGAAATGAACAGCGAACTTTGTGCGATTGTATGACGGGAGTGGGATGAAATAAGGTACAGTTACGTTATACGTATAGTAATTTGTGAAATTATCTAGACGTGTTATCTATTAACAAACTGCTAGGAAGTTTATGCAAATTCAAAATGTTGAGGAATACTATAAATGCGTAAATATCCACGGTCTATTTATTAATGTCATTAAATAACTTCATTATTATTAATATTAGATATTATATGTAATAATAATAATAATACAGTTATTAAATTGTTGTATATTATGTAATACTAAATAAATTATCATAAAGAGAGAAAATATATAAAAGAAGAGTGTGGTCCTTTGGAGGCAAATTATCGTCTCCAGAATCTGCTTTATCGGTGGGTCACCGACGACCCACAGCCACAGCCTTTGTAACACGACGTTTGTTATCGGTGTATTTATTAATCGATGATATTTACAGCGAGGAACGCGTGGTCTCGGACACTGGAGGTGGGGCGAGCAGGTCCGCCGGCAGACCGGAAGTCCTCAGGAGCAACCACGATTATTTACGCGGGAAGATGGAACGTGGTCTGCACGAGCGTGACCGCGTCGGCGTTCAGGACTACGTTCTACTCGAGGACTTTCAAAACGAGGCGGCGTTCATCGATAATCTACGGAAACGTTTCAACGAGGACCTGATTTACGTGAGTGATAATCGACGATACAGTAGACTCCTGTTTGATCGGCCCTATGGCCGGCTAATTCCATACGTATCACTTATCACCTTTCTATGTAGGAGCAGAGAACGGATGAAATTACATATTATGAACATTTGAAAACTGCTACTCATTTAAAGTTTGATCAAAAATTGAATTGAAAATTCACACGAATAATGATACCTTCTTTATTACAAAATATGTTGTTATGTTTTTAGTGACATAATATTATGAAATTTACCTTAAGATAAATTTTGCCGTTTCCCTGACTAATAACCTAGCTACGCCCAGATCTGCGTTTCTGTTACTTTGCGCTCGAGTCTGCCGACAGTTCGCTAATTTAATTATCCGTACTTAAGACGAGCGATCCCGGATGTGTATGCTTCGATAATGGTATTAACAAATCCAGCAACCCCCTTTTTTGGGGGAGAGACAAGTGGTTTCATCTTTTTGTGCGATCATTCGCTTTCTGGGAATAATTAAGTAAAAACTCCCGTTTTGCAGACATACATTGGCCAGGTGCTCGTGTCCGTGAATCCTTACAAGAAGCTACCGATTTACAGTAAGGAAACGATCCAGTACTATCACGGAAGAAACTTCTTCGAGGCACCACCGCACATGTAAGAAGCAATTGGAACTTTTTTCTTTTAGTAATATCGTATGAAAATATTCTGTTTCGTGACGGTTAATTCATGAAGAATATAATTTCTTTTTTAGTTTTGCACTGGCGGACACCGCGTATCAGTCAATGTTGAAGGAGAGCTTGGACCAATGTATCCTCATCTCAGGTATTATTCGTTATCATAGTTAGTAATTATTTTGGTAAGGACGTACCACTACGTCATCCGACATCAAAGTGTTAACATACTTAATGTATATCCAAAATAGAACGGTAAAAAGAATTGTCAAGAAACTTCCACAAATAACCCAAAAGTTCCGTAAACTCGTCGCGGACTTTACGATCTGACTGTGGTCCCTCGGTACTGGATGGTTAATTTAGACTATCATGTAGCAGTAAACGATGTCGGTATGTAATGTCGTTCGTTCCAATTGCGTAGGCGAATCCGGTTCAGGGAAGACCGAAGCTTCGAAAAAGGTCCTGGAATTCATCGCGGCGGCGACCGGTCACAAAAAGCAAGTGGAGGAAGTAAATGATAAATTGATCGGTAGCAATCCCGTGCTCGAAGCTTTCGGAAACGCGAAAACTAATCGCAATGATAACTCGTCCCGTTTCGGCAAATACATGGATATCCAATTTAACTTCCAGGTACAAACGACAGAACAACACATATCATTTCTTAATATTCCTCCCTATCTGCGTACGTTGTATCGTCATCCTAACTACGATACGGCGAATCGTATGGTCATGGATTCGTATTATTATATGTATATACTATATACATACATATATGATTTCGTTTCTGTCATTCAGGGAGATCCGATCGGTGGTAACATTTTGAATTACCTGCTCGAAAAGTCGCGAGTGGTCCATCAATTCTCGGGTGAACGGAATTTCCATATTTTCTATCAGTTATTGGCCGGTGCCGGAGACGACACGTTGCAGAAATTATTCCTTAAACGAAATTTGGACACGTATTATTACCTGAGCAACGGTGTAAGCGAGATCACACATTTAATGTAACGTTTGGTTAACGTTATGTTCCAAGTAAAGGTCACGTGTTTCCGATTGATTTCTAGACGAAAGGTACGATAGACACTATCGACGATGCGAAACAGTCAGCAGGAACAGGATGATTTATTCGCCATAGTCGCGTCGGTGCTGCATATGGGAAACATCGGTTTCACGGAGGAAGATGGAGTTGCAAAAATTTTGAAGCCAGCTTCCGTCGAAGCTGTCGCCACCGTATGATTCTTTATTGAAATATCTCTTGGACCACTGCTTACAAAGCGGTACAACAGCGGTTGTCGGATCGCTCAAGGTCACTGTGAAGCTATCCCTGTTATGCTTGTAGGCTATATGTATACCTGTACTTCGTCTCTTAAACAATGGTGATACGATGTAAATCACTGAGAGCTTCATTGATTCTTGACCGCCCCCCAGGCACACAATGTTATACGGCAAGAATCATTGGAGGCTGTTTATACGTCGTAGTTGGGACAAGTGGCCTTGAGTGCTGAAAGTAATCTTTCTTTTTATTTGAATGGATCAAATTGATTCGCAGCTACTGGGATGCAACGTGAAACAATTGGCGGATGCATTCACACACCGCACAATAGACGCTCGTGGCGACGTGGTCGTTTCTCCGTTGAACAGAGAGTTGGCGATTTACGCGCGGGATGCGCTGGCCAAAGCCGTGTACGACAGATTGTTCACGTGGCTGGTTACCAGGTTGAATAAATCATTGCAACCGGTCCACGATCCACCGCGGAAGATGGTCATAGGAATCCTTGATATTTATGGCTTTGAAATCTTCCAAAAGAATAGGTAACGCCGAATTCTGAAACCAGATTCGTAATTTTGATAACAATACTTCATCGTGAATCTTGCTCTACAGCTTTGAGCAGTTCTGTATAAATTATTGTAACGAGAAATTGCAACAGTTATTTATTCAATTGACACTGAAGTCCGAGCAAGAGGAGTACTTACGGGAAGGAATTACCTGGGAGAATATTCAATATTTTAATAACAAAGTTATATGCGATTTAATCGAGGAAAAGCATAAAGGTCTGCCGTATTTCTCGTTTTTTGACGGACGTTAATTGAATGATTTCTTAAATGACTGTGGAATTTGGTTTTATTTCATAGGAATAATATCACTGATGGACGAAGAGTGTCTCCGCCCCGGTGACCCGACCGATCTGAGCTTCCTGGAAAAGTTAAATGTCAATCTAAACATGGTCAGCAGCCTATGTATTTCCATTGCAAAAGGTTTATAGTTTTTAGCTTTTCAACATAATTGTACATTATAGGAATTCAGATTGGTGCATTATGCTGGAGATGTAACGTACAATGTACGCGGATTTCTGGAAAAAAATAATGACTTGCTGTTCAGAGATTTGCGCGAAGTAATGTCACACACAACAAATTCAATCACCAAGGTATTTTCCTGGCTTTAATCAGAGTTACAGTCAATATACAATACTTTATTCCATTACTCGAGTAAAAATGTATGATTTTTGTAGAATGTATTTGATGTGAAAGATTTAACTAGTAAGAAGCGACCGGATACAGCTATCACACAATTCAAAAACAGTCTGAACAATCTTGTGGATATTCTTATGGGCAAGGAACCATCTTACATTCGTTGTATCAAACCTAATGACTATAAAACGCCTAGTATGTTACATTTATTATATCACTTTTAATAGTCAAAGAACATTTCTTCTCAGTTGTAAAAAGAATTCTATTTTCAGAACAATTCAATGATAAGATTGTACTTCATCAAGTGAAATATCTGGGTCTTATGGAGAATTTACGAGTTAGGCGAGCTGGTTTTGCCTACCGAAGGCCATACGAACAATTCTTACAACGCTATAAATCCCTGTGTCCACAAACCTGGCCCAACTATCACGGCACAGCAAAGGATGGTGTACAAACTCTAGTGTGCTACCTTGGTTTTGAACACGACGAATATAGGATGGGCAAGTAAGAGTCGTTCATATGATAAATATAATCTCAACGTCTTGTGTATATGTATGTGTACGAATGGATATTTCGCAAAGTGGGTACAATTTTCTGTGCAGCACAAAATTGTTCATTCGATTCCCTAAGACGTTATTCGACACAGAAGATGCCTTCCAAATGAAAAAACACGACATAGCTGCCATCATTCAAAGTAAATGGAAATGTATATTAGTAAGACGAAGGTACTTGAGAATGAGAAAAGTGGCAATCGTCTTACAAACGCATATTCGAAGATGGCTTGCGAGACGCGAGGCTGAAAGAAGACGAAGAGCAGTCATTACCATTCGAAGGTACTATAAATCAACTTTACTTGCTTTCTAATTATTTTACAGATCATCTATGAGCCTAAACGATTTTCTGTAGATTTATTAAAGGATTTATCACACGAAATGGACCCCCAACTGAGATAAATATGGCATTCATTGAATTAGCAAAATCCCAGTGGTTAATCAAGCTCTCTAAAACACTTCCTCTTGGCGTGTTAAACAATTACTGGCCTCCCTGTCCATACTCTTGTCGAGAAGTACGATAATATGTCTATGAATTTATCGGTCTATTTGTACATGTGAATCTTTTCCGTAAAAAAATGTAATAATAATTCGTTGCAGGCCTCCGAACACTTGCGCGTTTTGTATAAAAAATGGAAGGCGCGTAACTACAGATTGGCCTTGTCAAAAGAAGATAAGGAACAGTTTGAATTGAAAATTTTAGCAGAATCTCTGTTCAAAGGGAAAAAAAAGTCGTACGCGAAGAGTTTAGGACCAAGATTCCAAAACGATCGGCTTGGTGCGGAACACAAAGCGTTAAGACAGAGTTTCGTTAGCAATATTCTTCCTAGAGATGAAACTATAAAAGTAAAATAGTTTTCACCATCTACTTGCATCTTCCAAAATAGCTATGATATGTAATATATTCTTCGTCCCTTTTCAGTACGCGAATCCTGTCATTAAATATGATCGGCACGGATACAAGTCCCGTGAAAGGGTTTTAATTTTAACAGAAAACGCAGTATACATTTTAGACACGTTGAAAACTTTTAAACTTAAGCACAGACTTCCTTATAAATCTATAGAAGAATTGGTGGTTACCGGTGAATCGGATAACCTATTGATTGTGAGGATACCACCAGAACTGAAGAAAGATAAGGTTTGTTACTGTTGTTTTCTTAGAAGAATTACTTCACGTCATTACTACATCGTATCTTACAGGGTGATCTAATACTGGAGGTACCACATATAATAGAAGCACTAACAAAAGCAATTGATGTCACCAACAATCCAAATATTCTTAAAATTGTTCACACAGAATCGTAAGTACAGTATAATTATGGGAAAATACAGATACTAATAATGATTTATATTGCATTTTAGGGTCTCACACAAACTAGTCAGTGGTAAAGAAGGTGTAATTGAGTTCAGAACCGGTACAACACCAGCCATTAGTAAAAACAGACAAAGTGGACATTTGCTGGTGGTAAATACAAACTCTGCTGCATAAAGTTCTTAATATGAATTATAGTTTTTTTTTCGTATTTACACATAATATTCTAGGTGGCCTCTCCATGATATCACGGAGAAATTTTGAACAGAAATTATTATGTTCTTAGAAGGAAGTGTTCAACACGAGAAGTATGGTAGGCTTGTGATCTAGAGCAGAAAATTGTTAAGAAGAAAATAATATATTAAAATTTATTATATTTGTTGAATGAAACTCGCAGTTTTGTACCTTGTTAAATGGTATCAATTTGTAAAATATTTTATGAAGTAATGTTTATTTTTGTAATTACTGAATTATCAGAAAAGTGGACAATTTCAAAGTGGTATGGATTGTCCAATAGGAAAGAATCAGTGCCTTCTATGAAATTATTGTTAACTGATCGCACAAGATAATAATTTATTATTAGGTATCTTACAGGTGCACTACAAAAACAACCTATTCCCTTTTTCTATATTTATATTATGTAAGTCACTGTGCCATTGATAATGTTTCATGTTCAGAATTATCTTATCGAATATTGACAATATAGAATTAAATTGAACTATTAACCTTAAGTCTTAAACAACGAGTGGATTTTACTAATCTTTCTTACCATAAAACTGTCCTTATTCTGAAAGTCAATTTTGAATATGAGTCTTCGTTTATTTGTTTGTTGTGTATGTAAAATATTTAAAAAACACATTGCTTAATTATTGGAAAGTACAGTAAAATTTTTGTTTCTTCATTTTTTTCGTCATTACTTCTATTTCACGGTGATATTTATTTGAAATAAAAAGAGATTAAGTTGTAAAATATAAGATTCTTTCATTTTTCCTTGTATAATACAAAATTATTTTGTATAGACACTTTAATCTTATCTGTCATTAATACTTATCTCGAAAAGAAAAGTGTCTTTTCCTTAATACTAACATACAAACAGTGTATTTCATTATTTTTTCTTTGAACTAGAAGGCTCCTTCTTTGTGAGAGACTTCTTCCCTTCCAAAGCTTTCTCTCGTAATTCATCTTCCATGGCTTTATTAACTGTTCGGGTGATCATTTGTTTCAACTTGTGTGCATCTTCCACCTGTTTCTTTTTAGGCTGAATTGGTGCGTCTGCAAATAATAAAATTATCACTTACCAGGGTTGGTTAAATTTACGGATCTATTTATATATATCTTCACACAGATCTATATATACAGTAAATCACAATATATATATATATATTGTAAATAGCAACTTTTAAGTACACCTAATAATAGAATAAAAAAATAATTACGTATAACTTACTGTTTCTGCGTTGAATGGCAGGACTTTTTTTACTTTTCTCTTTAACTTTTCCCTTCGTCGATGAAGGTACCTTAGTTTTTACTTTTAGTTTTCCCTGGGGCATTTTCTAAACTTTCAACAATATTTTTTTTACCACTGAACACAAAGTACACAACACGTGTTTCACAAACCCACGTAATTTAACCTTAACTACTCTTCATTCTAAATAGAGAATAACATAGCCAGTCACAACAAAACCACGTGACTCTTACAAGGACGTTACGAAAGTTCCATTTTTATAAATTAATTTTTTATGTACTTATATTATATACAAATTAAAGAATGGAGAACGACATTTAGAAACAATCTACGGAAAATTATAAATTCAATAAAAGCGGCCTTAGATACTTATTTAACTTAAATTCTACTTATCTATATGATTCTACATATACTTGTACTGATACTTCTACTGATACTTTTGTTTCGATACCGCGTAAGTATCGATACCATCATACATCAATTCGACCCTACCCGTGATACGCTTCTCGGTTAGGTCACATTTGAACAGCTCTTAGACTGTTATAAGGGTAGCTTTCGTCCAGACAAAGCACTTGATTTGTAGCTGGAGGAACGTAGATTGAACCACTGTCATTGATAATAACAATAAACGACCAGAACACTGTTAAATTCGCATTTAATCGCGGAATACCACTATTTTTTCGACCGGTGGCGCCACCCGTGGCAATTCGCTCAAACTGCTAGCCAAATCATACCGACAGGAGAGTGAAAATTCCTAATGTGGGAAAAATGCGAATATCTCAGTAATTAAGCGCTTGAAATGAACGTCATTGGTCTCAAATTGTTCCTCAGCGCTTAATGCATCGATCCAATAGTCCAGAACCCCAGAATAAGTAAAATTAGTTATGCCTGTATTAACGTTGACCCTTATGGAGCGGCAATCCTAATTGCAACAAATTTCGATTACATTTTCACCGTTGAACGGGCATCATTTTTCCTCGTCACGCTTTAAATTTGAAGTTTTAAGATTGCAGATAAGTACTCTCTAGCGTCTGGGACCCAGTAATTACAAGAACATTGTTAAAATCTCAATTGTTTGCAACGGTTGACACTCTATCACGCGATGCGTACCCAGTTTAGTTCACTTTAAATAGCCCTTCCAACGTTCTATGGACAAGTTACGTCTTGATCAAGCATTCCGTTTGAAGCTGAAAGAACGTAGATTAATCTCCTGTAATTGAAAATAACAATAAACAACCAGAACATTGTTAAAATCGCATTTAATCGTGGAGTACCACTATTTTTTCGACCGGTGGCGCCATCCGTGGCGTAACGCTGAAACTGCTAGCCATATAATTGGTTAGTAGTTTCAGCGATTCGCCACGGATGGCGCCACCGGTCGAAAAAATAGTGGTACTCCGCGATTAAATGCGATTTTAACAGTGTTCTGGCCGTTTATTGTTATTATCAATAAGAGTGGATTAATCTACGTACTGTCAGCTACAAATTGAGTGCTTCAGCTAAACGAAAGCTGTCCGTATAACGGTGTGCGAGCTGTGTAAAGTGAACTAACCGGGGTACGCATGACGAGATACAGTGTCAACCGTTGCAAATAAATTGCGATTTTAACAGTGTTCTGGTCGTTTATTGTTATTTTCAATGACAGGAGATTAATCTACGTACTTTCAGCTACAAATTGAGTGCTTCAGCTAAACGAAAGCTGTCCGTATAACGGTGTACGAGCTGTCCAAAGTGAACTAACCGGGGTACGCACGACGAAATACAGTGTCATCCGTTACAAATAATTGTGATTTTAACAATGTCATTGTAATTTCTGGATTCCAATCGTTAGAGAGTACTAATGTACGTTCTTTGGACTTCGAATCTAATGCGTGACGAAGAAAAATGATGCCCGTTCAGCGATGTTAATGCGACCGTAATCTGTTGACATTAGGTTTGCTGCTCCATAAGGATCTGCGGTAATACAGGCATAAATAATTTTCCTAATTCTCAGGTTCTGCAGTATTGAGTCGTTGCAGTAAGTCCTTAGGAATAATTTGAGACTAACATCGTTCATGTGTAACGTCTAATTAATGAGATATTCGCATTTTTCCATCACTAGGAATTTTCACTCACCTGTCGGTATGATTTGGCTAGCAGTTTGAGCGATTCGCCACCGGCGGCGCCACCGGCCGAAAATAGTGGTATTCCGCGATTAAATGCGAATTTAACAGTGTTCTGGTCGTTTATTGTTATTGTCAATGGCAGGGGATTAATCTACGTTCTTTCAGCTACAAATCGAGTGCTTTATCTAGACAAAAGCTATCCGTGTGACGGTGTAAGAGCTGTCCAAAGTGAACTAAACGGGGAACGCACGACGAGATACAGTGCCATTCGTTGCAAATAAATGTGTTTTAACAATGTTCTAGTAATTACTGGTTCCCAGCCGCTAAACAGTACTAATCTACTTTCTTAAAACTTCGAATTTAAAGCGTGATGAAGAAAAATGATGCCCGTTAGCGGTGATAATGCGATCGAAATCTGTTGCAATTAGGGTTGCCGCTCCGTAAGGGGCTGCGGTAATACAGGCATAACTAATTTTACTTATTCTGGGGTTCTGCACTATTGGATTGATGCTATTATTTTCAATTCTTTTTTGTTAAGAAGTAACATAGAAAGATACTGAAATGACTTCAGCAAAAGTAAGTTGCAGAAATAAATAAAAAGAATGTTCGATTAAGTTGATATGTCATGTGCACTGTAATTTCAGATTGAATTTGCGGTGAACATGACTTGTCAAAAATGCGTTGAAGCGGTACGCAACAGTTTGGCTGGTGTGAATGGAATTGAAAATATTGATATATCGTTGGAAAACGGAAATGTTGTGGTGCAAACAAATTTACCGTATTCTGTAATTCAAGAGAAAATTGAACAATCCGGGAGGAAAGCTGTCTTGAAAGGATATGGAGGTAAAAGTATAAAAATACTTAATTATAAAATACCGTTATACTGATAATTATTCAGACTATATTTCTCTGTATCTAAGACTGTACTTCACGTCCATATTGTATCTTTTATTCATCTGTTCAAATTTCAGAAAATGTTAGTGCTGTGGCAATGTTAGGAGGAAATTCAGGCTATAGTATTAACAACAAGGTAATGGGTGTGATAAGATTTACACAGACTCTTGATGGGTGTGTTATAGATGGTACAGTTGATGGTTTAAATCCTGGAGAACATGGCATACATATACACGAATGTGGTGATATTTCTAAAGGCTGTGACAGGTAAATATTTGCACGTACTACCTCATCTGTTAAAATTTTTTTTGCATACATCACCTATTACGCTTTTAGCGTTGGAGAACATTTCAATCCAAATAATACAATACACGGTGGACCTGATGATGATGTACTTAAACGGGTAAATATTCAAGATCAAGTCAGTATACTTGGTAAAAGTGATGCAGTGTGGTTATATGTAAAATTTCCATTGATACCAGTAAAATAATTCTGGTAACTAACAACAGTTTTGTTGCTAGTAGAACTACATATTTTCTAATGAATTGCAGCATGTAGGAGATCTTGGTAATATAACAGCAAATGATGTTGGTAGAGCTACCTTCCGAAGAATAGACAAACTTATAAATGTAACTGATATTATTGGAAGATCCCTAGTTATAACAGAAAATCCAGATGATTTTGGGCAGGGAAATGCTCCGGATTCTAAATTAAATGGAAACAGTGGAAATAGGTAGATCTCCTGTTATACTTGTAATAATTAATAATAATTATAACAGCTTATGAAATAGACAACTTATTTAACGTTTCTACAGATTAGCTTGTGGCATTATTGCTCGTTCGTCTAGTTTGTTTCAAAATTTCAAGAAGATTTGTGCTTGTGATGGGCTCACACTGTGGGATGAAAGAAATAAAGCACTTTCCAAGAAACAAGAATCTAATAGTTACTCTGGAACAAGTAATACTTGTATGGTATCTTAAATGTGTCCAATATTATATAGAGTGATTGGCTATTGGTATCAGAATCTTTAAGGGATGGTTTTACATGTCAAAATAAAATGAAAAGCATGAATGACATAGCTTCGTTTTCAAGTTGTTAACAGGACTATCTTCTTGTGACACTTCATAAAAAAGCACACACGAATCGTTGCGACGACATTAAACCTGGTTACTCGTTTATATCCACAAGAGAGTACCACAGCATATTTACACACAGAGTAAGCACTAAACAAACTAACTTAAGCTAAAATAAAACTCACTTGACATGTAGAGTCACCCCCTAGAGTTTCTGACATCGGTAGCTGAACACCCTGTATAGTATAAAAAGAAATGTAGTACCTAATTCAAGTTTTATATTCGTGTAATAGTCTCATCATGTTCATAAAAATCGAATGTTTATTTTTTATTGCATGTATTCTGCGAATGTAAATTGCTTGTTTAAAAAAATAGTATCACATTTTATTTAATCTATGGGCTACACTTTATTTATAATGCACAGAGTATATTTTTATATATACCAACTGTTAATAAAATGCAACGTTTTCTCATTTTTCAGCAAAATTGTAAATAATATCAAAAGGAGACACATATTGGATTTTAAATCATAAACATCTGAAACATTCCCTTGAGACAGTGTATACACGGTGCAAACAGTGCTTTGCATTTTTTTACAATATGTAGGTTTTATGTTGAAGTTTAATGTAAATAATTTTATAAATATATTTTGCTATATTATTACGAAATATTTTTATATGCATATGAAAGTAAGATGTAATGAATGTAACGGTGCAGTGTTACATTTATAACACAAAAAGTATTTAATTAAAAAATGAAATAATTTCAGAATTTTTTTAAGTATTATTTATTTTTATAATGTCTATCAGTTCTGAGTATAAACATTTATGTGATGTAATGCAAAAGGGCAATAGATGTATTAAAGCTGCTATTTAATACACCATTGGGGATCATTTATGCAATACTTTCAACTATGTAAAATGTGTAAATACTTTAACTATAAGTAAACAATAATATATAAATAAATCCTTGATCACCAGCATCAAGAATGTCTTGAATCATTTAAATGTACATTAACAGTACTTAATCGTATTTGTAACATATCCTTTCCCTTTTTCCAATTATCAAAAGTGGAAGCTGACGAAGTGCATTAGAATTCACACATGAAAGAGTATTGACACAGTCTCTACTAATTTTGTTAGAATCTAATTCTTCTTGCTGAGAAGGTAAACTTTTCTGTGGTGAAGTTTTACAAGTGAAATCTCTCTTATCCTCATTAACCATATTCTGTAATGCGTATCCCTTTTCAATTAAGAATTTGTGAAGATCCACTGCAAAGTTTTGTTCACTCACATTATCTGTTGGTAATTTTTCACCAGAGACATTCAGTTCTCGAATACCATGACGTGACTTAAACTTCTCTAACCAACCACTACTTGCCTTAAAGTTTGGATTCCCTTTTAATTTTTCATTAAATTCTAATGCCTTCTCGCACAAAATAGGCCCAGTTATAGGCACTCCTTTCTCTCTATTTTCCAGAAACCACTGAAAAACAGCGTCATCTACGTTTTTATTCTTTGGCACCATCATGCTTTTTCTGTTATTAGAAACGTCCAAAGTGTCTGCTTGTAACAGATAATTTTCAATGGCATCTTTCTGATTTTTAATGCCAGTAATTGTAGCCTTTCCAATACCATATATTTTCGCTAATTTAGCCGCACTCTCGCCGTTCTCCAGCTTTTGAATAATCTCGTGTTTTGTTTTTATACTCAACACTACACGTTTCCGTTTCGACGCCATTACTATAGGGATAGGTTACGCAGGAAAACACTCATTAATTAATAACGTAAATTATATTAATGTATGTATAGGTTTTTGTATGTTCACAGAAATAAGTTTATTTCGATTCTTACCCTATGATCCACATTTATTCGTTTTTATCTTTGTTGATTCTAATCGAGTAATTAACCAAATTGTACTTTGATCATACTGCTTTTTTAAATTAGCGTACTGATGTTTCAAATCGTACGATCATTAAAATATTCAATTCAATTATTTTACAATATTTCAAACACTTGGCCATTTCTATTTAACACATCTAAAGCGCGAATAACAAAATGTTCGAATAGTGATGCATTCCGGCTGATTCCGGCTAGCGGAAGTTTCAATGATCTTGTAGAATTTACTCATAATTACTCAATTTATGAATAAACTGAAACACTTAAGGACTATCACTGATTAATGATGTGAAATATATTAATTCATTTCTTTTCCTTATATTTTATATTTAAGTGATAATCTATGCAGAGAATGCAAACACTCATGATACTGACTACATAGTAAGAGATATGTAATCATGAACTGTCATGAACCAATAACTGCTGAACTGCATTATAAAACTATGAATCATATTCAAAACCAAGCAAAAACGGGGACACAAATTTCTTTTGCTTTAAAATCAGAAAATAACAGGATCAGAATATACAACTAATATAAAAGTAAAATAGAGTAGGTAATTGAAATCGTGTATTATTCATTCAAGTCAAATGGAATTAAGAATGGAGCAAAACACAATAACAATGGCGGCGTATTTCTTTACTTGATACAACTTGATGGATCACTCATCGATACTGTTGAATACCATAGATGTGGTACACCGTACCTAATTTATACATATATATATTTAGGTCAATTTAGGTATAATCTATAGGTTACCTATACTTATACTGTGTCGATACAATTTACGCCAGATAAAACAACGAGCATGAAGGTTATTTTTTCCATTCTTCTAAATAAAAGACTGTACTAAGGTCCTGTACCTTTAAATTAGTTTAAATGATAAAAAATTTGATACTGGATTTCTTTCTTTTATTAATTAATAGTACAATACTCAAATGCAGTTTATAGAAGACCGATTTTGAGTGAAACTGCATAGGTTAACTTTGTCAATGCACACTTGATTAATGCCATGTATGTAATATATATATATGTATATACACTAAAAACCAAATAAGACCATAACTGCGAAATGACGAATTTCGGTCTTGTTTGCGCATATTCCTCTCGGTTACCTTAGTTACCAACCTCTTAAACAATTGAGCATCATACACCGAGTGACTGTGAAGTACAAACGTGCCTATTTCATAAGTATTTATGCTTGAGAAATACTTCATTATGTCACCCGGTGTATGACAAATTCTATCGTCCCTGTACAGAAAGCGAGAAAGTGGGGGAACCAGGGGTTCGAGAGACCTCTCCTGCTCATTCGAAATGCGCGAAACAGTTATGCTCTTATTTGGCGTTTAGTGTACATACATATTATAGTATATATATTTCTATTACAGAAGTCAACTGAACATTACCGGCAAACTCTATTTGTATATAAATAGTATTTGACAGAGCAACTAAAACGCATATAAATAAGACGATATCGAAATGGGTATTCCAGGTCTAATGACTTTTGTAAACAATCGATCGGATCGTTATTTACGGTATTACGAGCTACATGATACGTATTTGGTAATCGACGGTAGTAGCGTCGCTTTTCAGATATACAGTTTATACGCCAACTTTAATTGTACGTTTGGCGGTGATTACGATAAATATGCACAATGCGTATCAAAGTTCTTCGATGAACTATTACAATGCAATGTGACACCGTTGGTCCTCTTCGACGGTGGCTGTGAAGATAAGAAACTAAGAACAATTATAACCAGGACCAAGGAAAAGATTCAAACAGCATCTTCTTTTTCCCCAAGTAGCCAAATGAAATTCTTCCCTATGATGATGAAGGACGTATTCATTGATGTTATGATCGAGAAAAAAATTCGACATGTACAGTGTTTGTTCGAGGCTGATAATGACATAGCTGCTGTAGCAAAGATACTGAATTGTCCTGTACTCAGTTATGATTCAGATTTTTATATTTATGGAACGTTGTATATACCATTCAACACATTAGACAATCCTGTACAAAAAAGGTCAACTGGAGAAGGCTGTATGCGGTACAAGTGTTGTAAAATTTATAGAGTTGAGTACCTGTTGGATTCTTTCAGGGGTTTACATCGGTGTATGTTACCATTGGCTGCCATATTACTAGGAAATGATTATGTACAGCGTGGTACATTTAAGAATTTCTTTAAATATTTAAACTTGCACAGACCAGGAAAGAAAAAGTATAATCACAGGAGTTATCATATAGACGCAATCTTTACTTGGTTGAGTAATTATACGTTGGAGAAAGCAGTCATCAGTATTTTGAGTAGATTACGTAAACCCATGAGACAAAGAATACTGAATATAATCGAGACTAACATAAATGGCTACACAAATGTGTTCGCCAATATGCTTGTCCCATTGGGCTTCTCAGAGGAGTATGCTGCCCAAGTGATCACTCATTCTGTGCACAGAACTTTTAACTTCACAGAAGACATTGATAATTTAACATACATAGAAGAAACCTGCAATGAAGGGGTTTATGAATCGAGCTTAGAAGAAGAAGAGGAAGATGAATTCGAAATATTGAACACAATGACAGAGTCAGAACTTGTTTTCACCAATGCATTTGTAAAAAATTTGCCTGCGTGGTTCGTAAGCGAGTTTCAAACAGGCAAATTTCCTGGATACTTCATGGACTTGTTAGTTAGGCGTTTGTATATTTGTCCAGTACAAGTAGAATATACTTCGTATCCAGCAAGCACTGTAGTAAGTTTAAGAATTGTTCGCGTTATATTTGAGCTTTTAAAATCAGGAACAAGCGACAATAGAAATACTATGCAATATATGATTCGAGATACTGGTGGCGAACTTGTTCGTCGTGAGTTGGAAAGCTTAGATAGTAAATTCTCTCTTGCATTGCCAACTCTCTCTAATCTTAGAGAAATTTCGTTAGTCTGTCGAAAAAAAATTTTGAATGATACTTTAGGGATCGCGGAGAGTTTGTGTACAGATGATCTTCCATCAGAATGGATATTATACATTGCTTGCACTAAATATTGGACGGAACAACAGCAATTGTATAGATTACATAAATATTATGCATATTCTGTATTTGTTTCCTTATTGTTTCATGTAATAGACTCGAAGATAGGAGATCACATAAATAAGTCTTCTTTTCAAGTGAAATATGGATCAGTAGTTCACAGAATAGAGCAAGAAAGAAAAGCCAGTAATTACAAGCCAAATTATTCGACGAATGTTACAATTTCTAAAGCATGTAATAATATCGATCGAGAGGATTGTTTACTAGCAGCATCGTTTTTTATTCAACATTTCAAAATGGACAAAAAATTGTGCTTGAATCCAAAGAAATTTAATAGAATAATTGTTCATGCATTTGCAAACTTTCAAAATTGTTTGAGACATGCTATGAACTTGAATGCACTCTTGGGTTACCCTTATCCACAAATCAAGATTGCTAATTTCTTTAATGGTACTTTACTGTACAATTTGTGTAATAATTTTAAGTCACGTCATGACATTGATGCATACATAAATGGTGTCCTCCAAAGTTCTCCAAGTCTCTTAACGCTGTTGCATGTACTTCTGTTAAAAATAAAACATCTGTTTCCATTCCTATTTCAGGATAATAATTCTTAGATGAAGCGGAGATCTAAAAATAAACGTGTTATTTTGAAAAATTCCGAAACAATAAATAACTGAGACTGTATAAAAACATTCTATCTTCACTAAGTATGAGTTTCTTTAATTATGTAGTCCTCCAGATAGTCAAACATGTTTCTCAATGTCCTTTTAGAGTTAGATCGTTTCTTATTTTGTTTTCTATTTTGCGAGATATGTAACTTTTTGTACTGAAATAAACGACAAAGAGAAATAAAACGTGAAGAAGTTATAATGAGATATTTAATTACATTTTTGTACGTTTCCCAGAATGCAGTGAATGCTGTCTCTATATTTTTTGCTTCCTCTCTTATATTAGGAAGACAGTAGGCGTCTTCGCTATGCATTACTATTAATCCAACAAAAACAGCACAGTTCAACTTTTTAACGAGCTCTTCTCTAAATTCCTTTATGTTACTATTAACTGGATAATTACGACGCAAATATTCGTTAATTAGATTTGTACTGACATAAAGTTTACGAAATTGTAATCTTTTTACGGCGGCACGAATCATTTGTGGCGTTACTTGTATATGACCACGTGCTAAAAAATTTTGTAATAACTATACAAAATAAATTAAACATATGTACATACATTGGGTAGTACGTGGAGCGGTATAACATGTAACCTCATAAAATATGAAAAATATCTTACGTGATAAATCTGAGTTACTATCGTCTATGTAACACTCGGTATTATAAGAATTATTCTTATTTTTTGAAGAATGTTTCCGGTTTTGGCACATTATTATTTGTTAATGAATGTAATCGTCGGAGTATCACTATAATTTTTAACTATCACTTTTTATATGGTATGTTTCAATAAAAAAAAGTGAAAGTTCTACATAAAAGACATACTTTGTGAATACATTTGTATCTTATTTATTTGTCATAGCATTATATATTACTTACAATATATACCTGGTGATAATGTAAACAATTAACTGAAATAATGCAAACATTTAAAAAGATATATACATATGTATATATTAATGGAACTACAATGTAAATATGTATATATTGTGTAGGATAATTTATAAAATCCTTTCAATTACATAAAATATTTATATTTATAATTTATAATGTATTTTATTAACCATTTCCTGATAATTAATTTCTGATTTGTATAATAGTAACAACTTGTAAACCATAATCAACAAATATGAATTGAGAAGTAATTATTAGAGAAATGAATAACATTGAAACAGTAAACTATAAAAAATGTCAATAAAATCTTGAGATTTTGTTCAAATCTTTACAAGTATAGAACTTAAATAAAATATAATATAAAAATATCAGGTACTCTACCGAAAATATTTGGGATTGATACATATAACAGAAAATAATCTAATTCATAGTACACAGCACCACATATGAAATGTGATAAGAGCGCGAACGATACAATTTGCTTTGTATCGTTTTTAACTCTTTTGATTACTCTAATCTGATTCCCCTTTCCAGTCATTTACAATTACAATTACAATTACAATTACAATTACAATTACAATTAGGTACAGTTAAATAAGGATAAATGACAACAATATAAACGAAAATATATAACGAATCTTTGTGCAAAATATGATAATATTAATCGTAAAAGGCATGCTTGGCCATTATTAATAATATCAAAAGTGATGCAAATGCCAATTAATTTTAATTAATTTAACAAATATAGTTGTAGAATTTATTAAACAGCATCATCAAAAATGTTTAAGACATTTATGAAACAGTTTGTAGCTAATTGCAGTGTTCTAAAAAGTACGACATTTGATAACGAAAAATTGGTCTTTATATAAAGATTTCTAACAGTTAAGAAATGTGTTGTTATCATTTGAGGCATGAATTTTTGATATACAACATGAATCAAAGTTCTAAAGATAAAAATTAGTGGTTATTACTAATCATCTGTAAAAAAAAAACTTATTTATTCACATGTATGTGCCATGTTCAAAGAAAAATAAATACAATTAGAATTGAAAAAGTGTATAAAAGGAGATAGTATTCAAATGGTAGAACACCAATGTTCAATTACATGCAAATAATACACTAAATTAATAAATGCACCATTTAATATTTTGTTTAAATATGCATACTGTACTTCTTTGAATAAATTTCTATCCAAGGGCTTTTTTGTTACTAAAATATAATAATATAAAAGCATTCATTAAATTCCATTGTATGTTATTTTGTCAAAAGTCAATTTTGCTTTTAAATCTACATACGATTATATCAATTTTTCTATAACGTGATATGAAACATCATTGAGAGTGAAAATTAAAATCATTTACATATTTATCAGTTACTTTAATGATAAAATTACTGACCTCGTCATATTTCTGTTAGGAAAGTATTTCACTTACTTAGAGGATCAACATTCTTGCATTTAGAATTGCAACAATTTGTAAGCACAATTATAAGTTGCTACAGTATAAAATAGCTTCGTTTGTGGGGGTGTTCCTATGTACGGAAACGATGTCACACGACTCAGATTAAATATGTTGCAATAAATTATTCAACAATATAAAGATACAAAAGCAAATTTACGGCTTAAGCTCTACCGCGAAATTTTGGACGAAGTTCATCTTTAATATTGCACTGACAATATTAACATTCGACATTTCGGTGTATTGTCTAATGAATAACAATACTGATTATCGCTTGACTAATATTTTTGCAAGCTATCGTTTTCGGTAACTACCGTAAAATTTATATTATGTTTAACTCGAAACTGCAATTAGCTTTTTACATATTTTTCTTTTGCTTCTTATAATCTTTGTAGTTCAAGATAATTTACTCAAATTTATTATATATAATTATAATATAGGTTGTCATATCTTTACAATAATCTTTTTATTAACATTATACTTTACTATTGAGCGACTGCATTAAAAACTACAACATCTTCAGGATGTCTGAATAAATATAATTACTTCCCGTGCACTATGATATCAAATATTATGTACATGATAAGCTCAAAGAAATTGTAGAGTCAATTCCTTTACCCTTAACAGTTCATTGTTGGTGTAAGGACCGTTTAACAAGAACTGAATGTCTTATAGTAATCACTAGAAAAATGAACTCTACATCTCTCAATACGAAGGAAGTGTTGTCCTACAATGGTGTCGAGTAAAGCTTTTCGAAACTATAAGTAAAAACACGATTGCACCGTGACTACAGATATTCCTTGGAACTCTTAATTCTTTATTCTATTCTTCAGCAATACTCTATTAGAAAGAACGTGCTTCATTGCCTCCACCAAAAAACACGTGTAAATTAGGTACACTTAACTTCAGGGTGTCTCTCCCATTTAAGGCTTTCTTGGATAGAAGCTGACAACTCGAATTGAGAGAAGATAAATAACATATAAAACGTACACTGTGATATCTAACCGCGTTCTTCAACCCCCGCTGGGCTCTTCGTTCCATATTTTTACAAAGTATTGCACAAAGAAAACAATCACAATAACAAGAATCGTATCTATAAAGCTCTTTAACATACTTATGGTATGATGATGCTCCCCCTGTTCTCTTTGCCTTATGGCATGCTGTTCTGTTATGTATTGTATACGATTAAGTTTCTCACCATATTCTAACATCCGACGTTCTACATCTTTCACAATATCAATTATTCTGAAAAATTGTGATGTTTATTCGGTTAGAAATAGAACGAAGAGATACTTGATTTTTTTTTTTTTATATTAGATTACGTTGAATCTTACCTCGCCGTAGAACGTTTTCTTTTACCTATCGACTGACTAGAATCTGAATGCACCTCGGCGGATGAACTTCCAGAATCATGGGCTGTTTCAGTTAACGGTAAATTGTTGGATAATTGTCGTTTCGAAGATTTCAACACAGACAGCGAAGAACGAGATTCTGCTTGGAGAAGCGGGACCTGCAATATGAAGAACTCGATTATTCATACTTACTACATATCTATAATTCTCATCTGTACAACAAACATTCAAAAAAACAAAAGCCAGAGACACAGTAATATGCTCTATAAAGAATGTAAGAAGAAATTGTGTAAAGCAAGATTTATTATATTTTCATAAATTTATAATAAATTTTATTGGACACTATCAACAACAAAGTAACCGTCAATACAGAATGAATTTTTCTTCAGCATACATATTTCTAGGGTAACGTGGTTTTAATACTATTTACCTACTATGTATACGTGAAATAGAAACATGCATTTTGTAGATTAATTTTTGTATTCCTATACCTGTGTCTGGGGATCGGCCGAAACAATACTACCAGTACGCATAATTGGTGTCTTATGCCTAGTTTTAGTGCGCACAATGTATTCTTGTTCGTACTGTACGACATCATTCCTTGGATCCCACGGTCTAACGTCCGCATGTCGATATACCCAATTACCAGTTATAATATCCTGTTAACAAAAAATCTCTGTACAAAATGTAAAAATTAAATCATAATAATGTAATGTTAATTGTAAATGTCAAAAATCTTATAAAATAGGGCGAAGTATAATGTTTATTAGCACTTGAAAATCTTTCCCATAAAAAGGTTATTTAGTACCTGGACAAAGTATTTAGGAACCCATTCCTGCCCTTTAAGTTTTCGTTCTTTGGCACGTTCTCTCTGCGCTTCTTCCAACTGAGTTTTCGCATCAGTAGCAGCAACTTGATCATCTCGATTGATTGCCTGAGTCACATCGTACCATAATTTCTCGCTTTCCCACGAACCTTGATGTTCCATAGGTACTGTGTATTTCTTTAATCGCTTCCTCCGCACTTCTGGCGTTGGATTGAAGAATACACTTTCCTGCTACGAAAATGATTAACATGGTATTAATTTACGACGTTATTACATTAATGTGGAATTAATAAATATTATAAATATTTTCATACGCTACATACTCCCGCTCTCTTGTCCGTAATTACAATCTGACCATCCCAGTATCCCGATATAGTTGCAAGAGTTTCTTTTCCTAAACGTATCGCTCCTGCGACTTGATTCATTTGTTCGGCACCGCCAAGAAATGGCTATTGAAGAAGTAACGAATTACATTTATATTTATAATTTCAATCTTTTATATGCTGATTTAGAAATCTAGGAAAACGTTGGGCCCGGCAATGGATATTTATAAAATACAACCCGCGATTTTCGGATTCTTAACGGTGTTCTACTGGTTTTCCTAGTTTCCTAATCTCTTCTAAAGGGTCAGAGGGTCTAACTAAGGGGTCTCCTAACTCCACACTGATATACATTACCTTGAGCTTAAATTCTATTTCAGTATGGTAACCCGTTTTCTCACAATTTATCTGAACCTTTCCACCTAATTCCATAGATAGCGTACCCATAAGGATGCCTTTACAGTGAGCATATGGTACAGTCATGGTGTAATCCTCTCCTCTAGGTAACATTGTTAATATTGCAACTCCATCTAACACAGCCGACGTCGAATTTCCTAAAAAAGAAAAACAGACATTCATTATATGTATACATATAAGTATCTGTGTGAAGTAAACATTTTGCATTTTCACGCGCACTTACCGTAAAACTTTGATTTAGCGATAATCGTAGCACTAATGGTAAATCCATCTTGACGATTTGTTACATAGAAACCTGATATAGGCGGATGATGAGATAACTGTAAAGATAATTTTTAAGTATCCGAAGGGATTTTTAGTAGTATATTTATAAGTACACACTGGAGGGACTTACTTGCTCGGCTATGTAGAAAGTCCTTGAACCATTAGGATGCTGCCAATAGCAGCGAAAAGTTTCACCCAATAGTGGGTTGTATGGTTTTTTCAAACCCTGAGGTTTCTTGTAGAAACCAGATAAATACCACTTGACCACTCCTTTCATGCGTGTGAACGCGTCATCTTCTAGTACAGCTCTATAAAGACGAAAAATAAACTATGCATCTTCGTGATTATATAAAAATATTTCTTAAAAGTCCATAAACGATTTATATTTACTGAGACAATAAGTCTGCATGGTAATAGGAATCAGCTAGCTTCTCTAAAAATGAACGAGGTTCTAAGATGAAAGTTGGAAGAACTACTTTGGATAAATCCATGCCTGGTCGAACTTGCTTCATCAGGAACCATATTAAAGACTTCTGCTCTTCCTGTAATTCTGTAACAACTTCTCCAGCCTGTGTGATAAATTTTAATTACACTTCAATAACATTAAATACATGGATGTAATCCACGAAACTAGATTATTCGTCTTACTGATCCAAGGACTTCGTGTTCATTCGCGATATATGGGGTTTCGTTGATTGTTTCAGGTTGATCTTCTTTGGCCGATCCTTCAGATTCGCTGTCAGACGCACTGATCTCTGCGTCAGCTGCCACTCCGTTTTCTGGTTGGCTAATGTCGTCCAGGTCTGTGTGTGAGGATTGCACAGGATCTAGCGTTACTACTTGTGGGGTGTCATACTGAAGGACATGTATAGAGGGAACAGTCATGCGCCGAGTGGTAGGTGGGACACGTTTTAGAGCTTTTGATTCAACGCAAGATCTGCGAGGATACGCGTCTCCATCATCTAATGCATCCATAGAATTTGAAAGTGAAACAACTTCCGTATCTATGCCAGATGTTGGAGATCTGTCAGAAAACTGTTTGTCCCAGTACGCGATCGCATGATACAACTGATGAAACATTGGAGTGGGCGAGGGACAAGCACTTTTAGGAGCATCTGTTACACTAGGTAAAAATGGTTGTGGACACGATAATAAACGCCTCTGAGGTGTTGTGGGTGATCGGGGAGCATAATTAGACAAACAGACTGTGGATATTGGAAGCATGTGTTAAAGGTGACAAATGCCAGGAAAGGAGTTATAATAATGGTACCATTAATATTGGTAATTTCCATGAATGAAACTTAACTAAGTAGTTTTCTAACTGTGGTCTTCTTGCTACTAAGATCACACATACACTCCCGTTCACAAGCATTAGGACGCTTATCAAATATGAAGTATTTATAATCGGGCACTAGGAAATTATTCAAGTTCTGAAATAAATTATTCTTTAGAAGAATAACACTTATACTAATACAAAAGTAGTAAAGTAATAGTGGCCCAAAATATGTATATCATTCTTATGAAAACCTGAAAGTGTTTTCTTCATACAGACCAGGAGTCCTAATACTTACGGACCGCAGTGTATGTAAAGGGTTTAGAAGTAAATATGTATAATTAGCTCGGTTTTTTAAAACATTACTTATTGAACACAAAACTTATTTTACACAAAGATATTCTTTCGCGAAACTTACCATGTTCATCGAAATGTTTTTCATAATCTGCTTCACTCCACTGAGTTTCGTGAGTTGTTGTAGTATCGTGTGGTAGGGTACGAGGCAACGCACTTGTAGAACGAATTATTAGCGAGGAACAACGTAAAGATAATTCAAGCGCATCCAGCCAGCATTTACCAGCTGCCTGCGAAGGAGCTCTGAAGATCAAGTAAGAAGTCGGCAATGGCTGTACGACAGCTCCTAAGATTGATTTTATACTCTTGTGAAAAATGAACTTGCACAGCTCTACAGAGAATTTAATATTTACCTATGGCCTCTTTTTCTGGGCCCCTGGGAGCCCATATCGATTGTTCCAACGGATGAAACAATTTGAAACAAAAGCCATCCTTTTTACTCGGCCGTTCTATCACTTGACACGTATTAAGTAAAACAGTTCCCACCCAATGATTGCTCTAAAATAATTACATTCACATAACTTTAAGCAAAAAAGAAGAAATAGTACTTTAAAAGTAACGTAGATAATTACTTTTGTTTTTGGGCTTTTGTACAGTAGGAGCAAACCAGGTTTTAAAATACACCACAATTTTGTCCAACTCTTCAACGTTCCACGGACTTTAAGCCAATCACTCATCACAATAACAGTGGGATCCTTAAATGAACTAAGAAGTTCATTAGCAACTCGTTTCTTCTCCATTCGATAATTTTTTCTCTGTGCCTTGTATGATTCTTTTCTTGTTAATTTACAAGAATCTAAAGACTGAAAAATAAAGTAGACATAAGATTATTTCGACATATTACCTTGAACAGGTATGAATACTAGGAAGATACTAAATACCTTATCAGATGTATTATCTGTTTTCTGATTGCCTTCCCCCATTGTAGACAACCCTATAACAAAGAAGCTTTTCCAATTATTTGATTAAGTACTACTTAAATATTAACATTACCATAATATACAAACAAGGTTGTATATTTGTAATGGTCATCGATATTAATATATTAAAAACATTATAGAAAAAACGTTCAACAATTACTTTTCATTTATCAAAATTACGATATATCGATAAGTACCATACTTGTAGCTTAATACATTGTAGATCCGGCTAATGAACTTACTATACTCTAATATTTATCGAAGAATCACTTCCCTGTTCTTTGTTTTAATCAAAGTATGCTTTGTAAGATGATTAACACATATAGATGACAATATTAATTAAAAGTTGACAAATGATATCATGAATTATCACGTGAAAAAATTATACTATAAGATTGCCACAGATTCGATCTAGTGACTTGATATAATTCCTTGCTATTCGTGATAGCATTGGTATTTACAATTAATTAAAACTAGAAGCCTTAAAAATAATCCAGCCAAAAAACCATTCGCATAACAAGCTTTGGCAAGTTGAACCTTGATAGTTTTCTTAAAAATGAAATTTGTCATTCTACAAAAGAAGCGCATAGTTAAGGGGCTCACAGAATTTTTTGAATCAAGATGCAGGTTATTTGTCGTAAAGTACAATACAAATTCTGTACTTTATGCAATTGAAATTATTACATATGGCAAAATTTGTTAACATAATCCATTAATGCGATTAGCATCTTTTATCTTGTAATTCTGAATCTCTTGTCATACATTCACAATATTTCATACATATTGGTTACATATCAGTTATAACTCAAATACAAATCAATGGACAATATAGTATATACCGTATTGCTACAATGCTTACAAATTATAAACTTTGTATAAACCGATTAAAATTTAAATTATCATTAACTGTTTTACTTAGAGCTTATATTCATAATGATCTATTTAATACACATATTTAATAATCTGTCAGCCAAAGTAGATTGTACAATGTACAAAGATTACGATATATTTTTATAGATTCCACTATATGCACAATATATGTATAGATAAATCTTGTGACACCAAACAGTAAATAAAAGAATGCAGTTTCTTACAGCTAATCAACTACTTGAACAAGAAAGAGTATTAATTCACAAAAAAGTTAAAAAAGCACCTGGAAAATTTTTGTATTATCGCCCATTATGATATTAATGTAACTTTGTATTTATACCTGGAGATAGTGGAGGTGCAGCAGTTGTTAAATTTACACTTGTCGATAGGGACTCTGTTGATGGAAGTTTAGGTAATGTTGCAGATTGTACTTGAGCACTGCTTCGTCGAAGTTGTTGATCCACTGGTTCTATATATTTAGTTTATTTTCAGACACAATTACTATTTATATATATATATATATATATATATATATATATAGCTTTACGATACTTGAAGAAAATTATATCTTTTGAAACATGTAGATCTATTCTTTTGAAACTTAGAAACTCTTCAAACTCTCGAGCTATAAACTATTCAACAATAAACTAACGCAATGAAGACACTACAATTAAATTACACCATATTGCATTCTAAAGTGTGAGTTTATTTCAACAACACTAATTGTAAACCGCTAAGTAACATTAATTCCCAAAGACAGAATTCGCAATAACATATAGTTATGTACAACAATAGCTTTGACTTTAATTTGGTTCATTTCGATTGCAAAAGCAAAGAAACTTTAGCATTAAAAATGTGTATACATACTACAGCATGTGAAAATATGCAGTCTTGTAAAAAAAGTTGCATGCACTAGAAGAAAAACAATGTAATAATAATGTACTATCCGACTAGTACATACTGATACCTTATAGTATAGAAAACAAAGTATTCAAATTAACTAGAGGACTACTAAACACTACTACAGAGTAGACACATGCACCAGATACATTACATTGAAATATTACAGAATACTTCATGCATCGCGTATATTTACAACCAACAATACAACATTCCCTACTTTACATATAATATTCTTCGAACAAACTTATGAATACCTATACTTGTTACATAATATTGTAGAAAAGTGAATAATGTGCTAACAGCATGAATGTATTATGTTAATCCAATACATATGATAAGATGGTACTTTCATGTTTTTAATAGTACGATATATGTACATTAAATTGTGTTGAATGTAATATTAATAGTGTTAATAATATCATGTACCTAATGTATGATATTAACGGAAATGATGTCTGCACAATAACATGTCCTTGATTTATGTATCTTGAATGTTATTTCAGAATTTTTTAATGACACTAGACAATGAGATAAGTTCTATAAAAAGAAAAAAAAAAGAAAAAGAGTAATATATGTATTCTGGAGTTAGTGTTATGCATATGTATATATGTATACATAACTATTTATTGATTTCCATGATTCTAATACTGAGGCTTGCTACTGTATACACACAATCCATATTAATAAGCCTACCTAGCTTACTTGATAATGTACCACATCCACTGTCACTAATACCTTTTAAAAATGATAATTATTTATACTATCAATACTTCAATAAATATCTAACTGCTATGATGGCTTTGTAAATCTAAATATATATTTAAGAAATACTTTTTATTAACAAACTACTAATGAGTATGAAAAATTTTAAGTCATTTGGAAATGATTAACTTAACTTTATCAAATATTATGTTACATAGAACATTTTTTCTTGTTTTCTGGAGTATGTAGTATGTAACTGTCGTTTGTATGATTAACAAGACTAAAATTATTATCATTATCATTCAAATGTTTATCTTCAAGCCTTCATAAGTGATTTGTTTTGTTTTCATCACACAAAAACAACATTTAAGTATTATATAATTTAAATCATACTTACGATTGCTAAGTGATCGGCTGACATTCGGTGGTGTCATGGTTTTAAATGAATCAGATGCACTTCCAACAGATACAGAATGAGTTTCTGGCTGAGACCGGTGGTCACCACCAGGTACCACAATTGGTTGGGAACTCATTGTGGATCTATTAAATGTTTATTTATTAAAATACCATAAGTGATAATAATTCATAATATTTAATTTATATAAGTAAACAAAATATATAAAATCACAGACATTTCTATACCATGAAGGAAAAGAGAAATAAACGATTATATACCTATTATGTAAATTATGAAATTGGTACACTTATTACCTGTATCAATAATCAAAATTAAAATAATGACAAACATGAAAAGGGGCCATAGCACGCAACGCATGTCGTTATTAAATGCTATGTAATGCCAGTTAAATATCTGTACTTCGATATAATGATCGCTTGCGTTACCATTTCTTAGCAAAACAACTACATAAATAGGTAGGTACTGCTAGAAGCAACAAACGTGACACCAAGCAATTATAACAGAAAAATCGAAAATACCGTATTAAATAATTATTACAATATTAATTGTTTCTTCATTATGTTATCGAAATAACAGAAATCAATTATTTCACGATAGTAAGACGTTATTTACGACATGACGAAAGAAAAAAAAATATTACTTATATAAAGCATCCGTGACTTACCCGAATTCGAACAACTGTTCGACCAGTCAATACTTGAGCGATTAATTATCACACAAGGGACAAGTATTAGAACACAAGGGGCGAGAAAGCGAGTATTAAATTCACCATTCTGGACGAAATGAATTTTTGGTCCAACGAGGTTTGCGGATTGAGTTGTATCTCACTGATGGTAATTAGAAACATTCGAAGTGAGAAAGCGAACGTACAGGGACGTCAGCGAAACGACAGCGCGAGCGCGAAGTCTGATGTTCCATTGATCACCCGTTGTTATAGCTTAACTATAAACATATGGATCCACTAAGTTATTTAAAACGAAAACGTACGACGCATAACACGTTACGGCCACATCCTCTGTTATTGATGCAAAAGCGACTGGCGACTGGTGACTGGCGACTAGCGACGAAAATGAGTATCGACCGAAAAAAGTTAACAATTGGTCCCTAAAGTAACGTGACCGTTCTGCTGCGGCAATGAGACAATTATACACATTAATACGATCCAATCAAATTCATTATTCAATTAATGAATAAAATATTGAGCGGAGCTAAGAATACAATGTTCCAGTTAAAAGAACAACGTTTCGATCGATCTTGTACATGATTGCAGGGTATTTTTTTCGAAAGAGATTTTTAGAAATTTGCGCGAGAATAATAATGCTTCGATGAATCGAGATTATTGATGTAAATGCGTAATGTGCTGTCACCGATGTTATTACTTAATGAAGACAAAATTTCTACTCATTTGATAGCGTGGTTTTACAGACATTGCAAGAGGATCAATTAGTGACTAAAATCGAGAACCGTGATAACGAATTTTATTTACCGGAACTTGTTAATGCGTTGATACCCATGTGTACGTTCACATGTTATGTTGCACTCGAGAAGAATACTGAAGTATTGAGAATTAGATAAGTAGTTTTTATGTACGATGTCGTATTACTATTAGGATCAAGAACTGCAAATCAAATATTTAAACGATATGTTACAACGTTCAAAGCTGAACTGAGCTGAACTAAGCGAAGTCTAAATGAAATGCTACCTATATACTATATATTCCCGACTGAACGCATTGAACGATGGTTAGTTATTACGTCATACACGTCACTACGGATTCACGATACTCGCGTTTTTTCTTCTTATGCTACTGTTCGGAATAATTTAATTAAACAATTAATTCGATCAACTCGTCGCCGATTTTGCCATCGATTTTCTTGCAATTAATTGCTTCCTTGCGATAATCGCATTATCTACCTAGAGCGCCTCGCTTTTAATCTATCCCATTATGCTAATAAAACAAATCTATATGTATATATTGGTATATACTATATACGATTGAGAGGAGCGCTGTTTTTTATGAAACATACCTACATAGTACAACATTTACAGCATGATGTATATAAATAAATTTCTGAATATTAACTACTGACACTTTAATGCTGTTATTAAAAAATCTCTTTAAACATTAAACATTTATCAGTTGAGGGTAAACTTAGCATACTATAGCAGAGTGTAGCATGGTGTATATGCATATGTATGTAGGTATACATATAGACTATAGTATAAGCATGATAAGCATCAACACAGCTTGGAACTTGGGATATTTGTTACTTAAGACCACTTAGGACTTAACATTGTTCAGAACTTTAAACAGCTGAAGAACTAACAGCTAAAGTTCTAAAGAACTAAACAAACTGTTTAGGACTTTAAGATACGGGATATTAGAATATTGCATTCTAAGTCCTGTGTATCGTAAATTATCTTTCGTTATTCGAAACTCTTTATTTAAATGATGAATTTATTTATCTTTGCACGTTACATATGTGAATAGTGGTGAATAGTCTGCACCAGTCTGCACGGTCTGCAACGTATCTCAAATCTATGGTCTGTAAAGATGGTTTATTAGTGTGTTTCTGTGGTTTCTGTTTACTAAGTTGTCAATAAAAGCATAGTTATTTAGTTATTAATTACCTTTTGTTTCGTTTAACACTCATAAATTTGTTGAATGGCAGTTATATGAAATTGTAACGTATCGACTAATTGTTGCACTTCATTATATGATTAAAACTAAATACATCTAAATACGTATATATTTCAGAAACTCGAGTGTACCGTATACGTATTATTCGACATTAAAATTAAAACGTACAGTGTCAGAAAAATATGAATCGTCATCAAAATACTGATTCTAAAAAGGGAAGCGAGCCTCAAGTAGAATTGGAAAGCCAATTTATCTTACGTTTACCACCGGTAATTCTACTTTATGTTAAGTATATTTTCACTTCAAACTGTTTGAGGTTATATGATGTATTCATATATTTATTTACTAAATATTTCTTTCTTCTTTAAGGAACCGGCGCGAGTTTTACGAGAAATTTTACGAAGTGGTTTGCCTTTAAAAGATAGGCTCAGCATAAAATTGGAAAATGATATGCGTTATGGAGAGGTTAGATTTGACCACTGGTTACTTCATACAAAGGTAAAATTTACAATATAATTGTTACTTTTTTAATTTCTTAACATTTCTTTAATTGTTATACATAGAATATACTTATGGTAATCTAAAATAATATATGTAAAAAATATAATAATTACAGGTTGTTGACTTGCCAACCATTGTGGAATCTTTAAAAACCATTGATAATAAAAGTTTTTACAAAACAGCTGACATATGTCAAGTAAGATAGTTTAAGTTTATAAGTTAATCATTTGAGCTAACATAATTTTTTAAAACCTTTGAAGGAAATTATTCATATAATTCAATGATTATAGATGTTAATTTGTAAAGAAGAAGATGATCATACCACAACTGATGAAGAATCTCCAGTAAGACAGAAGAAGAAGGATCCAAATAAAGTAGACAAAAAATTTTTGTGGCCTCATGGAATAACACCTCCTACTAAGAATGTAAGGCGCAGAAGATTTAGGAAAACCTTGAAAAAGAAATATGTAGAAGCTCCTGAAATTGAGAAAGAAGTGAAGCGGTTATTGAGAGTAGACAATGATGCCGTTAATGTTAAATGGGAAGTAATATGTGAAGATGAAGATCAGTCAAAACCAAGCAAAGTATCATCATCTGGTACAGTAAAAACTAAGAGAGAAAGTATGAATGGCAACACTTCTCAAAGTCTTGATGTTGGTGAGTATTGTAAAGAAAAATAAAAAAGTAACAAAGGGGTGTGATGTATGTATTTTACCTATTTATTTTTTACTATCCTTTTTCGTTGCAGCTGAACATGACATATTTGGTGAGCCTGTGAGCGACAGTGAAGATGATGATGAAGAAGCAAACATAAATGTTATGGAATTAGATGAAAATAGTAGACTTTCTGCTGACAGCAGAGTGTCTGATTCTAATTCTATGCAAGCCACATATTCAGAAAGATCGAATAATAATACAAACACAAATAGTAATCTTGTTACAGAGTTTAGTAAAGAAATGTTCCAGAATGATAATATCGAAACAGAAGGAGAGAAACCAGTAGATACAACACCCACAAAAGTATCAAAACTGGAGCAATTCCATTCGGAGTACATTCTTCCAGACAATTTCTCAGAATCACTTTCTGCTCAAGCATCAAAAGGTATTGTTTAAGTTTGCAAACTGTATTGTGTATTGATTGAACAGTAAAGTTAAACAAGATTTTTCTGTTTAAATTTTTCAGATTCGCTACAAACACGTCTTGCGACACTGCACGCAGAATTAGCTGAATTGCGGCAACGAAGACAACAACAAGAACTTGAAATTGCTAATATTGAAAATGTTAAGTTAAGGCAGAGATTTCAAGAAATATTGGATAATTTATTGACGCAAGAAATGCAGAAGGTCCATGAGGTATGTATTCTTTTTATTTATGAAACTATAATACTATTGCATTCAAGTTAATGCACATTGTGGTATTATGTAATTATTGTATTTCAGATTCAAAATTTGGAATTGGAGTAATATTAAATGATGCGATATACTGTGATCAAAACATCTACTACACATGTATAATGTTCCTTACAACGAAATATACTTGAAGTATCGCTTATATTTACTTTTGTAACATTCATACATTTTAGTGTAGAGTACTGTATTATTTAAAAGCGTGATTAGAAACTGTTATATTACATTTCCAGTACGTGTGTAGATTGTAAATAAAAGAAAATACACAAAATTTATGGAAAAATTGATTTTTTTTATTGTCTATTTCACAGTTTTGGTTCAAAATTCGCAGAGATATAGATTCTGCAGGCATGTAAATGACCTGCTAACGCGCCTACCGCGTGTAGCGAAAAGCTAATCTCGAAAGTGTAGATCCAGAAGAATGTATAAGAAATCGTAAACTCAATATATGAAAACTTGACTTCTGATTAACTTTTAAGACGTTACATAGAAACAAATACCCAAAATTATAACGAAACTTTCAATAAGCGTATGTATATGGCAGCTCGCTCCGAAATACATGTTTTGCAAAGATTGCCGGATTGTTTTTTTTCGATTAAGGATAGGTAAAGCGATAACTATTAACATACGTTTTGAGAATATTCTTTGTTTGTTGACTTAAAACAATCCTATCATGAGTTCTGATAGCGTCCGTCAAGACTTCTAATTTCTACAGTAGTACAATGAGTCCTATATATTTGATACAAAAATTGGTAATATTTAAACAATAACATTTTTTTTGTATTTTTCAAGTACGTAGTAATAAGGATCAAAACAGCTTTTTACCGTATGTTGTTCCATTGTTTTTTTGTAAATTCCTGAAGATCACGTACTTTTCGAACGTTTTGACCGGAGGGTACCCTTAAGACTATACCAGTTTAACTTTTAATGTAACTACAATGGAAAGGTACTTAAATTTTGTCCTGTTTCCTATGGTACTCTGCACAAGTAAAAATATGAAAAACTTAGCTAAAAGAGGTAACAATTTCTCTAACAAGATTTAATACGGGATTCGAGAATGTGCAACATGTTTTGAAGTAGCGGGCACGATGCAGTATCTAACGATTTGTTGCACGACAATTGGTCGTCCGCGAGCCAATCAAACTGTGGCAAAGCTGTTCGACTGCAGCATTCGAAGCACAATGGACTGAGGGGACAGGGGACAAATGTAATGGCAAGTAATGGCTGGCTCTGGCTCGTGTCGAATGTAAATATAATTCAGGCCAGTGCAGGCTACGTTTCCTAGCCATTCCTTGCAGTGTCAAACACCACCGCGTTAAAAAGGTAAATATTCTCGTTTGTACATTTCTTTGGACCCCATTACGTCGGATAAGGTACGTAAAAACATTCTACATAATACTCTTCCTGTTTCTCTCGACTGTTGTCTGTTTAGAGTTGCTGCAGATTTTTAATATACCGATAATGTCAACGAATTCTGAGTTGAGTATACGAGATGTTGGTTGTTGCTCGAGTATAATATTTTATAACCGTACGAATAAATCTAATCAATGTTTTTCCTGTTATTTAATGAAATACTCGTCAATAAATATCATTCCCATAATTTCGTACCCACTGTTTCGTGTTCTAAAATCCAATCGTATTTTATGCAGACTATACACTTATGTAGCTTTCTATTCATATCAAAGTGAAAGTACAATATTTTACAAAAAATCATTCAGTTATTTCCAGTTTTTAAGTATATATCCGTAATTTACCTACACGAGCAATGTATTTTTAAATCAATATACATATGTATGTATAATTAGGACACTACCGTATGGTATAATAGGTACGTTGCAACATTTCAAAAAAATAGGTAAAAATTAGGAATTCAAGTTAAACATCTTTGTCTGATGATTTGCATCAGTTAGAGACGATAAACGTCATTGGTAAGTAAAAATATGCAAAAAATATGTACGGTGATAAATTTCGAGAATAGTTGCTGATAAGTTAACGGAAAATTACACAACCGTAAACGCGAAATTTTAACTTCGTGCTCAAGTGCACCATTGCGATACAATTATTACTGCAGCAAGTGACGTTACATTTCGACTACCGCATTATCGCAACGATATAGATACCCGTATGAATACTTCCTTTCCTTTTTAAGTTAAATGTAGTTGTGATATAAATGTGACACAATTTGTTACTTTATGTTGACACACATTCACCCATCCTATTACAAAAAATTATAGAATACGTACAATTGTTCGAAAAGTATCGGGAATATACATTGTAAATAACGAAAGTATTCGAACGCTAAGTTTCTATATCGACATTGTTGGAATAAGTATTTTATGATTTGTGGACATATTTTTTTTTCTCAAATTTTTATATATTTCATGTATGTCTCTGCTAATACATGTATAATTTTCTTCAATCTAATGTAATTTTTAATTCACTATGTATGTGTATAGTGAATTTAATATCCTATCGTTCGGCTACTTCTGTTACGCACTGGATGTCGTTCGAATCATGGTACTTCTGAGCCTTTCGAGAATAGTCGTTACAACATACGCCCCAATTACGAGCATTTTCCATAATAGCATAGATTTGCTAGATCGTAATATAGAACGCGTACTTGATGTATTTATGAAACTTTTAGACTTCTCCCAGTGCAATGAAAAGACTATAAATCGTGCAATTTTATAACGTTCAAATATAACTTTGTATAAACATTTGTTGTCTGATAGTAACTAATATTTTTATTCTTCTGTGTGTTACTATGTGTGAGTAAATAACATTAATAAACAGGTTGCTTCCTTTTCAGTAACAGACCTATTGGTGGAAAATCTACAACGATGGCCGATGAAGGATTTAATCTGTACGAATGCATATGTAACCATGAGTTAGCTACGCAGCAACTGCTGTCCATTGTAAGTAGCAGTGACGACACATTTTTCCATAGAAAATTCACGTATAAATGTAATGCGTTGTTTACTTGAAACAATAATTAGTTTTCGATCACGAAATAATGAGGGCACCACCCTGTATACCGAAATTTTCTTGTACGTAGAATTATTAAGTTAGTGTCGCAAGTATCATGTTTACGAATGATTTAGGACGCGTCTGTTCAGAAACTGCAAGTTGTTTACATTGCACACAAGAGAAACAATACAACGATAGTCATCAAGTTTCTTTCAGTCTCACGTTATTTACCTTACTCAACGTTTTTTTGTATTTTTTTAATTGAATCATTCGAGTCTTTCGCAATTGTGTCGAAGCAATATTTAGTACTCTATATTATTCAAAGTCTGACCTTCAAATAACATTATTCAGAATAAACAAACGCTTATAATGTCTTTAAAGTTTGAAGAAAATAGCGGTAATTTTATACAAATTATCCAGCTTAATTGGCGGAATGATTTACTTACGATTGACTTTGTAGAAATTCTATGGTAGTAAGCACTTTGACGGGAGTTCATAAACTTTCTTATTACAGTTACGGCAGAATCAGAATTATTGCACGGATAACGAATGTTTTAACTTACCGCAACGTATGTATTATTTTTTGCAAGTAACTGGTCGATAGGTAGTCAATGTTTTATCGTCAACTTATTTTTCAGAACCTGGACCGCATAACGTGCCGTCGTCCACAAACTTTCTCATGACCTGTTTAATTATTGCCTTTATATTGATCATGTACGCTTTGAGACCAAACTCGCTTCGACAAGTGCAACAGGACAACGTTAAAGATCGAGATAACGAACGCGTAAGCGCATATTTACTTTGAATTTCACAAATTTTGCAAGAATACTGCTAATTTTATCGTGTATCAATTATTTTAGCACTCGGACGATGAGCCTCCTGCACCTCCACCGATGGCATAATAAAAACTGCAATAACATATTCTCGCGTGGTTTGAAATAGTAGAATCTCTTCAGCTTACAAACAATAGCAGAGACAGAGAGAGAGAGAGAGAGAGAGAGAGAGAGAGAGGGGGGGGGGATAATATTCACAATTTGTCCATTTTATACGATGTTCAGGTGTATTTAAATGTGCCTTTAAGGAATGCGATTCCTTTTGTACAGGTAAACGTATATATTTATACACGTTAAAGGGTACACGTTCTTTCTCTCTGTTTTTTTCTGAATCTGAATAATGTCTATCACATGCGAGGAGTATGTATAAATATCATTCTATAAAAGTATTTTCATTATATGTATATAACATAGAAGTAAAGATGAAATCGAATCTCTGATATTAGCGCTGCAAACGTGTTACAAGCGCAACATCACCGAGCGCATTCGCTTTGATAACGCACTGGACTGCGATAAGCAAAAATAATCCCTCCTATCATTTTATCGGAGGAATATAAATTAATATAATATGGTAAATGAAAGTTGTGTAAACCAAAGTAAAAGTTACGTATTGGTATCTATTTGTATGTTTTTTATTTGTACATCTGAAATGTTTTATACGTTGTTTGCGAATGATAACACGATAGGGTTAAAGAGCGTTTTCTTCTCTTAAGATCTTAGAATTACGTAGCACGATTAACATCTTTTAGACAGAGAATCATGGGAAAGGGACAGAAACGTATAAATATGACAGTATTACTGTTAATTTTTTCATCATCGGTAAAAGCAATTAAACGATTAGAAAAGATTCCTAGCAATTCTTAAAATTATTAATTTATACCTTTCTAAAAGTAGTAATATATTTTGTGCAACTGATTGTTGAAACTTTTTGCAGAAGAATTTTAACATGTAAATTTAAACATTAACGATATGTATTACCATACAGAAATAGATAAAGAAAATTGTTTACTGATTTTTTACGTAAAATACGAAATAATCTACTATTTATAAAATAAAATTATCTCTTCCAATATTATACATTCCTACATACATTGTACTTTTGACAACTAAATAAATATCATACGCATTGTACCTCAGATTTCTTTAATTTCCCTATACCTATTTGTGAAAATAGAATACACGAAAGTACGAATTCCTGGTTCACTTTTAATTTCTTAATTTTGTAATGTACAGCATCATTATTGTTTGGGTAAACATCAGTTTACATGTCCAATTGTTTTTCAGCTATTACGTTCTAATGATTCCTTAACCACCAAAAAAAAAAACAATATTTATAAACTTATATACATATAGTGACTGTTATTTACGTTTCGGAAAATAAATGTATATGTACCAAGAATCTGGAAATAATGATGGGAAATGAATATACTATTCCTAGGTAGTCTAATGGTGCATGAAACATTAAATGCTACAAACACCTTTTGTTTTAGTAAAACGTGGACGTCTGAAATTGCATTTTTTTGTTTATACTTTATAACTTTTTCAATATCTTCACAGTACATTCTACGCAACTGTACGCGAAACAGACGACTATTACCAATGGAATAACGAGAGCCACGTATACTTGAATTGTGTTGTTGAAGTGTTTCTATTGTATTATGAACTATTATTGTTTGAACATATATTTTCATTTTATTTACATATGTACATACAATATACTTTAGAATTGATAAACGTTTTGCTATTGATCTTCCTGTTGAAAACGAAAATAATACGTTTTTGTATAAAAATAGAAGAGCACGAGTAAGTTTGTCTTACAATTTACAGTATATTTAAAACATCTGTTCATGTATATACATAAAGGTGTAATAATAATAATTAAAAATGAATATATTGATGAAAATTTCGAATACACACACTGAAACTGTTGGCAATTTGAAAGTTCTTTATACTGATTTCATGGTAATAAAACTATTCACATTTGTAAATAAATGAAAATTAAACAGTATGAATTGAAAAAGAGGTACAGATTAAATGGATAATGTTCAGATTAACTAAATCAGAGAACAAAGTCTAGAAACTGTTGATTGAGTATTAGGTGGCTACATATTCACATACATACAAGAACATTACATAAATGAATCCGAATAATTACTAGAAAAATACTATATATTTGTACTTTTCAAAAGTGAGATGTCCTCAAATTTGGTTAACACATTAATTTTTTTTTCTAATTTTGTGACATAAGTAGGAAGACCAATTATAAGGACGATTGCATTTCATTATAAATTCCACCCCAGTTGCAGAATTATTTTCAAAAAGTAACCACATTATATTTTGTAAAATATTTCATTGGACTTAATTTAGTAATTATACTGATTTAAAAACCATTTAAAAGTTGACTTGACAGAAAAGAACATTTTTTAACTATGACTTCCTGGCCGTTACTTCACATGAGAAATGTATAATCAACAAAAACGTCTTGACGTTTGTTAATAAGGAAGTTGAATCTATATACAAATAATGATGAATAGATCAAAAGAAAATACTTCACTGAATCTTATTCTTTCTTCTTATAGTTCTATAAATAATTAGTATTATTGCTTATTCTGTATAAAAAAATGTATACTCATGAAATGTATGAACAACTTATGTCATTATTATGAATTCTAGCTAAACGTTTAAAGTCATTCTTACTGAAGTTTTGCCAATGTGTCTCTTACTTTCTGTAAAACCCCAGTCATCTGTTCGTACTTACCTGTCGAATCCGGGAGATTCTCGAAATTGATCACGTCGCAAATATTTTTGGAAAATTTCTCAGACGACGGCAACCTATTATACGGAGAAGTGCTTTGTAAAATGGGTGTACCTAGATCAATCGATTTTATGCTGCCTTGGCTCGAATTCATCGTATTTCTGCGGGTTCTATTCGATTCCGGTGTTACTTCGTTACTGGGCGGCGGCATCTTCTGTTTCGACATAGAATCAGCAGAGTTATTTTTCGACAAATCATCAGAATTTGACGGTGAATTCGATTCCTGAAGCTCCACGAGCAGCCTTTTCTTCATATTTTCTAAATCACACAGCGATGGCGAATTCGGCCGAGACAAAGGGGATGCGCTATTTTCCTGTAACATTTTGCACAACTAAGGTTTTTAATTCATGAACACTGTTCGTGTAAATTTGACAGAATAATTTCCTCATGAAATTGTTTTTCAATTCATACCGGTGATTGCAATTCTTGTGAAGGATAATCTGAATCTTCAGATGTTACTTGTGTTGGCGGCACTGATGGTTCTGGTGGCTTTACATTCGGTTCTTGAGGCAACGGAGGTACAAAAAGTCCGTTAACAGGCACATTTTCTACTAGACCCTCTATTTAAAAGAAAAATGTAGTTGGATGCATTTCAATGATACATGTTATTACTAGAGTCTGGTTGATTCACATAAATGGCAAATGCAGTATTATTGCTTATAAAACTGTTCTTGCTTAATCAATTGATGTTACAATGTTTGAAACAATTGAGTGGTGCTGTAAATAAACGGTAAAGCAGTACATATATAGTGTACCTTCCACATCTTCTATCTCCATTTTAACAGTTTCTAGAGTTGAATTATCTTTCAATCCATTGTCAGACATTTTAAGCTTCTTTCTTTTATATCCATCATCTGCCTTTTTTCCTTTCAGCATCTTCAACATTGTCTGCTTGCTATGAGCAACCTGCATTGGTGATACCCAATACTGTCCATTCTCCTATTATTTGTAATAAGTTTCCATCAAATGAGGTTTATGGAAATACAATATTTTCACTCATTAAATTGTTTTATCGGTAGATTGCTTACATCACGAGTACCAGGTGGAGGTGGTGTGTTAAAGCCAGGAAAATCATATATCTTTTTTATGTCATATTGATCTCTGTCTTCAGGTGCAATAACTTCTCCTGGTTCCGCATGAGGATCATCTTCTGCGACACCGTCGGAATTAAATAATGATATGCCAGAGTGTTGCAAGTGTGCCTCCTGTAACCATCCTGGAGGATACCCAAACAACCTCATTCTACAAAAAATATTACAACATGTACAAAGGATAAAGATTTCTTTGTCAGAAATCTTGTTATATACTAAGTGTATTACAACACTTGAGTTGTCAATGAAACTAAAGTGGGAATAACAATGAATATGAATGTCTGTAATTTTACAATAAAGAATAATTACTTATATATATGCCTGGGTAATTCATTGTCTTTGAGACCTAGTGCTTTACGTAAATTACTACTCAATTGGCCAGGGATCAAATGACCAAATTTCTGGTCACCTTCTAAGTGATATCTAAGACTTCTCATATTTCCTCCCTTCATATTGAAATTTTTTTTGTTTTTATTTATAGCACCATGATTTCGTGGTTTTGGACAATCACGTAAATTGTGATTGTCTAGACAATTGAAACACATCATTTTTGGTGGACATGTGTCCTTTGCCTCTGGTTTTAATTCTGTCTTAGTATTTTCAAACACATTTTCATATTTCTATAACAAGAAATATTATAATAATAGTACAAATTTCTTTGCTAGATACATAAATCTTAAATATTATTAATAAACAGACCTTCCCATACGTTGGAACATCAAAATCATCTTGAAGCTTTGGCTGTGTATCTACCGTAAACAATGAGTCACATATTATATCCTGACTGTCATCACTTTCTGTTGTAATTTCAACAGACTGACTAGTAGAATCTGTGTCATTGTCCCACAGTTCTAATGATAAACTATTGTCATTTTCTTGACACTTAATTGTGAAGGGAATTAGTTCCTCTATAAATTCTTTTATCCGTTTACTGTACTGTCTAAAATTTGAATGAAAAAATACACAAAAAATGTACGTTCACAATTTCAAAACTGGTTTACTCTATTAAAGATACTATTGGCTTTCAAACAAAATAGTGAGGCTCTTGTATACATGTACACAACGAAATGGTTTAAGAAGCCACAAGAATGTATTACAAGCAATAATAATGCCATACAGTACATAATTATTAAGTGAACATAAAATATGTTACACTTAAGAGTGAAAACAATTTCGTACCGTGAAATATTTTCGTCCCGAAACATAACCTTAATAAGTGGTTTCGACGTATCAATGCTGTTGCAAGTTTGCGATGTAGAAACATCTTTGTTGGTCTCCGCGTTCTCGATCGTAATATCTGTTTTGTTTGCAACATCGTTCGACAGCGAACTTTTGACAATAGAACATTTACTTTGGACCTTGTCAACATCATTGATGGTGTCTTGGCTAGAGTCCAAATCAATCACCTCTTCATCGGTGTCTCCGATAGTGATTGTAGAATTCATGGAAGTACTATCGATGCTATCACGATGACATAGATGAAACTGTTTTACCCAGCCTCTCGGTTCATTCACGTGAAACTTATCCTCTTTTAAGCGTTTACTTTTTAAAAAAAAAACAAGACGCTTTAGCCTTACCTATGTAGTTTCAGGAACGCAACGGCACTTTACTGTAGGGGCGCTTCAAACTCGCGCGTAATCGAGTATATTTAAAATTTCCTGAATTTGACTAAGAGAGTATAAAAAAAAGTGTGAAAACATGTACGGGACCCTAATACCTTTAACAGAAATTTATAGTCATGACCTTCAAAAATGTTCATTACACGGTATGTTCTAGTATTGATTTAAACGACAAATGACTTGCATAATCTTATACTTGATCGTGTACGTTTACATTGCTGTTACTAATTACGTCATTTAATAAGCTTAACCATTTGTATAAGTTAAAATATTTTTATGTACTATGCAGACTGTGCAACTCAATATAATTCTTTTACGTGAGTAGAAATATAAATATATAAATAAATGAGTTGTTTTTAATAGATGGCAGCACACATATCTCTACCACTCAAATTTGGACTGGCTGCTGAAGTTCGAGTTTCAAAGAGAGACTGTGTACCTACCATGTAGAAATTAAAATTGTAGGAAGTAATTCGTCTTACATACCACATTTACTTATCAGAAGGTAATATCAGTAACTGATATATTGATATCGTATGTACAACTTGATACTGATAAACAATTTGGAAATATGTGGGGTGTATAACTGGTTTGATATTAATGTAGCATGATGTAAAAATTTGTCGTCAAAAGTAAAAAATGCCAGAATTTATAAAGTCCCTCTTAAAGCCAATTGGAGCATCGTATATAAAGCGTAAAATAGAAATTTCTAAAAGGAATGGTTGGAGGCACGCCATTTTTAAATCCGAGACCAGGTTTTACAAACGACTTGTCACAGGATATTACAAAGGAGAATGGAAAAACGACAAGAAAGAGGGCAAGGGTAGTGAACTAAACAGGTATACAATAATTCCCGCAATTATCATCATTGCTATTCATATTGGTAAAATATAAAATTCCTTCTGTATCTAAAATTGTAAAATAGCGGTTACAATTCATTCAAAATGTCCATAGAAACGGATTTGTGTACGAAGGTGATTGGCTCGATGGTAAACGACATGGATATGGTGTCCTGAGTCAGATTCACGAGGATGGTACTATTTGTATGCGTTACATTGGCCAATGGATGAATGGAAAAAAGAATGGATTTGGGTATAGTTGGTACAAAAACGACAGCTATTATGAGGGCGAGTTTTATCAAAATAAACGAGAAGGTTATGGTCGTATTTGGTACTGTAATGGAGACCACTATGAAGGCAATTGGAAGAACGATCTTCCCGATGGCATAGGAATATTCGTTAAATGTACGAATCCAAATTGTTCTGAACTGAACATTACTAAATAAAATGTATTAAAAAAATTAGTTTATGCTTCACACATTTTTCAGTTAGCGGGAATAGATACGAGGGTGAATTCGTGGCGGGCAAAAAGGAAGGACGCGGCACCTTTTATCACATAGTTACTGGACAGAAACAATCTGGCATTTGGAGAAGTGATTCCTGTATAAGTAGCACTATGTCAGACATGTACTTGCGACAATCGGCTCCTATTCCAACGCCATATCCTATTCCGCGGGTATACACCATTATAATAACCCTTCTTCAATACACTGTTTGATTATCGTATAATTTTCAACAGAATAAATGGGCGAAGGACAGCGAAATCAAAGACGTGTATAAAATGGACAATGATAATACCAAAGAGGAAGAAGTACCGTTTCCTACATGTAAAAGACCATTAAAGCGCATATACCCAAACATCTGCGTGTCCGTAAACACATGTCCCTGTTTGGATTAAATTTCTTAAACAAGAACGTACTGGACCTTGCCTGTATAATTTATTTGGCAAAAGCGCCGCTAATATATATTTATGTATGAACGTAATATATAAACCGTCCGTTCGTATTCAATACAAATTATGTACCATTGAATTGCCGCTTCGCGTGAGATTTGTTTTTTTTTCTTTAACGACGGCAGTACGTTTACCAAGTACAAACGCAAGAGAGACGATGCGAACCATGTAACATAAATGACGTAACTGCGAGTTGCTTTACGTACCTCTGTACAAAGTGCTTGGAAAATCGTTCGAACATCAAGCTATTATTTGAGACAACGAAACTAAAGGAGTCGCGGAATACAAAACACCGCTGTACGGAACAGGCATGATCTCCAGCAGAGATAAGTACACGAACGCGACCTAGTCACGCATATTCGATAAACCATAACCTCTCATTCATGATTGTCAGTCTACGAGCTACATATAGAACATGCGCGATACATTTGTGGCACACCTACTGCTTATCGTGAACTGATACACTTAAGTCGCTACGCGAGAAAGGGAATGTGTTTCAGAGATTTTAACGAACATTGTCGCTCTCTCTCTCTCTCTCTCTCTCTCTCTCTCTCTCCTCTCTGATAACCTTGAACGGTCGGCAGTAGAGAAACAGTGAATGTAAATCTGACAACTGACAGAAGTTAAAAAAATTGGACTTGCAGGGTGCACTATGAAATAAGAAATTCTCGAGACAACGGCTCTCGATGTACACACTAAAAGTTCCTTTCCTTCCTAGCCCAATCCTTCTAGCTTCCGTTTATAACACTACCTTGATTTACGAATTTTCTATTTCTCTACGGTCAACTACACGGTTTCTTAAATCAAACGAAAGGAAAGAATAATAGGAATTATAACGCTCTCGAATGGAGCAGGTTGTCTCGGTTCTAAAGTTTCACGCACACGAGTCTTTTTTAAGTTGCAACGTGAAAGAGACCGTCTTTCCCGTTACATCAGAAACAGCTAATGATCCTATTCGTGCTCTCGTTTGTCCTTTCAGCTACTTCAATATGTACAAGTGGTATACAGTAGCAGCCGCGTTATCGGAGATTCATCAGCTCTACATATGGTTCCTCTACGGAAGGATATCACATTTAAAAAGTAACTCGGTCCGGTGATAAGACACATTTTTAGGGCCGTGTTCAGACCACATGCGTCACGCCTGTCTGCAACAGGTTCACCCCGTTCCTACCCTCGACGTCCGTCGATTCGATCTGTTCTTTAAGTAACTCCAGTTCCCTTATACCGGACACGGTTACCTCGTACTTGTGAGCTACCAGGCTACGGTAGAAGTGGATCGCGAACGCGAGGAATATTATCAACACTGGTATCAGCACTATGCAAGCGGACCAAGCGGCCACTTGAGAGAAGTCGTAGAACTTGACCCAGCAGAGTATGGCGATCTCCAGGAGGAACAGCAGCAGACCCAGTAGCGTGGAGAACGCCCACGCTACCTCGATGTACCAATGCAAACGTTCGTGGGGAGACTCGTGCACCAGGCTGATACTATGGAGATTGCATACGGCCTCTATGTTCGGTAGAATACACGTGGATATCATCAGGGCCAGCATGTGAACCGCCACCAGCAGCGTTGTACATACGGCGAACGCGATCAACATCTCCGATGGAACTTTCGTGTCGGAGTTCAATTGAACCTCAACCATGGCAACCTACGACAAAAAATTAAAAGAATTTTTTTCAACAAAATATTATCTAATCAGGCTACTGAGTTGAAATGTGTAATGAAATATATTCTCTACTTTTAAAACAAAATGCAGATCTGAAAGGGTTAAACGACAATATCTCAAAAATGAAAAACCGTGACATGCAGCGTGTTTATTCTTCCTTCGTATAATTTTCTCGGGCACGAAACAAAGAAAACGAGCGTGTAAATAAATATGCATACCATGGCGAAACCAGAAAGTAGAGCAGACGTTTTGCTCGACGCCTTGAGTTTCGCCCGGCTGAGCTGCAGTTTCCTCCAGGAGAGATAACCCGGGGTATGAAGGCCATCTCCCGACTGCGACATCTTCGACTGCCGGAACAAAAACAAGAGGGAAGATACAAATTATTCAGGGGGCAATCAGGAACCGATACACTAATTGACCGATCGTACACGGACGGCGCAACTTAATCCAAACAGTTGCACTCTCTTAAACACATAGCGGCGGCTAGGCTTCTCCAGCACACAGTAGCCAATTATACGATCCAATTTAAGCTCCACTGATTCAGAATATCAAGCGCGGTGCAATACGATAACACCTAGCTAATCCGCGAGTCCGAAGCAACAGGGCAATCTCCAAGATGCTTATTCAACTCTTTTCTCGTGACTCTGTAAAACTACCAAACGTGTGAAGTCGTAATTAGCGGGAAAAAAATACAAAAAAAAAGAAGAATTGCATTTGGATAATTGCATATCCGGCGACGATTATCAGACATTCCAATAGTTGTCACGCTAAAAATTCTGTGTACGTATACAAGCACGTAAAAAAGAATGTGACACGTACCGTGGAGTAGGACACATACACACGGGGACTGTCCACGGTGCCAAAAGGGGGCGAACAATCCGGCCAAACGTCCCCCCGTGCACTCACATACAAGCGTGCGACAAAAACTCAACAGGGATTACATGCGTAACTTAGAGTGGATTACGAGGTGACACGTTCCCAGTATGTACACCGCGACAAATCGACGTCTCTGCGAGAGATCTGGCGAGCAAGAAAAGAAAAAGAAACCGAAATGTCGGGATTATTCCATCGATTCGACCAACACATAAAACGTAACGTGTAAAAACATCGAACAACGCAAAACAAAAGCACATTTTCGGTGAACGAAATTTCTGCCTCTCTTGTCCACACCACCGCCACCAAGGGACACGTGTGGAAAAGGAAGAAGAGGCACGTCCGCTACGAAAAAAGTTACTGAACGTGAGTAGGAAGAGAACATATACATCGAAGATAAATACCTCTATCTTCAAAGGTCATCTCAATGTCATCTTGTCTTCGTTCGAACAGAAGTAGAGAAACAGACACGTTTACTTCCGGCACATTCGTGCTGATTACAAACTGAAAGCATATAGCTCTGTATTATTGAAAAAATATAGGACGACCTTAAGGTGACCTTGGTGAGATCAACAGAGACTATGTCCTACCGGCGTTTTTTTTTGTAACTTTTACCTTTCGGTGTTCGATATTATTAAAAACAGGAATATTCTGGGAATTAATGAACGAATTATTCTTCTTCGAACTGTGATCCTGAATAGTTTTTGTCTTCGGTGATATACACGATCCTTCGTGTTCCAACCTCCGGCTAACCTTAAGGCGCTAATGCTTCCTGCCGCTCTACGCGGTTTTATGTAAGTGAACTTCACGGACGGGAACCGAAGTTGTTAAAGCGAGGATAATTAACCGGCTCTCGCGATTCTAGGATAAACATTGTGTCGAGTCGTTAACGGAGGCGGTAGCGTGGATTAAGCAATCCTGATTGATTTTATCTATGGCTTCCAAGGATACATGCAGGTGAACGAGGTGTACCATTCAATCTGCGCGCCCGCCGAAGCGGGTAGCGAACACGAAAATCTTCCGTGGAACGTGCAATCGCAGCCACGTCGATCACTGAATCCCGATTAACCCCTTGGGTACATTTGACGACTGAGACTCGTCGTGCACTTGTTTTGCCTACGTGCAAGATGACGAGTCTAATTGGTCATTCGAGTTGAGACAATATTTAACGTGTACATTCTTGTTAATTTCAGAGTAGTTTGTACCAGTTGTAAAAAGAAATAAATTAAATTTCTTCCATATGCAAAATTTTTTTCAAATAAATCAGTACCCAAAGGGTTAAGGTCTATTTAATGTTTAAAGAGCGATGTCTGGGTTTATATTGACAGAGGTTTCCGAAAAGTCTTCATCTGAACCGTCACATTTCTGATAACTAACAGTTAAGCAGGCAGTTGTTTGTATTTGGGCCTGCTAAAAAGGCAGGTGTGTAGTATGTATCGTGTTCTCTACTATATTATGCTTATCAGTATAAGCTTCAATAGTTTGAACTTTTAATAGTTAGTGGTATTAACAATTAAAATCAGGTGTCATTGGTGAATACTTTTTTCTACCACTGTATATGTATAATCAACACGCACACGCACACGCGCGCACGCACGCACGCACGCACACACACATCTAGTATACGTCACCCCGTCGCCGACAGATTAAAATGTCTAATGAAGTTTAATGTGATTTTTATTTCATTTGGAGTCTGTGAACGCTTTTGCTCCTGATAGAATGAATAAATTTCAGTTCGATTTCAGTGTGTGTGCTCGTGAATAGGTCAATAAAAATATCAATACTTATGTAAACATCCGCAGACCAATAAGAAGAGATACAGAGGCTGAATGTGTAATATTTAGCGTTGTTGCGCGGCGATAAAGAGGAAACGAACTGCGAAACGATCAAAGGGACAAGGGGGAGGACTACCGACCTGACAGTCGTGAAATCGCTTGTGGAAGCAGTGGCCGTCAACGTTGCGCAGATGTGTTCGCGCCACGTGTACGTGGATCGGCAGCTGGGAGGAGGGGAGTACCGCTCCGCCTTCCGCGCCAAACACTGAATTGCGTCCAGTGCTTGTCGACCATATGGACATCAGGCTCGATTCGTGCGCGGTTCTGACCACCGCTGAAACAAAAGAAAACACCCATTTAGTCCTACCATTAACGGCCCACGTAGCTTCTTAAACAAGAAAGAAAGTAGAACAGGAAGAGAATAATCCAGTTTACTATTACTAATAAAGAAACATGACAGTTACCAAAAGGCCAGTGATCCTATTAATGTTTACAGTATTCACATTCTTTGGATCTTTAAGGCACCCCTCGCGCCAACGTTGAAAACACTACCGGTAAAGCATTCACTTTTTACGCGAAAACTGAAGAGTTGGCTGCCCTGTTCTTGGTCAAGGAGCGAGTTTTCATTTCTATGAAACTTTCATTTTTTCTGTTTGTCTTAAATCAAGATTTTTGCAAGAAATCGAAGAAAGTTAAAACTACGACAATCGTTCAAGAGGGTATTCAGGTAACAAACGTTTCATTTTGTTTCGAAAAAGGAGTATGAACGTCGTTGCTGTCACGTTTAGCGATCGGTGGCGCGTAACGAAACGTTGACAGTGTTCGAATAACCAGGGCGTTGCACGCACAACGTTCTATTCCAATTTACGCGCCATTACGTAAATGATACATTTCCCGCGATCTTTAACCGATTGTCGTTAGCGAGCACATCGGGACACGCGGAAATCGCATTCCACTGTAAATGTGCACGAATGCACAACAAACGACGATCAAAGTGATTCATTATATTTTCATTTCGATCATGGGTCAGTGTACACCAGGAAGTGCTTGCGGTCACATCGTTAAAAGTTAATCTGTATCTTGAACTGTGGAAACAGTCGAAAAGATAAATAACAAAAGTGAATTATTTTAGATTCTTTTTTGTAAATTATAACACACGGAAAAACCAATCGTACATGAAAGACACTATTGCACGCAAAATATTAAACCGTGATTCGTTTTCATGTGCTTTAGAGACTGGCATAAACCAGTTTTATTTCGCGCACCTGTTCTTTTCAATTTAACCTTGACAGCAGACTGTCATTAAAAACAAGATACCTTTGGGCAGAATAATATAAAATAAAAATGCAAAACCGAAAAAACGGATTCGCATCTATGTATAATGGAATTGCTTGTACGAAAGCGCTGTCTAGTTGGGCAGTGACAAATGACAGAAAACGAGTCAACTCGTCTTCGTTCGAATGAAATTTACTCTTTCATTTCTAAACTGGTATTAGATTCTATAATACCTCAAGGACATCCATAAATTGCATGTATGTGTATGCCGATAGTCGAGCTATAATAGAAAAGAAAAAATTGTTTTGGATACGGTGATACGTGCACGGGACTCAGGGACTGTATATCCACGTAGGTTTCTACTTTCAACGAAAGCGCAACGGATTGTCTACGCCACGACGGTCGTTGCAGTTAATATCGTTTAGAGATACGTGCCAATATCACTAAAAATACAGGGGCCACAGAATGCGCAGTGGTCCCCGTGGCGGCTTGCAGCACGAAATTAAATCGTGATTAAGGCAGTGGATGAACGTAGGAAAATAGTTACCGGTGACCAGAGAACGATTACGTTTGTCCGATATACTTGACGGACATGTCACGTCATTCTGGACAAGAATGATAAATTGCCCCGGGAACATGCTCGTGTCGGTCACCAATGCGGCGAGGATAAGAAAGATTTTCTCTCCAACAATGACCCGATACGAATGGCAGTGGGATACACTTACACGGTGTAAAGATAATCGAACGATGGCCTTTTTAAAATTATACGCTGTACCCCCTATCTTCACTTCCACTCATCGAGAAATGTTAAGAAACCAAGAAGTTAACCAGCGACTGCAATATGTATATTTTCTTTAATCGTTTGCATATGAAAATATTGAAATGAAATGCAAAGAACGTATACTGCTTAGTCTGCAAAAACATAAAGGAAATTGACATTCGGTATAACGTTCATGAAAAATGTTTTGTTTTTTTAACTGTTGTATCTGTTATTGTAACATTTAGAATGAAAAAAGTATATTAACCTGTTAACTGAGGCTATCATCGGCCAAAAACGCCCTCTGTACTCACAATTAGAAATCTGGACAGACGAATTAATTCGTCTTAACCGCGCTTCAAAGATATCCTTTTCAAACGACGAGTTAACTCGTCTTACCCAGTTAACAGGTCAAGGGAATCTGTTGTAGGTTTGAGACGAGTCACGTGTTCGGTAAAGAATAGAAACGTGTTCGGTAAAGAATAGAAACGTATTCTGAACCCGAAATTATATTTACCATTTTGAGGGCGCTCAGGGGAACGAACAGACGAACGCGCGAACTCATGACAGAAATTAAATGCTCTCCCCTTTCTCTCTACACTTTATGCATTCAAAGATATTACGAACTAGAAAGTAACACTTATCAAGGCACGTGAACTTGTGTTAACCGAACATCACACGTTGTCGAGAAATTGGTAATGTATCGAGAGATTAAAACGCGTGCAACCGCGCGTGCACCAAATGACACTGGCGGGAGACACTACAGTACTGAATAAGACGCCGCGATCCGCGATACAACGGCGACCAATAGTCGCGAGCATTGCCGAAGTAGTCCGAGGATCACCGAACGCCTTCGGCCATCTGTGGGTATGTTGGACCGACACACTGAATTCGCGATCAAATGACGTAAGTTTGGTCTCGTTCTTTCGTTTCCTTGTTTTTTTAAATATACACCACGTTCCTCGATAGGACATACAATGGACAGTGTCATAAAGATAAACGTATAAGTAGATTTCATATAAATCCTGTCGATTAATCTTATAAGGCAAGGGACTAAAGCAGACTAAACTTCCTAAGCTTGTATGGCGTTTTGAACTCTATTATTATATTGATATTTTGACGATTTATAAAGATTACATTTCTCTCGGCACGTACGCAAGGCCTATTCAATTACCGACTTCGTGACGGCCATCCTTTTTAGCATGCTACAGCGAAGTACACAATTAATTTTCATGCTCCAACAACATATTTCCTCAAGTGTTTCAGTGTGCGTCCCTTGTTTTATTAAGGACTATGCAGTGTCCGCGTTTACGCGTATTTAATCGTTACTTAACTTACAGAGGGAAGAATCAATTCAACGATTAAGGGGACACGCGTCTCTAGGTTGTTGACACGTGCATCTGTATGTGTATGTATAGCGGATTACTATTCTTGATCAGGCGAATAAATCGGCGTAACGGGAACAGGAGCTTCGTTAGTCACCAACGGGCATGCAGTGATACATTGCGTGGTCCCCTTTCGTCCTCTCTAATACACTGCATAAAATTTGTCATCAACCGATTCAAAGTTTTCAACGGGCCACAAATATTTAAGCGAATACAAATTTCTGTCTATCCATGTACCTACTTGAAAACAAAATAAAAATTATTTATTAAATTTTATCATACTCGCGACTACATTGAATTTCAGACAGTCACGTATGCTATCAAATGCATTAAATCCGCAATCTGATCGGAACATCGACCGTATTTTAAAATTTAATTCGTGACAATCAAGATAACCTGAACGGTGCAGATCGAACAGGCTGTTACAAGACCGACAACACGGTAACGGATTCCTGTTTACTGTTTTTTTTTCTTGCCAGTTCTGAGAATAAGGCGGCTATAAAAAACGATTGAAATTGATAGAGATCGATGGTTTTAGCTATATTTACATTTACCCGTAACAGGAATAGCTTGTCCCTGTTTTTCCTTGCTTTCCCCTGGAGCTCGAACCGATACAACCGGGCTCATGGCCTTTCTAATTTTCATCACTCGGGGGTTTCGTAGTTTTACGGTCAGACGAATTTTCGCCAGAGCTAGCCGGGGACGCAAAGTGGTCGGCTGGTAGGTAATTTTACTTAGGCTTTTTCTCGTGGCAAGCAGCCAGGACGCGGGCATTTCTATCGTGAACCGATGTGCACCGTCTACGTCTACGACCGCAGTCATGGTCAGGGCACCCCTAGCCTACTTGCCGATGGTACCCGTCTGATCTATTTAAAACCCCGATTCCTACGGTGAAAATTCACTTTTAAACGCCTAGTTTGCTTGTGTTTCTAAAAGACCACCCCTCGTCTCCGGTAATATCAGGCGCCCGATTGTAGAAGTATATAAATCATCGATAAATACATTCCAATTGTTTGTAACTGGCTGCTCTCGTATCTTTCAACGATCCCGCGGTGTTCCGTCAATAAACTACACAACTCGAAAATGCTTGTTTTTTCTTTTTTCTACCGTTAGCTTGGATCTCGGAGAATTTCAAGTGATTTTTACTGGTACGAGTCTGCGGTATCTCTGCTCGATTAATTTTAACTCGTATCTTTATTTGTTTTAATCAATGGAAAAAAACGGTATCCCCCTTCCCGTAACTCGTACGCAGGATTAACCATTTTACGGAACGAATCTGTGATGATACGTAATATTTTACGGTACGCCTTTCAGAGTAACCGTTAATTACTCGAGGAATTCACGGCGAAGGAGTGAGCGTGATGCGCGACGAGATAATCGTGATGTATCGCGAGACGTCGTTAAACTCATCATCGTCTGGGCAACCGATGTCCTAGAATCTTGGTAACGTTGTTCGTCTATAAGACGTTCTAATTGTCGAATTACAGTAATGCCTCTGACAAGCTAATATTTTTTTTTAATACAGCAGAACCATAGAGACCTATAACCAGCGCCGGATTAAGGAAGGGGCAAGGGGGTTGCAGCCCCGGGCCCCACTTTCCAGGGGGCCCCGATTCAAAACCTTCCATTTATGTAAAAAATAATTGAATGAAAGCTTGAATTAATACCGTGAAAATATAACAAAGCATTGCTCGTTATGATTGTATGTTATTTAATTGTATTTAGAATAAATTTCAATTTATTAAGATTTATTTATTTTATTGTAAGTTTTATTACCAAAATTTTGTTGACTTTTCAACCAAGGGGGCCCTCGAAGGTTTGATAATAATCTTAACCGGTCCTGCCTATAGGATTATGAAGTAAAACATCGTTATTTTACTAGGTTCTTATTCCATTACCTCAACATTTTTTTATCAATGCAACAATTTCAGATCGATTTTTATTTCTTGTTTCGGATAATCTGAAACCATGTTCCCTGCGTTATACAAATGCGATTGTTCGAATAATGAACAGCGTTACAATTGTGAAAAGTGTTCAGCTAACCGAGCCATTACTGTATTCACATCATCCAGTTCAAAAAGATTCCACGATATCGCAAGTCCTTATTATCGGAATCTGTCTGTATGCAACCAGGCTATTCGCAGTATGAATATATCCTGTTATTACCAGAGACCCAACGGCAATTGCGCACTATTATGTGTTTCGCCGTTGATAAAAAAAAACACGTCGTAAGGTAAGTTACAAACACGGTATCAGATTTATTGCCTGTTCCAAAATGAATTAAAAAACAAAGAACAAATAAAACTAGAAAACAGGTTTGACAGCCCTTAACAACTGGGAGAAATTATCGAGAAACAACACGAGCATTTAAAAAAAACAAGGTTAAGATCTTGGGACAACATCAAGATAAGACAGCAGGAAAGACTTTCGTTGCTCAAATAACTTTGCATAAGTACACCGCGCCACCGGTAGAGAGGTAGAGACACACGTCTTTAGACCGGCAACGAGAGTATTTTCGTTCGCAACTTCTGTACCCGTATGATATTAAATCTCCACCGAGCGGCAATAGTATACCCGGTAAACTACTCGGAATACATCACGCCGCCGGATATTCTTTTTTCAGAACCAGTTTACTGCAGATTCACCGGAACAACTCGAGCGTACATTCACGTGCCACAAGAAGACTACATATTACGATCAATGAAGTTTTTCACTTACAGGAACCATTTTCAGTTCGGCGTCGTGACTCCAGGTTCATGATTACGGGCGCATTAATAAACAACCATGTGTTTTACGAAGGTAATTGACCGTATTCCAACGAAAAGAATTAGATCAACAGAACAGGTAATCGTATCTTCGAAACACAGCCCCGAAATTGTATCCACTATAACTGCACTTTTTTGGTTAATACACGAATGATCGTACGGTGGTGTACACTCGCGCACACGGGTATTAGGGTGCGTTTACATCACTGACTTTTTCCATTCCGCGATTCGAATCGTTTCGTGAACCTCGAAAACTGACGCATTTGGGTTTCCTCGATTCTTGGCGGACAACGACCACGGCGGGAAGTCTCGACTCTCGCGCATGCGGCGTACAGGAACACTTGCTACAATAAATGATATTTATTTATTGTCTTCGATTAGGCGGTTCTCCCGTTCCACCGACCCTACATTCTGGTTATTCGAGAGACGCGCCCGGAGAATGGTCACTAAAATCGCGGGGCGACGAATACGCGTGATACGCATCGGTTCCGGCCTCCTGTTACGGTTTGTTGTATTTATCTGGCCACAGCGCGGCGCGGAGTGTCCTGCTCTCGAGCAAGGCCGAGAGAAAGGTGCCTTTAGGGATCGGACTTTCCTGCACGTTTTCTATCGGTCAGTGTTTCCCAACCGTTGTGTTTTCCCCTGGAAATCCCTCTGCCCCGAATGGAAATTTTTGGGACGCTTGTGCATTGCACTCACGTACCGCATCGGATTCAGGGGATGTCCAGAAGCTTCATTCTACAGAGAATTGTATTGGTACTACGATTCGTTATACCGCGAAGCAATATTCGTGTGTCTGCATCCTGCGATAGAACCACTGCTTCGGGTCGTTGCCTTTAAGGTATAAACACGACGGGTGTGGGTTCCGTTTCCGTGTGGAACCTTGACTCAACTTGTGTAATGTAACAAGTTCCTTACATAATTAGCAAGTATGGCTTCTACTAACCGATTTCACGGTCGAGGAATTTCAAAATAAAAATAGTTTCACGATGAATTACTCGTATACGTACGTCCGTAATTTGTGTGTGATGACGTTACATTCAAATGCTTCGAGAGATAAATGGATGCGTGGCAATACAGTGTTTACAGGAAATATCCCTAGGTACACTACGAAGATTACTTTTACTTCGAATGTTAAATTTTAAACGATATCACGTGGGTATGAGAATATAAATTTGACAAGTTACGACGGAGATATTTACATATTGATGAATAAATATGAGTCAACGTGACCGACGTGGATAACGCGAATAAATAGAACCCACGAAACAAACGGTACGAGGCTGATGTGGGAATGATTTACTAAATCGTAAACCTATATAACCTATATGCTTCAGAATTGATCGAACGTCAGTTTTTTTTTTAAATTTCATATACTATTGCCTTTTTGAAGTTTACACGTTCACCATGTTACGAGAAAGTATCACGAAGTTAATTGTAAACGTTACTACAAAGTGCAAAGTATATTGAATGAAGGACATGTAAAGGTCTTCTATCCCTGGTGGACACGAAAAGTGTGATCGTTAAGTCGATTGCCAATTGAAATACTCACGTTTTGGGTGCCGGAACTAACGGATTGACAGAAATATGTCCCGAAACGAAACTACGTGTGTCGCTTAGGTTAGTAAAATTCTTTAAATTCTGTTTGTGATTAATCTGTTTTTTTTTTAAGCTTTAATTCAACGTCAATAGGTATTTACACGCAGAAAGAAACTTCAAAGTTTCAGATGGTTATCAGTATTATCTTTTCAAAGTATCAATGGAATCCAGTTGAAAAAAGGTTGCTATACGATGTCACTGCAATCCTTTCCACCAACTGTACATGTCTATTACACGTTTCCTTCAATATGATAGCAATTGACACGATGACACACAATCAAAACGCAATCAACTTCTATGAATCTTGTGTCACGTAATTGACGAATAACCTTAAAAAAAAGTACACTTACTCGAGACGTCTTGTATAACCGCCGAATTCGTCCCGGTTCGTTATCGGTGAATGCGTTCCGTTACACGGTGTACTTCCTTCCGCAAATTTATGCCGGTACAGGACGCCGATAACGTGTCGTTCGCAATAAATCTGCATTCTATGATGCAGCAGGCAACCGATGGTCACGGTCGCATTGGCTAATTCTCGTTCCCCTGTGTCGAACACTGATTGCCGAAAATAACGTTCTCGTTAATTAACGGTTTTCGATTTCGGCCAGACAAGAGAACGTACGCCACTTTTCGTCTTACGCCATGACTAGGCTGGATTAGGCGCGCGCACGGTATCTCGAGCGGGAGATCGATCGAGGTGGAATCGGTGGAATCAGGCACAAACGACCGCAGAATAGTTGGCGCCGAATGTTAACGTATCTTAACGATTTGTATCTCAAAAAATGGCTCCCAATTTTCTCCTTTCGAATCTGAAATTGCTCCCACAACACCGTTTATATTTAATGAGATATGGCAATATTCCTGGAATTCTGGTCCTCTGTAACCTCAAAGGCTACAATAAACGAGCGCCTACCATATGACGTAATACCTAACCTCTATGCAATAACAATATTTCGTTTGCTCCTCGTTAACAAGTTGTTATTGAGATATCTGACTATTGATTATTATAAAACAAATCAGGAGCAATTTTTTGGTGCCATAATATTTGTGTAAAAAGGCCATTTACTACCTATTTTGTAAACAACAAATTTTTGCTTCTTCTTTTGCGAATATCTCATTAACTATAAACGGTGCTGTGGGAGCAATTTTTTGAGATATAAATCGTTAAGATACGTTAACATTCGGCGCCAACTATTTTCCGGTGCACAAACTGGTGTACGAAAGTTTTTCGGGGGACGCTGGCGCCCCGTTATCATTTTAGGGTCACACTCGACGTTACCGACGTATCCTATTTCGCTACCAGTTTCATCATTTCGCCACGGATGGCGCCACTTGTATTTTTCTTTAATTGTATAGATCTGACATAGTACTGCCATCTTTTGACCAAACTGAGTGACGCAGGGGACAGTCATATTCACAAAGTAGATACGAAACCCCTCGCTAGATGGTTCGGTCGGTGCCTCGAAACTGGCGGCACGACATTTAATTTCAGGTCGGTCACCTTCACGAGTGAATCTCTCGTACAATAGAATTGTCGATCTACACAACATAATTAAATCAAGTGCTGCTAAATCCTGGAAATTATCGAGGTTGTTACGATCACGAAGCAATATAGAAAAGTGTTCCACCTAACCCGATCCTCCAGTGACCTTTGTTTCGACTACATTATCAGGTACATAGACGTTACAGACTTTTCGATCGGGGTTATAGTCTGGAGCAAACAGCAGGGAAAGCGATGCTCTGCGAGCGATGTAGCGATATAGGTGTTCGATAACTGTAGAGTAATGAGATGCCGCAGATTTACTCATAGATTCGCGCGCATTCACCGTTGTCCAATCTTATGTCGCATCGTTTTCAATGCAATCAGGCACATCGCGGAGGAGGAGGAGGAGGAGGAGCTGGAGGAGGAGGAGGTGGTGCCCATCTCTCGTCGAGTTCTCCGCGCGGAGGATTACCACGGTCTCTTTCGCCGCGGAAGACGATCGTGTTGATTTTCCGATCGATTTCTGTTCCCCCTGTGCAGCTGTGCTTGATCCACGAACCGATCGACGAAGTGTGGTGGGGTGTCGTGGCACGTAGTGCCGTCATCGGGAACACCGGCGTACCGGGCGAACACAGCGGTGCCATTCTTTAGGCACCAATCACCGCGGTGCATTCATTTTTAGCGAGGGAATCGGTTCGAGAACTGGAGCGCGGAACGCGGCGAACGGAAGAGACACCTGTTGCACTATAAAGTAAGCCCCCGACCGGCCGGCCGCCCGTGGAAACCGCGTTTCGAAACTGAGCCCCGCCGCACCGTAAATTTTTGTTTGCGAAGTGAAACCACCGTAAGTACACCGTGATTTGTTTACAAAGCGAAACGGACACCAAAGGAACACCGCGGCGGTTCATATGCAAAGTGAAACAATCCGGGACAGTTTTTGCTGACGAAGTGAAAGAGCCTTTGGCGAGAACAGCTCGAGGTATCTTCTTGGTTAATATCGTTTGTACGCTAGACCGTACTACTTCATGGTCGATGCCCACCTCCGACCGGTCGAAGAGAATCTACTCGGTCACAACACGCACACACAGTTTGCACGTATGTTTGAAACTTTTTCTTATTTATCACTTTCATTATATTTCTTGTATAATTTCTAATCTTTTCTTTGTACTCTCGATTGCGTTTAATACGGGCTGTCCAATTGACACACGCTGTTAATAGATTTGTGTGGAATTCTAATTAACCTCTAGGCTGGTGCTATCATCCAATCGTTTTAATCGTAGTTTCCTGTTAGTGAATATTTTTATAAAGTCGTTGTCACCATACGAAATTAGTACATCGGTAATTTTTATATTTTGAAATTTCGTATTTTTCTAGTTGCGATTGTTTTGTCTTGACAATTTCCAGTGCTTGATTCAGTGATAGATCGGTTATAGTGTGTACTTTAATGCAACTGGTCCTGCATAATAACGAGTCAATTATCATACGATTACCATACGAGACATCTATTACGCGAAATTGATAACAGTTCGCCGCGTGCCTGGCGCTGTTTCACTTTCTAAGACACAATTTTCCCGCGGGTAATATCACGCGTGTCAATTGCCTGTCCGTGGAATCGAGGAGGAAAGAAAAGAAAGAACGAAGGTAAAAATGACGTGCCTTAAACCCGATATAATCGTGAGTCGTCGATTAAAAGCTGCGAAATAGGAGGCAGTCGAACAGACGAGTGTAGCGAGTGCAGAGGAAAGGCGATCCATCGAGTGGCCGTCGTTCTTTCCCAAGTCACCAGGCAATACAACACGTATCTCGGAAACGACCATGTCGAAGTCATTGAATTTGGCGGACGACCAGCGTTTCGCATTGATGAAGGTAACTGTACGATCTTTAAGAAAAAAAATAACGTGACCCTGACCGGTAACGCGGCAGTGTTGGCCTCCGGAGAACGATGCATGAACCCAGTATACAGGGTGGTTCACGTAAATTCGGACAAGTCATATCCTTCTTCTGGTTAGAAACGTAGAATTTCTTTTTGCATAAATTATACACGAAATACATTGAATTCGGTATCTAAGAACTCGGTGGTCAGTAGCCGTTTCTTTCAGTACATATTCGTAAAATCGCGTTGCGTACCAAGCATCTAGATAAACTTCACAACTGATCGGAATAAATCGTGCATATGCTCGCGAAGGAATACGGTTCACATAATGAAACGATACTCGGGCGTCCTTGTTCCAAGAGATTACCAGGAAAGCAGTGAACTATCAATGAGAGGAAATTCGTGCTCGGACTCTCAAGAAGAGTGACTTGCGCGTGAAGCGTATCGAATCGCGGAAAACGTTGTCCTTGATGGTACTATAAACATTACGAGATACGTGGAAATTTCCATATCACGTCGTTATTTAATAATAATAATAATAATAATAATAATAATAATTACGATGCTCTCGATGCACATCTAATATGCTTCTTAATGGCCTTTATGGTAATCTGCCGGACAAAATGTCAATTTTCTTTCAATTTCAATTATCGCCGTCGGAAATTTATGCAAATTTTAGTCGTGACATTCAACTTATTTTTCCACAGAAAACCACTACTGATACTAACGGATCACTGTGTATATAAAAATAATGACTTACCCTGGTCATCTTCGCACTACAAACAACCATTCATTAAATGCTCGTTTGCGTGTGTCTAGTTCCATTCGTATCTAAATCGTAATTACAATTTCACTTTGATGGCCGGTTGCCTAGAATACACCTCCTCTTCCAAGCGAGTCCCGTTAACGTGACTTTCGTCGCTGGGAACGTGCATTATCCGGCAGAATTTCTCCCGATGAAAATCATTTTATCTTCTCGTGACTTCTTCCATGACCGACCGATATACACATACTATACGTATACATATCTATGTATGAATACATCCGGGCGATTTCGCGCGGCCGCGACGCCTAGAGACGGTTCTTTACAATCTTTACCGGTGTGTTTTTGTTTGCCGGACGTTGATCGAAAGGGAACGGGTTCTGGGAGTAAAACGGCACTTTCTTTACCCTGTTACTCTGTACACGCGTGACGTAGTTGAAGATTAGCCTCGGTCGTTGGCAGACATCGTAAATTTCGAATGGCATCGATCCGATGAACCATGCGAAGATACATATACAGGGTGGTCCGGCGGAACGAGCCTGAAACGCTTCGACTGTATTAATTTTTAAAACTTATGCCGCTATCGTACGTGAAGCTACAATTATGATAATTATGATAATTATGATAATTATGATAATTATGATTGATCGGAGATTATTACAGTTACATGGTATATCTGTGAATTGTATGACGTTTTCTTTAAATAGCCTCTGTATACATACATATATTATGTATAGATTGCTTCGGATCCTATCACAAGCCCGTACATTCATTACGAATCAAGGTTCAGAATTATAAATGTAGGTCAAAGCCCTTCGGAAGGAAAACGAAACATCGAGAAACAGCAAAATTTTCCGGGTGTACATGTACATATGTACACACGACATGGGACATATACACATGTGTATACGACGACGATCGAGGTCTAGTTTAGTTTAGGAAATGATACATGTACCGTCCGCGTATAAGGAAAGCAACGCGATGCGAGCAAGTATGCAGATTTTTCGATCGTCTCGTCTGTGGTACAACTCGGACACGGATGACAACAGTTTTGCGTTTCGTGGAATACGATTAACCTTTCGGAACAATGAATGACGATAGATTTCTGTATATAACTCCGTGACGTGCAGGAATTTTGACTGTGTTTTCCGTGAATACATACACACTGCGAGAGAGTGATTGCTCCCTTCTTTTCTAACCTCCCTGACACGGTTCCCCTTAACTATTCGCAAATATGTGCACAGCGAGGACAACTGTTGCGCGGTATCACCATCGTGATTATAAGAATTCCGTAACGAGACCTCAGGAGACCCACTGATGCCCCCCAGTGTTGGTATGTGTACCGCGCCGATTCATAAGGAAATAGAACCGGTTCGGTGGACGTGAAGTAATTGTTGCGTATGCCGCCGTACGATCTTCTCACCTTTAATATTTTCCGTTTGTTTTTCATTTGCGTCAGGGCGTATCAGTTTTTTCTAGGATAGATTACGGATAGTACAACGGATTACGAAAGAATCGAACGAATTCATAGGTTCTTCCTTATGTGTTTTTTTTTACCACGTTGGCTGTCGACCAGTGATAGACTGTACTGTGGGGCGCATGGTGTTTCGGACATCGGTAACCGGATCGGCTATGACCTGGCGAAAAATTCGCGTGAAAGTAAACGCAACGGTGGTTTTGTGGACTACGCGAAACGATACGACGGTATAGAGGTAGAACATTTTTCTTTTGGTCCTCGAAGCGAACGGGGAACACTTGGACCGAATAAAAAAAACCGTTCCCGCCTCTAATGGGTCTCGTGCAGGAAGCACTGTTGCTCGAGTTTTTTGTATGCTCGTAGATGTACCGTGCGATATCATGGGCTGAATATTAACAACACTGACCGAAAAAATAACTACATTTCTAACAAATACGACTATACAGGGTGTTACCGAACAACAATGGTCTACGACTTTTAGGTGCCTATAGTATTCACCGATTGGAGTGAAAAATGTCCAATCAACATACATAGGTCCTAAAATGAATAAACTCCTCTTGAAAAGGAGGAAAATTTTACACCGAACACTGCCAGAAGTAAGGTATACAAAGTCCTTCACAATTACGTCGTGTTTTTAGTCGCGACGTACACTATCGACCAAAAGTATGGAACCAGGTCTGATAATTAAACAAAGAGACAAATATTATTTTACAAAGATTTGATGAATCTAATGTGCTACAACTGATTGAATATGCTTTGTATATGTACTGATTCCGTAACTTTTATTACATCGTAACAGGATAATTAGTTACCGTTGCATTAATCATGAACTCAGGTCCCATGGGGGGGGGGGGGGGGGATTGCATGCGGTTTGTCGAACGAAATTTCCGTTGTACACTATTTTCAAATGACCAATACGAATTTCTGATTTCAGTTTAGACGTTCGGTCCAAAGCATCTTGCAGCCGCATCACGACGATTACTTTCTACTGCGCTGGCTCCGAGGTAACGAGTGCGACTGAAAATCGTGCATCGCAATAGCTCAATTTTGCTAACGTTGTGTGTATGTTGTGTTGCATTAGTGTCCCCCGTCGGTGTCCACACTCTTCCGACTATACCGGACGTATCACGCGTTTTCACGTGACAGTAAATTGTGACTCTTACGGGTCATGGCACTATGAAATGTATTAGTGACTTTTGTCGTCGTGAATATCGAATATTGTCGTACAGTGTCACGGACAACGAAAGCCATAAATTTTTCTGTCACGTAAAAACGTACCTTTATTCGCGCGACGGATACGACCCAAGAAAATCACGTGGGTCCATTCCCCTCATTATCGCGACTACCGGATACGTTTGAACCTTCTCAAAGTAGTAGCCGTTCAGCGAACATGTTTTTCTAGTTGACACGCGAGTGTTGACTATAAGCAGTCGTCGGTGTGACTAGTCAGCGAAAAACGACGACAATATGTTGCGGCCCCCGAGGTCAAGAGATTAATTGCAGGGAACGTAAAAAAAATCCCACTCTGCCGATAAGTGACATTTCCTAGACAAAATCCTTCGGTCAAGAATATGTTAAAAGCCATTGTTGGATCGTGGAGGCTTCATAGAAACACCCATAAAAAGAGCCTTGTTACGTAAACCGCCGCGCGTCATAATATTACGCGAAGGTGTTTTATAGGCAACCAGAAATTGTTTTTCGCGTGAGATTCAACCAGGTGAAAAATGTTGCCTTTTGCATTTAATGCTGTTTGGACAGAGAACGATTCCAGGAATTTTGCGCGGCCCGTGGAACCGGTACGCCCGGAGGGATAAACAGTGAAAAACTTCTTATTTATGCGAGGCATTTTGAACGGGCCACTAATTGCTGAATTACACTAAATTCAGAATGATGCTAGAAATGCGCAGAATCGAGAGAAATCTTGCTTTTACGTTTATGATCGAAGGATTTTTAATCGCAAAACGGGCCTGTGGTAACTTGACGATCTTGTTGGACACCGCGGTTGCACTTGCAGTACACTTCGTGGGATTAACCCTTTTGGTACCTTAAAGCCGATATATCGATTTTGTGGGTTTTCCGAAAAATATCTTCTAAAATAAGTTTATATACTTAGTGGAACATACATTTACTGGATAGGAATACTAAAATTTAACAAAAAAGCATGAAAATATTATAAGAGAATATTTACAAGAGAAATAAGTCAATTATAATGGATACTTCAAAAGTCGCATATTTTTCAAGGTATTTTTGGACGGCACCCGGAAAACATAAGGTTCTATAAGGGTTAATTAATGGTTGTATATTTTCTTAACGAGTTTTGAACTATTTTTTAGCTAGAAAATGGGACTCGGTTGCCGCGGAGAAGATGCTTCGAGACGTAAGTGTGGTTACTTGTACACGCAGTCGATTCGCGTCTCTTCTTTCGGTTTCGTAAGAATTACATAGGAAAGCTGACCGTATTTATGCGTTCGGTTAAACGGAAATGCGTGCTCGATTACAATGGTCCCCGCTTTCAAAGAGTCTTGGTCAATCCTTTGGCACACAAGCTACTCGACGTACCCCTACCGCTCATGAATATCTGCCCATTTATATTGGACCCACTTCGCTATACGATGGGATTGATTTTGGAAAACAACAGATCTCCCTTGTAACAAGGGCCATAAAGCAAACGGGAATTCATGATCGTGAAATGTGAAATGAACAGAAGTACTTTGTAGAATGAGCAGTATCGTTTTCTAGAAATATTTACGAGCGATGGTGTATGTCGTTGTAGGATGAGCAATATCGTTTTTCAACTTTAAAACGTAAATTGAACGCTAAGCCTAAAAGATTATTGAAAGATATCGTTGAGTTGAGTGGGCTTCCCTGATTTACGGTTTAAAGTCTTTCAGATAGTGTACAGACTATTAATCAGTATGTACATCGTGATCACGGAATACCTACATTTATGACATATATGTTTATGAAATACTATCGGAATTCGAAGAAGATTATAAATCAATCAGCGCGTAGCTCCTCGCAAAAATATATTTTTTTTCCCGAATAAAGGCCATCGCGTATTTTGTTAGAAGCGCAACAAAGCGACGCGGCGACTCGACGCGAAAAATATTTTTTACCAACAATTCGCGTCATTCGCTGGGCTTTTCTTTGCTCCGCTTCGGTCTAGTGTGCCCGGCTCCATAAGAATTAATTATTTATAATATTTTCGCTTCGCTTCGCCGCATTTCGCCAAAATGCACGACGACCTTAATCGTTCTCCTCGGCACGCAAAAAGAGAACGACCTAAACACGACATGCGCTTCACCACGAAGTTCCGAGAAGAAGTCGCCAAAGGAAAGCGCTCAACAACGTCCAAACAATACGTCGCACAGTGGGGGCAAAAGCCCAAGAAAGAGCGGAAAAAGTCAACGTGCTATTTTTTGCGCAACCTTTCCATTCCAAACAATTCGTTTTACTCTCTCTCTCCCCCCTCGCCGTGCTCGACGGGCCAAAGTGCGAATCGACCACCTGCAAATCCAACGTTTTGTTTTTTAACGAGTCTTTCTTGCGATTAATTTGGCGGCCAATTACGATGCCGCCGCTAAGTATTCTTCCAGGATTATCTTGAGGGGGAGGGGGAGATTGTTTCACGCAAGTCGGGTGAAATCGACTGGTTGGCTAGCCGTCGAGCCGTTAAAGAATGGGTTTTTCTTACCGTTTAGAAGCCTATCGAAATTTTTCGAAGTACATACCAGCCGCGTGTACCGGGGAACGCGGTTTCGCGGAACTTTCTCGGTGGGTACCGTGTCTCTACGAAGCACCGTTGCGAAAGGCTGATGACTGGTCAGCGGCAACGCAATAGGTTTGACGCCGCTTCGCGGGGGACATGCAACGCGATCGTGTCTGTGGCCGATGATTTCGAGACAAGGGATCCGTGGCGGCTATGGAAAAAGCACCTTTCGCGAAAGTCCGCGGGGGTTCGTTGCGACATCCTTCCCACTGCCGGGCACCACCGAACCGAACTTGTATTCGCGGATTTAATGGGCCCACAGAGTCCTGTTTTATGTAATAACATTTGTAGTTTCAGCGGCGCGAAAGTGGTTGGGAAATGAAGCAATATGCATTTTTAGGGGATACGAAAATACGATGGATAATATGCTGATAGAAATGATATTCGAGTTTTGAAGTTTCTCGTACCGAAATGGGAAACATTCGATGGGTATCACGATGTAAGATAGACGCTACCCAACTTCAAATCCGACGTAGCTTATTGTTGATATTAATTTAGTAATCGTGTAGCTTATTATACATATATTGTGTACTTTGAATGGGCTCTAAGCAGGAGTTACCTCCCCCAGATTTCCCCTACCAGCAGACTCGTGAACTCTCGAGCGTAATGAATGTGACCGAAAACGTGTAATTTTGTACGAAACATAATACGCTTTCTTCAAATAGACCAGGTGTCTTGATATTTATGAACGGTCAGTGTACGTACACAGTCGAGTCGTTGATTAATCGTTGTGACGAGGGCATAAAGAATAACGTTTAAATAGTTGTAATCTATGACCTTTTTCAAAATCGTGAAAATCCAACTGAATTTCGAACGTCTTGTTTTAACATCACCGACTCTAACATCACGCCATCTGCGATTCGCCGAGAAACTATGGATGAGATAATGATTTGTACATCCTGCTTCTAATAATTAAGCTGACATGTTTTATGTTCTAGTTTTTTTCAAATATTGTTTAGAAGAAATCGACCGGTCACATCGGGTTAAACGGTCGCGCGCAACCGTATACACGCACGCTGTGATCGCGTGTTGCGAAAGAAGGAACCTGACACTCGACCGACGCGCTGGTAACGTTACCCGCGGCATCGTATCATTATCGATTTCTACAACGAACGTAGTGGCTGACCCCACTCTCCGCCCAGGAAGATATAAGAGTCATTTCAGAGTGTTTCAAACACCGGACCGCCTCGTAATCGTTGACATTCAACACTTTCTTGCTCGATAGAATCCCGGATATTGACGCTACGCGTCAACTGCAATCGCGTTTCCTTTCTCCTTGGAACGTGCGATGCAGGCGTTAAATTTCCCAATCCCCGCGGATTAACCTTCCTTCCGTATTGGATTCGAGACGAGTTTCAAGATGAAAAAAAAGAAAAAAAAAAAAAGCCCAATCTACTTCCTTAGGAAACCAGGCATATAAAGTATCATCGGTATACCGACGATGTTGCTCGTTCGTTAAAGGTTTATGGATCGAGCAGATCTGAAGTTACAAGTTCTAGTCTCAGAAATGAAACATAGAATTGTCCGATGGAATTCCAATGTTCTCGTTTCATTTTTGCATTCCTTTCACCTCCAATTACACAAACACACGATCATTGAGGAAATTATCGTTATTGTTATTGTATCGTGTGTAACCACTGACTTTTAACAATGTTTTGTTTGTTATTGCAGTCAATGGAATGGCGGAAACAGTGGGAAGTTGATAAATTGTCCGAATGGGATCCACCCGAAATGCTAGATAAACATTTGCCCCACGGTTTGAGCGGCTTTGACAAGGATGGGGCTCCAGGTAATATTTTCCAACGTTTCAACGTTTCAACGTTGGAAAATAAAGGGGATGCGTTTGCTAATGTCGATATTTTTACAGTGATTGTGGTGTATTTCGATGCGCTGGACTTGTACGGGATTCTGCACGTGTTCTCGCGACGGGAGATGATAAAGATCACTATAAAACACTTGGAGAAATATCTGAAATTGTGTTGGGAGCAGATGCAGAAGCATGGTCCCCCAGCCGGGCAAGTGGTCGTGATCTTCGACATGCAAGGATTCAACTTGAGACAATATCTCTGGCGACCAGGTAAAACCATGTCGAACAACCGTGATTGATCGTCCCACGAGGGATTTCGTATCACCGTTATTAAAGACTTATTTTTCGAAACCTGTGATTTCTGTCGATGCACACAAAAAACGGACCATTAAGATGCGAGAGATGATTGCATAACAGAAGGAACACTTTTTCCACAGAAAACATTATGGTTTGAGCAACCATCAGTTACTAATCCTTTCACGTTCACTTCTAAACCGTTACATAATTTGTAGATCCTTCGATGTAATCCTGTTAAGATTCTTAAAATGTTTATCTTTCTGAAATCGGCGACCTCTTCGTCTCTGTAATTACAAGGAAATAATAATTACTCTTCATTTCACTTTGCAGCCGGCGAAGTGGTCATCACATTACTCCAAATGTACGAAGCTAATTACCCTGAGATTTTGAAAATCTGTTACATCATCAATGGTGTGTATTATTGTAATACGAGGATAATTTGTCGATGAAAGTATTGACATCAAATTACGCGCACTTTAATACTTGCTTTTGTTCGATCGCAGCTCCGAAAGTATTCGCATTCGCGTTTTCGGTGGCGAAGAAGTTTATGAACGAGTACACTTTGTCGAAGATTCAGATATACAAGGCTGAGCCTGCGAAATGGCAAGTGGCGATATTCAGTAATGTCGAGAAGGATCAGGTACCAGCCTACCTTGGGGGTACCCTTAAGGATCCGGATGGTAACCCAAAACTTGGAACGAAGGTACAATACCATATTGAATTTCCCGATAGGTAAAGTCTACCAAATGAAACTGAATTTAGAGGAAAGATTGATATGGTTGTTAATTATATGTAGATTCATTTGGGTGGCAAGGTCCCGAAAGAGATGTACGTGAACAACGTAGAGAAAGATAAGCAGAATGATTTTACAACGGTGACAATTCGAAAAGGTGGAAAATTAGAGCTCAATATGGATGCATCGGAGATGGGATGTTTGCTGAGGTACAATGAGACCAAGTGATCATAGTCGGCCAAGACACTGGCGCTATTGCCATATTGCCAAGTATTTAAACGTTCGAATGTCCATGATTTTGAATAATTCCAGCTGGGAATTCCGAACCGAGGATCATGACATTAAATTTGGTATCATAAAGATAGAAACGAACGGAAGCAAGAAGGAAGTTATACCCGTGCGGCGAGTAGCTGCCCATCAATTGGATGAAATTGGAATCCTCACTTGTGAAGTACCTGCCACTTGTGAGTACACAAGACCTTCTAATGGACGAATCCAACTTCTTGATAATATATCGGCAATTTTATCTATTTTAGATTCAGTCGTTTTCGATAATAGTTACAGTCTTTTGAGAAACAAGAAAATTCATTATTCCGTACGAGTTTTACCGCCGTCGGAATCGCAAGAAATAACACCAGCTTCATGACGAATAAGAACCAAAAACGAACGATTTTAATAAGAACATTCTCTAGCTAATTGTTAATGCATCATGAAAAACAAGGGTCCAGTTATTTCATTTTTTTTTTTTAAATTAATATTACTCTTTAAATACCAAAAAGAATATTTCTGTTATACAAGAAAATTTTACAAATTTTATACCAATAATTTATTTGCCCATTTTATAAGACTACCTTTTGTACGTAATAATTCACTGCAACTCCTAATTGTATGAAAAATGTAATTTTTTATTTTTAGTGGTTGTAATTGTTATTGTAATATAAATGTAGGATTTTTATACATGCATTGTTATTAAGCCTGTACATGTTTGTATAAAATAGAATGGATAATTCTACTGTGGTTTTTTAACAATAAAACAAAAAAAAAAACAATCTCATACTAAACAACTTTGGATGCAATATTTATCTTTGGAGACTTACAGAACTGCTTGTCTTGAACTTCATTAGTGCAACAAGACTATTGTTCTTTAATCATCGTCATCTGTCAGTAACATTTCAATGAGATCCACTTTCAGACACTGATCACCTTCCAGACGTTTTTGTGTACCCCATCTTGCCAACGTTGGTAGTACTTTTAACTTGGTGGTAGAATTTTTTCGAAATGGACAATTCAAGTCTTTCCAGCTGACAAAATAATGTTCTCTTTATTTATCATTCTCATTCTATTTGCAGTGCGCTGTAGTCTACTGTTATATGTATAACACATATTATATTCATGTGTTATATAGTATATAGTATAATTTGTATAAATTAAATCATGTTCGATTCATTTATAAACAACACTGTTACTTACAGTGGTCGATCTCCGACTTCTACGACAACCAAGTGTACTGATTCTGGAGCTGCTTTTATTCCTTCTTCTATAAAAGGTTCCGCTATGACAAAAACGAAATTTTCACGAATATCATCATGAACTACTAATTTTTATGACAGTCGATCAGCTGAGCTAAGTATTATTTCACTCGGGAAAGTTTAATAAACACATCTACAGTTAGGTTATGTACAAAACAAATGACAGTACTTCGGCACTGATACCTTCAACGCAGTCGGAACACCAACTTTTTCCATTGGGAAGTTTCGTACCACTATAAAGCACATAAACCGGTTCGTTGGCTTCGAACTTTTCCATAAATTTCAAAAAGTTTTCATATCCCTGGATTGTATGACGTACAACCATTTTTCGTTCTTTGTTTTATTGTCACCGTAGTGTTAAATTTGGTTCTCGTCACTATTCTGTATGTTAATCTGCAATCTCCTATCAGTATCAAAGTATTTATATAGTACCATCCATTACGCTTGGTATTTTCAGTTGATAAGAATCCTGTTGATAAGGAAAAACTTTGAGAATTTATCAAGCAAAATTGCTATCGATTCAAACGAAATCGTTTCATTCAATCCCTGCTTTCTTCATGGGGCGATACAACATTGTAATGTAAACAGCTAGCCAATTGTATGGCTAGCAGTTTCAGCGATTCGCCACGGGTGGCGCCACCGGTCGAAAAAATAGTGGTATTCCGCGATTAAATGCGATTTTGACAGTGTTCTGGTCGTTTATTGTTATTTTCAATGACAGGAGATTAATCTACGCTCTTTCAGCTTCAAACTGAATGCTTGATCAAGACGTAACTTGTCCATAGAACGTTGGAAGAGCTATTTAAAGTGAACTAAACGGGGTACGCATTGCGAGATAGAGTGTCACCCGTTGCAAAAAATTGAGATTTTAACAATGTTCTTGTAATTACTGGTTCCCAGCCGTTATAGGGTACCAATCTCCATTCTTTAAACTTCGAATGTAATGCATGACGAAGAAAAGTGTTGCCTGTTTAGTGGTATTCGATCGGATTTACACTGCTAAACGAGCATCAGCTTTCCTCGTCATGGATTACATTCGAAGTTTAAAAAACGCAGATTAGTACTCTCTGGCAGGTGGGAACCAGTAATTACAAGAACATTGTTAAAATCTCAATTGTCTGCAACGGTTGACACTCTATCTCGCGATGCGTACCCCGTTTAGTTCACTTTAGACAAGTCATACAACGTTATCCTGACAACTTTCGTCTTGACCAAGCATTCGATTTGTAGCTTAAAGAACGTAGATTAATCGACTGTCATTAACAGTAACAATAAACGACCAGAACATTGTTAAAATCGCATTTAATCGCGGAATACCACTTTTTTGACTGGTGGCGCCGCCCGTGGCGAATCGCTCAAACTGCTAGCCAAATTATATCGACAGGTGAGTGAAAATTTCTAGTGATGGAAAAATGCAAATATCTCAGTACTGAAGCACTTAAAATGAACGCCCTTAGTCTCAAATTGTCCCTCAGGACTTAATGCATGTACCCAATAGTGCAGAACCCTTGAATTAGTAAAATTAGTTATGCCTGTATTACCGTAGCCCCTTATGAAGCGGCAACCGTAATTGCAAAAGATTTCGACTGCATTTACACCGCTAAACGGGCATGGTTCTTTTTCGTTTTGCATTAGATACACCGTTTAAACAACGTAGATTAATATTCTCTAACGGCTGGAAACGAGTAATCGCAAGAACATTGTTAAAATCTCAATTGTTTGCAACGGTTAACACTGTATCTCGCCATGTGTACCCCGTTTAGTTCACTTTGAATAGCTCTTCCAACGTTCTATGGACAAGTTACGTCTTGATCAAGCATTCAGGTTGAAGCTGAAAGAACGTAGATTAATCTCCTGTCATTGAAAATAACAATAAACGACCAGAACACTGTTAAAATCGCATTTAATCGCGGAATACCACTACTTTTTCGACCTGTGGCGCCATCCGTGGCGAATCGCTGAAACTGCTAGCCATATAATTGGCTAGTAGTTTCAGCGTTTTAACAGGGCAGCAGAAAATCCCTGACTTTTTACACTATCGGTATTTCAGAACATGAAACACGAAGTCCCATAAGATGATAGGTCTATCCTATACCTCGTCGGTGGTAGAACGATGCAGAATGATGCAGAACGGTGATATTCAAACGAACCGCGGAATTAATCGCATCGCAGAGACCGCCCGCAGGGACTTGGCAATACCGCTCGGTTATTCTGTGTTGTGTCGACAGTTGTCGATCTCTCGTCGAATTTTGATTGGCGGAGAAAACGCACCCTCCCACTCTGATAACCGCGCGATGACGGGGACCGCGCGGCCAATCGCAGGACACACGAGGCGAGGGTGTTTGGTATGCCCTGGGACGGGGCAGCTTGTTCGTGGTAATTCTCAAGGTTTTGACCGTGTAACAATATTGTCGTAGTCGTCGTAGTCAATCGTTGGTGAAGAAATAGTTCGGCATTAGATCGGCCACGAGATCACCTCGGTCCTCAGCTAACAGAGCGTAGAATGGCCGCGGTTTTTGATATCGAGTTGCACGATGCAGACACGGTGAATAGAGACGAGTCGGACGACGATATTATCGAGATCGGCGAGGTAATTCACCATCTGCACGCGATCACCGCACTAGTCTCACCTTATCGCCTTGTTCTTCTATTTTTCTATTTCGTTCCCTTTAACGCTCGTCACCCGTGTCTTCTTTTTCTCTTTTCACGTAGGAAGAGTACGACGCGAACCCGAACGTGAACGAGATCACTGAGTGAGTAAGCCTTTTCCGTGGCTGGCGTGCAGAACAGTCGTGTCCAGCCTCGAGGTAATGACAATTTTCCGTTTGCCAGATCGGAAGGTGTCGAAACAGTGCCCATATCCGAGCAGGATGTAAATCGAGGAAGGGAAAGGGCTGGTCCCGAGGATTTCGAGCTCTGCAAAGTTATTGGGAAGGGTGGTTATGGCAAGGTCTTTCAAGTGCGTAAAATAACGGGTAATGACAGTGGGACGATCTTCGCGATGAAGGTAGGCCAGATCCGTCGATTTACTTATATGTTTTCCTTATTATTAATTCCTTAGTGATGTCGTGAAACGTGATACAATATTTTCCCGGGATTTTATCCGCCTACGAAAATTTATTTTAATGTTTTGGTCAGAATTATGTAAGTTCTTTGTCTACCTTTGTTTCTCTGTGCCTTGTTACCTGTTGTGAATTCTTGATTGTTCTTTTAAGAGTGTGTAGCTTAATTGATCTCTTGTTTTTTGATGATCTGTGCAAAATAAGTGAAAGGTACTAAATAAGGAATACAGTCATTTGACAGAACATGTGGTTTGAAGTGCAGGCATTAATTGTCCTTTACTTTATAATTTACATCTTTCTGTTATCAAAACAGAATATGTCAAACAGTTGAATGATATAAATTACTATAATGCGATTGACAATGAAATGAATGTTATTATATGAAGTTATTCTTTAATGACATTCATTCATTCATAAATTATTTTACATGAATTTATTTTTAATGTAGGTCTTACGTAAAGCTTCAATTATAAGGAATCAAAAAGATACTGCACATACTAAAGCTGAAAGGAACATCTTGGAAGCTGTAAAGGTAAGTTTAAAATATACACATTTAATCGATCAGACGAGATGTGTGACTTTTTGCCGTCTGGTTGTATATGTCATTTCAACCCTGAATATGAACTAAAAGTAGTATTTACTCAGAGAATATTTACATTTACAGTATTATTTAAGCAATGACCTAACATGTAGTTATCATAGTTTATGGGCTATAACTTTACTAAATAAAGTCTAATTTAAAAAACATATTCAAACATATGTATATTTGTATCTGGCAGCATCCTTTCATCGTAGACCTTATGTATGCTTTTCAAACTGGTGGCAAATTATATTTGATCTTGGAATATATGTGTGGTGGTGAATTGTTTCGACATTTAAATGATGAAGGCATTTTCCTTGAAGAAACTGCTTGGTAGGTGAAATTACAATAGAGTCACTTCTCTAATTATAATTTCTATTATACATTTCCAACTAATGAGAAAACTTTACGTATATAATTTATTTGTGCAGTTTCTACTTGTCGGAAATAATATTGGCCCTCCAACATCTGCATTTACAAGGAATTATTTATAGGTATCTTCGGTTTCCATAAAATATCAATTAAAGTATAATGTCATGCCTTTTGTTTCTTATTATTGATGTATTGTTATTAATAAATTTTCAGAGATCTGAAGCCGGAAAATATTCTATTAGATGCAGAAGGACATATAAAGTTAACAGATTTTGGTTTGTGCAAAGAGCACATACAAGATGATACTGTTACACATACATTCTGTGGTACTATAGAATACATGTAAGAAAACAGTATTTAATACAGTTCTAGTTACGAGCTTTTAGGATGTTAATATTTATATGGATGTTACATCTTCCAAATTAAAGGGCTCCAGAAATTTTAACAAGAAGTGGCCATGGTAAAGCAGTAGATTGGTGGAGCCTTGGAACTTTAATGTACGATATGCTTACAGGATCAGTAAGTATCCTTGCAAGTTTCACTTTTTTATGAATTTATTTTTGTCCCCCTTTATGTTCACTCTTCCATGTTTCTTAATGTATCAATAAATATTCCTATTTTCGTATACTAAATTTCCAGCCACCATTCACGTCTGACAATCGAAAGAAAACTATTGGAAAGATTCTGTGTGGAAAGTTGAATCTTCCACAGTATTTGACGCCCGATTCCAGGGATCTCATTCGGAAGCTACTAAAGGTTTTATTTGTCAAATTATAAAACCTAAGCGACTCTTCACTGTACCTAAACTATATAACATATTTATGTTCTACAGAGGCAAGTCGCTCAGAGATTGGGATCCGGTCCGTCGGACGCGGAACAAATAAAAGGTCACCAATTTTTCAAGCATATCAATTGGACCGACGTCATTTCCCGAAAGTTGGAACCGCCTTTTAGACCAACACTAACCAGCGAGGATGATGTGTCACAGTTTGACAAAAAGTTCACAACATCCGCGCCAATAGACTCTCCAGCGGAGTACACATTAAGTGAATCAGCGAACAGAGTATTTCAAGTTCGTGTTGTTTCTGTACTGATTTTTATTTTTTTATTTTAATTCAATCAAATACCCGCAAAAAGTTCATTTAGTCATTTACTAAAAAAATTTTAATCAATTTCAGGGATTTACATACGTGGCACCCAGCATACTAGAGGACATGTACTCACAGCCTCGCGTCATAAATGCTAGAAGTCCACGTAGAGGCAATATGCGCGGTTTTTCACCGCGGACGACGCACTTTCATTTACATAACACACACGTACAAAATCATAGGTAAGTTGTTTTTTGTTTGTTATTACGTCAGTATTACGCGATACGGTTGATTTAACACGTTTACATGTTTAATTGTGCACGTGCAACAATAATTGTCAACATGAACAATTTATAGACACAATGGAGTTGGACATGCCAATATGGAAGACACGGAGATGATCGAGATAGGCTAACTGCCATTTGTTTTATAGTGGAAAATGGTTAGCATTTCGGCCTAACTGCTGGATATCCATGACCAAATCCTTGTGTCTCAGGGAGGGATTTTATAAAGATATAGATGGAGTAGCAAAAGGATAGGTCGAATATCCGGTACTTCATTGGATATTCAGCAGTTAAAATTTAGCTAATTTTTTTTTTAAATCAAATTTAAATATAACAAAGGTACTAACTAAGAGTATGCTTTAAGAACAGCGACGCAGCAGTTATTTGGTAGCCCGTAATAATATATATATATATATTTATGAGTGAAAAGTTCGGATTATAAATAATCAAGGAGGAAAGATTTTATTTACTTATTTGTCGTTGGTTACGATGTACTGAACGCTCTGACGAGACCCATTATTCGCATACATTATAGTCGAGATACTGCACACGTTTCATTGTCCTGTTAATACGTGTAACGACTTAATTGTGTTTTGTAAATACTGATATGCAGGTTGGTTGGATATTCATGTATAGGTACACAAACGACATTTATGCTAAGTGCGACAGACTGAAAAATTCCAGCACTTTTAGAGACTCACAAATTAACACTGTTAAAACAATTTTGAGGTTCAACCATCCTGTAACACTTGTATATTTAAAGAAAAAGTAAGGAAAGAAGGAAAGAAAAAAACTACACGGCAAACGTAATTTAATCGCGGTATACGTGATTGCTTAAATGTGATCAATTGAGAATGGACAAAAGACAAATAGACTTAATTACAAAGATTCACAGCTGCCACAACCGCTCCGCCGCTCAAAATTTCATATCCGGCTCGTTCATTTAAATTTAAATAAGACGAAGAAGAAACGAAAACTATTGTCAGCAGTAATAACGTTTCCATGGCAATAATGTGAAAACAATAACGTGTTACGTGATAGTCATAGACAGTGTTTGTGTAATACTGCAACGGAATTGCATTTGTACAATTGAAAGTTCCTACGAAGCATGAGTCGAAATGCAGCATGCTCCGATCTTCAAACATACAAATATTTTTTCGTAGAAGTATATTCTTGTTTATCCATATGTACGTGTACAAAAAGAACCTCTTTTATTTAGTCGTTTACGCCTTGAAGGAGGAAAAAATGAAACCCGTTTTGTTGTGATTTTGTGTATTTAACAGAAAAAGATTTAGCGTGAAAACAAGTTACCATGGTAACAATGTTACTGCGAAACGTTGATCTTGCGACGAGACGAAGATATAGTTCATATTTAACATTCGTGTTCACATGTTGTTCAGTGTGTCATCATACTATCGCAGTTTATTTAAATAATATCTATTCGTTACGTATATTTGTACATTATTAAACACTAATATATAAATATATAAATATTGATTTGATGTACGCATACGATAAAATAGTGAAAGGTAAAATAGTGTAAAGGATAAGCATTCAGAGTGACTGTTGGCTGCTCACCGAGACAAAAAAAAAAGAAACTTTAAACTACCCAAGTGTTCACAGGCCATATTAGCCGACATATTACAATTTTAACTACATGTATACAGCGAAAAATATGATGGTCGAAATGTTCAGTCGAGTAAATAGAATTCTCGTTGCGATTAATCAGCGACTACCAAAAGTTCGCTGTTTTTATCTCTCTCTTTGTCTGTTATAAATTTGATAAATCGCATTTCGACTATGCATAAGCGAAACAAGTGCGTAAGACACGTTACCGTTAGGAAGTTTGGGATCACTATCTTATCGTACATTCTATTGTTAATTATTTTGAACTTCCAAGAAAATTATCTGACACTATTCTTTGAATTCTGTAACTTTCCTTCCTTGAACGTTTAACATTACAAAATATTGATCCCAATCTCATAAACGACAGTGTACGTACATGATTGTACTATTCGCAATTGTATACTGTTTTCTCGATAGGAACTTGCTACTCTTAGTAACGACATTCTTTAGTCTAGAGCAGAGATGACCAATCAGTTATTCGATTAAGAGAAAAAAAATAAGATAAGGTATATCGAAAGAAATTAATCGTTTGATAATATAAATTAAGATACAATAATTTCTATTAAATTACTATCCACGCTGATTTAGAGTAAAAATGAAAACGGTACGTAAAGCGACGAGGTCTTAAGTTGGATAAGTTAAGTTCTTATAGAGAAAACAATACTATGAACAGAATGCGTATTGTGAGATGATAATTTATAAGCCACAATTTTCTGTATGTATCGAAGGGACAATGTATTTGCGATGTTGGAACGAGAATCTGTCTACAGAGTCGGGTCAAGTTTGTCGTATTTAACGTTCAAGAACGTTTTTCGATGGTGGAAAGTATTCGGGACTTGCCATATTGACGATGTTTATTGTTTTCAGTACGTCGTTGTAACAGATTCATAGAAAATTAGCATTTCATTGATAATAATGAAAAGAAGAATTACGTCTATACCGACGTCACAGTGTATTAGCATATCTATTTAATGTACGTACTATAATTTTTTATGCGTTTTTTGATAATCTAGATTCTAGATTCTAGAACATTGTAGAAGTTCAAGTACCATTTTGAAACTTGTTAAAATCCGCGGGAAACTTGGGCGTTCATTGCAATCATCCACTTTGTAGGTAGATTCTGCTAACGAGCTGCTTGCAACCAACCTTGGTGCTGATACTCATTGATTTGATTTGATTCTAAGTGGCCTGAAAAATCAGATTCATTTTTATACATAAAAACATAAAGAAAGAAGAAACAATTATGCGGTAGCGTGTAGTGCTCTATACTTACATAGATCTTGTATATTACGTTCTCTCGTAGCGTTTGAAAGCGTACGGAACGAATTTAGCGGAAATTTTTATTTTTCCACACGTTTCCCTTTTCAGTGATGTATGATTCTGAAAAGAAGCGTTTATGGTTACCCAAGGCACAAGATATGTTAGTTAAGTGCTTAAAAGAATATCATCGAACGATGTATAAACGACACTAGCCATTGGCCAGACGAAGTGATAAATGGTTTAATGCTTCCAATTAAAAAAAGAAATATAGATTCTTCAATTGACTTATTGCTACTATCGTTTGTAATCCTCTAAATTGTATTTACAAATAAATATAATGATTTGTGACATGGTTTTGTCATATACGTCATTGTTTCACTCTGATCCCTCCTATGCAAATGAAATTTCGGTGGTATCACCGATATATGTATGTATGTATGTATGCATGTATTATGTACTTAGGGGTTACCACATAACATTGGACTGTTGAACTTCCCTGGATCGATAATGTGCATTAACTATTATTGATTGTTGTATGATTTTTTATCATGAAAATTGTATCCAAGTACTCTTAGGTTGCAGTCTGTGGGATGGATTAATTGGATTATGAAGGAAAGCGTTAACAGTTTAATGCAAACAGCTGAATACGTACAAAGGACATTTGGCCCGCGCATGCCGTGTCATACTAATGCCGGATTATACATATATGTATATGCACATGGCAGGCATCGGACGAGGAATGAAGAAACAGCGTCACTCGCGTGGGAGGAATGTTGCGTGGTTGTGAATTCACGGGGGAACAGTCGAACGGATCACGGATGATCCAGCTCGATTGTTGCCTTGGATACTTGCTCGAGCAAGCTCTATGTTCCGCGCGTAAATGGCGTACGATTGCAACATAGCGCTTCCTTCCGTTCCCGGCGAACGATAGTTTACGTACGTCAGCTGTTCGAAGGCATGAACGCGCGCAGTAAGATCGCGAAGGTGTTTGCGGTGCTTGCGCCGCGATTCCAGGCCATCGAGTGTTCGCATCGATGTTCTCGAGAATCGATCAGAGGCCTCGACGCGAAGTGTTTCTCGATAACATGTTGACAGTTTCGACAATTGAAGTGGGCAACGATTTTGACCGTTAGAAATAAAGTTATGGCGTAGCTTTTTCGAGTGTGGATCTAGTTCGTATTCGCCTTGATTATAATCATAATCTTATTCGCCGGGCGATTATATTATGCTGCAGGTAAAACTGGTAGATAGACATTGGTTCTAATTACGGTGAAGAATTCAATTAAGATCTGATCCTGATCGATCGGAACAGATGTAGGCTTGGTGTTACGAATAGTGTGTATATCCTACTGCTCGAGTCACCTATTGACGAACGATTGACGAGAGAATTAATTAACGGTCTCTGCTTTCTCTCCATTAAATCCGGATCAGATTGCGGTTCAATTAAACGGATGACTGTTTAAATTTCAATTGAATCGATGTTAAATACCGGGATTGAAGATTTGAAATAGATATTGGTTAGGACGGGGTCTATCTTTGGCCCCTGCTTATAAACAGGGTCTAGGGCACGTAATTTAGGCAGCCCCGTATAGTACGAATGAACGTTAGGAATTGTTATATTTAAATACTAACAGAAAGGCCCATAAAAGATTACTTTAATTGTTCTGAGTGAACAATTTTTATTCGATTCAAATGAATACATCACATCGATTCACGTTGATTTCTGTGGCTATACTTTTTTGTTCTATTCTGTGTGTGTGTGTGTGTGTGTGTGTGTGTGTGTGTGTGTGTGTGTGTGTGTAAAGTTATAGCTTGGTTAGATCGGAGATGCGTCGTAGATAAATTCCAAGACGAAGCCTAGCTTGGATGCAGATGCATTCGTCAACAAATGGCGCGATGATTCATCGTGATAATTTGAATGCAGGTTCGCGGTCGACTCGAATCGGTTGATCAAGTGCCAGCATCGAGACGAGACGTCAGTTGTTGTTGCGGCTCACTTCCGGTCTTCAACGCCGGTAAAACGAAATTTCGTACCGAACGAACGATTCTTACGAAGATTTCTCGACGAATTCCCGACCAATCTGGAACGTAATTCACATTTCAAGTGTTCAACGACGAATTTTCCCTGTAATTTGTCCACGGTATCGTGATAAAGGTTAGTAAAAATATTTCCGATCCATAACCATTAACCCCCATTAACCGTGTTGGTGATTGCCGACCAATCATATTAGAAAAGTGAAAGAGATTCTGATTGGTCGTACACGAAATCGTAACGTACATAAATTCAAATGGTAATTTACTGCGGATCTTATGCGCCCAATAAGAAACAATAAAATACAAAACGAAATTAATTCAAGAAATTGGAGATTTACACAAAAATTCATGAGCCAATTATGACATCAGTCCGATACGGGATGTCCGTTACGATGTAATTTACAAATAGCAATCTCTGTCTTCATTAGAGTTGTATGCGGTGTAATTGAGATAGTGTCATTGGTGTATTGGTTCGTCGATCTCTTCAACAGGTTCCAACGATACGTTTAAAATCGGATAATCGACATATCCACGATGGTGGGTGTTGTTGATCTGTCTGACGTAAATGAAGAGACCACGAAGGTAAAATAATCAACTTAGGCTGTGACATAAATGAAAACGCGTGGGTAACTCGAAGCGAAGAACGGATTACCGTTTACTCAGAACTGTGCATACATTCGCAGGTTACCGCGTTAGTGATAGATATTCAGGGCCCAAATGGTAACAAAAAGACCCGAAACGTACAAATATATGCACACGGACTGTAATATGTAAAGTCGGGTCAGATTTACACTTGACTTGGACTGAATCGAAGTTGTGATGCGTATCAGGATGTATTGGACCAGGGCTGCGATGGATCCGTGTATTAGGCTGTCTTAGATCCAAGTTGGTCCTACATCAATCTACATCAACGGTCCCATGCAAACCAAGTGTAAATCATGATTGAGCTCGAAGATGGTCCCGCAGAAGACGCTCTGAAAAATCCCAGAAGATTGGTACGATCGCTAGGCGGAGGGAGACGGAACGTCTGTGTCGAGCAATTTTTGGTTCCACCCCGATGAGCATGTCTCCTCGGTGACCGTTGAGGATGACTCCCGTCGGATATTTTTGAGTCCACTGTTACCGCGTGCCGCGGCGTACATTTAATACGTATCTCTAAGGCTGGTACGCACGTATATGTATATGTATATGTATATCGGTTGTGTGCGCTTGTATATTCGCGTTCGTTCCGCTCGCTCGCTCGTTTGCCCGCTAGCTCGCTGGTGGCCGTGCCTGTCTATTATTAGTCGACAGTCATCGGAGTCGGTCGTAGCGTGCGCGCGGCCGAGCGACGACGACGGACGTGAAACCCGCGGAAAAAGCTGGAAAAAAATTCGACACACGGTGAGGCAAAATAAAAACGCGGTTCTTCCCACGAGAATTTTTCTCGTGTGGGCCACACGTGTGTTCGCCGTGCGTGTGGTGTCCACCGTTCTCATCAGGCCTTAACGTCACACACGGCGGATAGTTCCCGATCCTCCGCGCAGCCCACCGGTGACATCCCTCGTGGGACAGAGAGGAGTTTCATTCGACGCTATCTCGACGCCCTTGGATACGATGATGATGATGATGATGATGATGATGATTCTAGCACGCTTTTCACTGTGAGTCTCGCCGCGTTCACTCGGCGATCTATGCGTCTCTTGATCTACAACGCGATGCCCCTCCCCTTCTCTTGATCGAAAGCTCCTTTTATTTCGCGCGAGTCGGTTCGAGAGGTTTTCGTGAAAGCTCCTACGCGTTACTGTGAGACTGTCGACTGGGTTTGTTTTTTATTTCTTTTCGGTGGAATTACTATTACTACTACTACTACTACTACTATTACTACTACTACTGCTACTACTACTACTACTACTACTACTACTACTACTACTACTACTACTACTACTACCATACCATTTCTACTACTTTTATGGATGACTCTAATATGTCGTAGTTTGTGGAAAGTGAAGTATGTAGCTCCTTTTGCTTTTGTACGTTTTGTCGTTTCGAGAGATTTGCATGAAAGCTACACCACGAGGGAAGCTGATCGAATTGGAATGTCTTTGGAGGGAATTGATCGATGACGATCTGATTTATTCCGGGTACTGCTTCTGTGCATGGATAGAGATATGATGGTAGTTTGTGGAAAGTGATGTAGAGTTCACCCGTGTGTCTCTTCTTGTATATTTGTAGTCCTCCTGTTTGGTGTGTCGAAGCGTGAGTGAGTGTTTGGTCCACAGTGGGAATGTATATGTATGCCATTGAAGACTTTATTGGCCTTTGTGGGAAGACCCACGCGTGGTAGTTTGTGGCCCTCGCCGTTGACGAGCGAGAGAAGTTTTACTTGTTGTAGCGTCGTATTGGTAATCGACACGTGAATGGAGTTTCTAATTTCAATTATATTGTTAACATAAGGAACCAGTGAACTTGTTATAATATTTTTATTATTTATTTTCTTTAAGATGAGGGATGCGATTTCGCAGAAAGGAAACAATAACAGTAACAATAATAACAATAACGCAACACCCTCGAAGACCAAGCCTTCCTTGGAGATTTATCGACCTCCAGGTTCGTACGTTTATTATTTACTTAATTATTCGGATAATAGAATACAGTAAATATTAAGATTATAATATTTCTTCAGGCGGAAGAACAGAAGGAGCCACGGCGAACGTCACTAATCCGCGATTGAACGTACACGCGAAGGAGTTCACTATGAAGCAGAACGATTCGCATCCTTCTAAGTGAGTATAAACTACATAGAAGAACAGTGAAGACACGGGTTGACTGTATGTGTCGGGCGCATTACAGCGGATTGTCTGGAATGTTAATAAACAGCATATATGTATATCCGCGAAATCTAATTAATCTGCGACAGATCTCGGAACGCTTCAGAGCGATCCCCGTACTATCTGCAGCATAGCAAGTCGAGCGGCAACGTGCACCGGTATTTGTACGCGCAACAACAGCAACAGATACAGCACACCCTGCAGCAACAACATCACCAGATATCCCGTCAGTCGCAGGGCAGTCATCATTCGGCGCTCAGACAGGCACATCCGCTCGATAATTCCGCGTCGGGTGGTAATATTATACATGTAGGAAAAGAATTATACATGTAATGCTTAAATATATACATATAATATGATTATATTGAAATTATTCCGTATCGGTTTCACAGGGCTCCGGTAGGGTCCATTTCAGCGTGGACCAGAACGAAGTTAAAGCGAATCCGGGAAAACCCGGCAGGCTCACCAAGTCGTTGTCCTTTGTCTCTACGTACGGTTTGAAACGATCGAAAAGCCTGAACGCAGCCGATGTGTTGGCCGCGAAGGCGATGAACATCTCGGACGCCTCGGAATTAGGGAAATTCCCTCCTGGGGTTCAGGACACGCTACTGAGGGCCATCGAAGGTATACATATAAGCGTAGATTTATTAACACAGGAAAAATCGCATCTACAAATGGAGTTTCAATTGCTTGGCTATTTTCGTTGGCTAGATCCGAATCTATTAAATGCAAGAGCGCTCATGGAACTGGTACGCCACATTCTCGAGAGGGTTGTCGAGAACCGGAAATACGCGGAGCCTGCGGCGAAAATTTGTATCACCATTATAGAGGTTGACGTTTGTCGAGATAGCATTACCGTAAATACAGTATATGCAAATTCCAGTTGGCGGGTCAAGGTCACCGAAAGGTTTTGGTTACCGCCAGAATCATTCTGTAGCCGTTTTTTTTCTATTTCCTAGATTTTGCAATTTAATGTTCTTGGAATCGAACCTGAAATATCTAGCTAGAATTTGCATTCGCAATATGGGGTCGTATCCTGTCTAACTCTGATCGGTGTGTGATACAATCGGTGCAGAAAGAAGCTAAGGAAACGTTCTTGGAGTCCTTGTTAAACATGTGCCAGCAGTGGTACCAGGATCGCGTGAAGATATTATACGACAGATCCAGTTACCATCGTTACTCTGCCTTCATGACGTTCCTGAACGAGATGTATTGTCAGGTAGGGCACGTTCAACCGGATCCGGTTTTTTTATGCCTCGCGTAGAGGCAACATGACAACAGACGTCTAATAATACACACACCTGAACCGTTCGAGGTACTGTTACACGATCTTCGCTCGCACCTTTGATCATCGTTGAATGTTTTTGCGGGATACACGAGCAGGGACGACGATTATTAACGCATCCGTCTTCATGCATATGTATGCTTACGGTTCGCAGTTGAAGCGGAGGCAGCTCCAGCTGAAGACGCAACAGGAGGGCGTTCCTCCTGGACGCGTTCTCTTGACGTTGCTTTGGAAGTGCTGTCAGGACTGCTTGCAGCCACCTGTCGTCAATTCTCTGGCGGAGGTACCCAAAACGTTTCATTTATCGTTGCCCGAATATTTTCTGCAAATTGCCATTGCTGGTTAAACAGTATATTATGGTTTGTGCTTCAAGGACGAGTGACATTTTCTTCTCTTCTGTTTCAAAGACGGACTGTCTGTTCTTCGTCCTGACGTGTATCGGCAAGGACTTGGACACTGAACTGCCGGCCCAGTTGCAACAGTTGCTCGGCAGCTTGAGGGACGCGTTTCTCGCCGAGGACACGATCCTGCCTCCGGTCCGAAAGACCCTTCTGCAACTGATCGAGCTTCACGCCGCCCACTGGCAGCTTCCTGCTCCGGCGGTCGTCTACTATTACCCTGGATCGACCTCGAAATGATCCTTTGCCATCTCCGGCCCCTCCGTCCATTCGTGTCGGGCTCTGTCTCGCGTGTCCGCAATCAAGTACGCGTGGATTCAAGCGAGTGCGGTGTATATGGAACAAATGCGATGACCTTGACGTTCGTATTGCCACTTCTGGGAGTCTCTTGTGCGTCCAGTCTGTCGACACTCGATGTACTGGGGAGTTCTATCGTTTAACATTTCACGAGGACACTGTATTTGTTTCATCGAGCGTGCACGAGTTAACAGGGTTCTCTGTACTCGAATGCATGTCGGGATCTCGGATCGTTTCGAATAAAAATGAAACGAGTCCCGTTAGGCTCCGGGCTATAAAGAATCGTTTCCGAAGGTGATCGATCGCCTCGGGCGACTCGATGAAAGCTTGCATGGTCGTTACAGGATCCGTAGATCCGTTTGCAAACATTAATCTTGTATCGGATATGATACTTGATCCGATTTTGCGAATGAAATTCTTTAAATGTTGCTCACTGCTCCAAATGATTGAAATAGCTAACCAGATGACTCGTGAACGAGATATTCTATATAACGTTAACGTTACAAAGAAGAATCCTATTTCTTTTGTTAAAAACTCAGCTGACGTTTATACCGCATTACATTTTGAATATTTATATCTGCAATAAACGTATAATAAGTCTTTCGTATACCTCTAGAAATCGAGTCTGTGAAACGGAATGAAATTCGCAAAAGCTGTGAGATCAAAGCAACATTAACAAAAATTTGTCAAATAGACCTAATGAAAGTCATTCTCGTTTCATTCGCATGATCTCAGATTATTCGTCGAACTTGTAAAGCAAACAAAAAATGGCTCCGAAATCGCAACAAGAAGCGTTTGTTCGAACGACGATGCGTCGGCTTCGAAACATGCGACCGTGATCTCGTCGTTACCGGGAAGAATGATTGTTCGCCGTCGTCACAAGACTCGTAACAAGAAAAAACAAAAAACGATTTACCGACAATTGTTATTGCGCGTATCCGTGGGAAATGACGCAAAACTCATCGATTCTGGCACCGACCGTTCTCGATTAACGTCCATGTAGACGACTTGGCCGGCAGGGGGGACACTTCGCGGTTACAGATTAGAAACGATTTCGTCAGTAAGTCACTGGGCTAAGAAATCGGGACATTCGAAACCGGTACGATGCTTGATGTCTTGGCCAGAAATTATCACATCTCGCCATGGAATCCGAGGAATCTGAGAGTGTTCACCTCTCGAGGTGCGCAGGTTCACGGTTAAAGTCGGACATTGAAAGTCTCGGAGGGATTTGCGACAACGGAACCATGTCGAAAAATCGATGAAAAAACTTTTCAATCTTATTCAAGTTTCGTATTATACTGTCGACACAATTTTTGCATTCTTCGACATGGATTGTTTTTTCTCTTTTTTTTTTTTTTGGTAAACCGCGTACGATGGAACGAGCGCACGATCGAAGCAGCAGTCGTTTGTAGAATGGAGGATCGAGGAAGTTCGAGAGATTCCAGTGGGATATTCGCCTCGAATTTTTCCTCGGCTTTTTCCGTAAATACCGAACGAATTCTGAAAGAGAAACGACCCTCATGTGGAACGATCCGAGCACGCTTTACGATGACACAATAATATAATGTCGACTGAACGCGATTGTACATCCAGGTATTTCGCCTGGCCGCGTGAATACCAGAGGACCACTTCTCCTCGACGTCTTCCGTACGAAACACGGGGAATGGTAGTAGTGACACTGTGAATGACTTAATAATTGAAATACAGGTGCAACGATTTGTTTTAATCCGATGTTGTTATTGTTTCTCTTGTATTCGTCTTGGCGTAACGATTACATTGCATTTCAGGTGAAACGGATGGAGAATGAACGTTGTGACGTTGTCGACGTTGCTAAATGTACCCCGGATGATTCATAATAGAAAAGATATGAAGAGGATATTGGAAGGAAGCAGAGAAACGCGCGACATATACTCTTAATGAGTACGTTCGTGTGATCTCCTTCTCGAAATGCAATCGCCTTTGCCAATTTGTGCCAAGGGCGATAAAAATCGCCCGATAGCTACGATCTCTCGCTCCTTTGCTGTCTCTCTCCCCCTCTCTCGGTCGGGTTGACTCACGTTGCGCGTCTCCACGGGAGAACGTCTATGTCTATGCCGGGATATGTATGTCCTGACTTGGATCCTGTCGAATTGGTCGGATTTCTTCTTCACAACGCTGATTGGAGATCGATCGAGAAATCTGAGACAAAGAGAAGATACCAAAGAGAACTCGAATGGTTAGGGATTGATCGGAAAAGAAGTTAGGTGGTACACACAGCTGATTTAACGAATGTTCCACCTAGCGGAATTATTACACATTATCCCGAGGGTGAACGGCGGGGAAAGGTTTTTTTTTCAAAAATGATTTCTTCACACTTCCTTGAAACTACATTTTAATACAGTACTTATTACAATACTTACTACAATACTGCTTTTAGGAATAATACCGAGATGCCCGAAGTCTTGGTGTGGATTGTTTGAAGTCCTGATTACTGAATATTCGTCTTATACTACCTGCTTCTGTTCGTTTAACTATGTCGTTTCTTTAATCCAGCGATTTTACAGAAACACGTCATGTTGGGTTACAACATATAATCATTGTAATTACATGTAAAACAATCAGAAGCGTGGAAAGACTAGCATGAATCACCTTGACTCCACCCAAATAAGTCTAGGGTCAACTATTACCGCGGAGAATACCGGATCAAACACCGAGACCTACATTTCACAACTGACATATATGTATGTACTATGTCTCAAAGATAGCAGCTTCCGTCTACTTCCAGGACCTATACACACACACACACACACACACACACACACACACACACACACGAAGAAGACGATCTTTGCAAGGGTTCCATCGAACACCAATAACATACATCCCAGCAAGTCTAACACCCAAGCAGGCTCCGAGTAACTCTGAAAGGACACAGCATGATTCACTTAGTCTCCATTCTCTCCTGGGACCACTCTTATCATACCAAGGTACACACATCCAAAAACATCCTATCCAAACTCTGCATCTCCGTAACGGATCAATCTCTTCCATCAAGGTCATACCTCGTCGAGCCCCAGGAACGAACAGACAGCTCTCCTCTCACCTATACCAATTCATCTCGAGGACCTACTTGGACGTATACTCCGAGGTTTTCGTCAATAAGTCACATACATGCATACACACACATACACAATCATCTTGGTGTGTGTATATTCGAATTCTTCGGCTGGCTCACCAGGATGTTCTCCGTGCGGTGTCAGCGGCAGACATCCGCGACGTCGTCGACCTTGAAATCCCACGGGTCGGAGAACCGAGAGAGGTTTTGCCTTGGGTAATCGGTGCCGCGGACTCGAAAACTAGGCCTGCGCCTGCGGTGACGTCGCCGCGGTGCGTCGCGATGTACACGAGAAGTATCAAGCAAACAGCAGTGATGGGAGGGCGGGAGGAAGGCGTGCGTTCGCGGTAACGAAACAAATAGGCCGGCGACTTTCACCGCGCCGTAGCCGAGAACGGCCGCGAGACAGGCGAGAGAGCCGAGCGCGCGGTCCGCTCTTGGCCGAAACCGCTCCGTGTACCCTCGACTCGCCGCCGCCGTTCTCGTCCTCCTCCAACAGAAGGAGGTGGGGAGGGAGAATCCTGCTCGGCCGCGCGGAGCGGACACGAGGCACATACCCCGAGAGCAAACGGGCCTCTAGATTCTTTTTCTTTCGCGGTGCCGTGCCGTGCACGTGTGTGTCCGTCGTTGTCTCTTGTCTCTTTGAAACCGGCGTTCTACCCGCGAACTCGACTTCTTATAGTGGTGTGAAAACCACTTGCGCAGTAACGGATAGTTAATATACTCGAAAAACGGGGTTCCTACGTGTGTGTCACCATCTCTTCATCCGTTCCGTACATACACTTGCTAATATCATACCGTTACAGACCGTAGTCGCGGTGGTTATCCCGTGTACGATGTCCATTTGTGTCTGAAGATTGTGCAGTAACGGTTTTCGTTGGTGCGGTGAGAACAACCGGGGCTGTTGAAGCGATGCTAGAGCTGCTGGTGTTGTTCACACGATGACGCGACGACCACCAGCGGGACGTGACCTGACGCGGCTGTGCGCATTCGTCTGGCTGCTACGGTGTGTCCTGCCCGCTGGGACCGGTACGACGACCTATGGTTACTAGATGCTCGCGTGTGTGATTTTTCCGTTGCTCCTGATGAAAGTGTAACGAGAGTGAAATTATGTGGGACGGGATCGCTACCATTCGTTGAAACCGATCACCTGTTGTTCTGTTCGCTGCGCTTCCGTTACGTTGGGGATAGGATTTGAATGCCGGGATGTGTGTGAGTTGTTTAGTGGTGGAGTGAGTCTCGTGTTGCACCGTGTGCTTAAGTTATGCGAGTAGATGTTTGCACGCAGTAGGTGCAGCAGGCACACGGGGATCCGAGGATGGTGTGTGTCTCTGGAGGTTCGAAAGTAGGCCTTGGTATGGACAGTGTTTGCAGATTGGTTTTTTCGTTTGTCTTCAGTGTGTTAATGTATATACTTATATACAGACACACGCTATTACTGGATTTCTATTGCAATGTATGCGTACATTACCATATAGCCGATGTTTAAATGCGACAAACGCGGAGTTTCGAGGGTAGTCGCCCGGAGATTTGAAAGTGATACTTTTGTGATACTTTTCGCAGATGGAAATGAATTTTTATGATTCGTTTCACAGAGAGAATTCCGCAACCCGATGAGAAAGTCAATCCGCGTGTAGTCTTTGCCTCTGGATATAGTAAAATTGGTTATCACTTGTTGTTGAAAGTTTCAATCAGAGAAAGCTGGTGTCGTCTGTTCTACATTCATTAACGTGCTAATTTCCAATATGCTTTCGGCGATTTTATGCTTGTTTAAATTCTCTTTTTTAGGGACAAATTTCGTGTGTGTTTCTTTTAGGTTCAGGTACAGTTGGATTCTGTGGTAGAGGCTAGGTGCTCTTTGGGTAATTTAGAGTGATTTCATTGAATTTTACGATGCGTGTAGTCGAAGCTCGTTGTTCCAACTTGCCTCTGTCGGTTACATTTCAATTGTGCTTAATTCAGTGTTTCTAACCAGATTTTGCAATACATATCAAGGTGAATCACTTCAGTTTCTTACAGTTCAGGTCCCCTTGAAACTCACAGAAATTCTCACAAATATTCCAAAATTTAATGTAACAAGCGACTTCATTAGCGTTTACGAAGCACATGCATTCTATTGTGTTCCTCCACGAACATTTCTATTCGCGATTCGATAGATCGACAGCCGGATCTCCTCGGGTATCTAAGCTCTACGATCACCACTAATTTATGTGCACAACAGATCTATACGAACGAATTAGCATTGCCCACGATATTATACCAATTGATCGATCGACGGGTGATTAATGTGACGTGGACGATCTTGAACAGTGATCGATCAGGTCGTCGAATATCTTGGTTCATTTGTTTATTCTTCAATCTGAAGATCTGTATAAGTTTGTGGATTATTTTTTGGCCAAACTTTATTCGAATAATACATATAGTAAAACTGGCGGTATCCAAGGTCATTATACAGATTTCTAAACTGAAAATTGATATTTTTGCATATTATTTGACACATATATTACATAAGTTTACAGTGAGAAAAAAGATTTCCCAGAAGAAACGTTTACCCCTTTATTTAGATTAGACGCATTTGCCCATCTGTGATGCTCGCTTAACGGTTGCTAAACGAGGACGATCCTGAAAGTCTCCCTACATACTTAGTCGTCGTCGTCGTCGTCGTCGTCGTCGTTCACTTTCGATTTTTCGAATAATCACTGGTCATTTGCTTTCCTCCGCTGGAAATTGTGCTTTTTTGGGCGAAGTACCAGATTTTTAGTACGGTTCTTCTCTTCCAGGGGTGCTTACACACAGTTACGCGGATAAACAGCGGTACGATGGATGGTACAACAATCTGGCCCATCCGGATTGGGGATCGATCGGCAAGTACTCCAGACTGCTTAATCCTTTTATACCATATTCATTCAATCTCATTGGCTCCTTTAATGTACTCACTTTCGTGCCGTTGCAGACGGAAGAATACGTGAAATATTATATTAAAGAGTATTAAAGACTTAACATTCACAACAGTCAATGAAGTGATTAAGCCCTTGAGGGATACTGGCACGTATGTGTACGTTTAGTTTTTCTTTCATTCAAGTATTATTGCGAAACTGTAAACGAAATATTCACTAGGAAATTTTCATGCACAAGTGATGAAAGTAGATTAACACCCGTACAGGTGCCTGATTATGATTATTTTGTTTTGTAATTTTTTTCTCTGGTCAGTGTGTATGACAGAACGAAATAATTTCAATATTACGAAAGTGGTCTAATTGTATGTGAAAAATCTAAAAAAATTAAACGCATCACTTATTTGGTGTTACATGGATTTACGTTACAATAATATGAAAGCATTTTTACAGAATATTTCATTGACTCAGGCCATTTTTATAATCATCGGCATAATTAGTTAAGGCTGGATACCCTGATCGGTAGGAACTATGAATCGATATGATTTTACCATAGTATATCCTTGACGCAAAACTCAATTAATCGAGTGTTCACGAATCGATAATCGTGTGACAGGTGAAAAAAAAAAGAAAAAGACGCATAGAACAGCTGAGAATAACCCGGTAGTGTGAAAGATGTTACGAGCCTCATCAACAGATGTGTGTTATGATTGTTTAAGCACGGAAATAGTAGAGAACGTTAATCGGCAATTTTAGAATAATCGTAAATCGAGAAAATAAAAGAAGAAAAGACAGGTCGTAAACTCCTGTGTAATCGTTTGTTTCCGTTGCACGGTACGGATTGTACAAGATGTTTCCTAATATGTGGGCTTTGTAACAAGCTCGTGCGTTGCAAGTGTTCACCCTTGAAATTCTAGCCGCACGTTACGAAACACAGTGGACACCGGAGTAAATCTTGAACTTTGACAACTTCGGATCACGTAAAGAAATATTTTCACTGAAATTGTAGTTATTAGACTGTGGATTCCGTGCATCGGTAGCATATTTGTGTTGCCTGAAGCTCAATTTACTAAGAAATGCAGCAAACCAATGAGTGGTTTTAGGGGCTCTTTTGGTAACTTTTAATATTTTCTTTTTTATTTATACATATATCTCACTGAAGTGAGTGTCTTGACAAAATTATGCAGTGCTGGCGTACGTGATTGTATGGAAGTAGACTAGGCGAATAAATAGACAATATTTCATTTATGTTGTCCATTTAACATGTCCCCTATGAACATGGAAAGTTTAAAAGAAAAAGAAAATTAGAATTTTTAGATTATCCAACGTTCCCGTGTGAATTCGTGACAATATTGACATGGCTCTCGTACCTCCGTAGACAGCAGGCTGATAAGGAAGATGCCAGCGGCGTATTCCGACGGGGTCTACATGCTGGCTGGCCAGGACAGACCATCCTCGAGGAGGCTCAGCCAGCTGTTCATGCAGGGCGACGACGGTCTGCCATCGGTAAAGAACAGGACAGCGTTGTTTGCTTTCTTCGGTGAGCAACCGTACGATAACGAAATTCGTTATTAATTACTAGAACAACAATACCAACAAAGTTATACCACTACCGTACGCCAGGTTAAATTGCACGCTATCGAACTCATCGAGAAAAATCGAAACTGGTAGTGTTCGGTTAATGGACAGTTGACGAGGGATTAGGATTAATGCATCTGATAAAAATCCACGGATCGTTTATAAAACCGATGTTTTATCACTTCCCTTGTACGCTTTGCGTATTTCCTGTCGTGGTCTCCTCTTTTAATCACCCGTCAAAAAACCCTTTGGAATTCTGAATATTGCCTGTCGATATGAGTCAACCGGGCCAGAATCGGCCAAAAACCATGATGCATCATCGGCGAGAAATTCTCTATTGCGCAGAAAATACATATTTTGGAATGGGGGGAATTACGAGACGAGTCTGCCGGCTCTGTTCGTCTCTTGCTCTCCGCATTCCGATGATGGAAATGTTCGTGCCCAACAGGATCTCGATTTGTACCGGGAAGTGACGTTCGTCATTCACAAACTTATCAGAGAAAACGGTCATGGATAGAGGCTGGAATTCTGGATCGTGTATTATGGTCAATCCGAATACATATCCGTATTGTGGGCGTGTTGCGCAAAGCCTCGAGTGTCCGGGTTGGAAACGAATGCATAACGTTCGAATGATTTCAGCCGATTCGACGATAAGTTAGTGGGGTTCAGGACCTGCAAGAATCATTTGGAGCAACTAGGGAAATTTAGTTGAGGCCTTATGAATTTTTTTTTCAAGAATTTTGCAAATTCAATTGTTCATCTGTTCGGTGTATTAATTATTTTTTAAAAGAAGACAGAAATTTCTACGTTCGTTCTTGTCATTATGAATCACGAACAGTGGTTTTGCCTTTCAAAAATCCGCGGTACGAAAGAAACGATCATCGCGATCTAGACAGACAGGAGAGCGGCACGTGACCGAGCTCGAGTTGCACGGCTTTCCTGTCGAAGCCCTCTCGTAGGAAGGCTGAGGCCTTCGTGGAACGGGCCCGTGGAAAGTCTGTCCTCGTCGAGGAAAGTAAAAACTGGGACGCTCCGGGCCGAATTCCGTCTGTGTGCGTGCTTTCTGGATGTTTGAGGAAGCGGTGTTTCGTCGGTCACGTCGCGACTACCAAACTCCCCCTCCTCACTGTGTGTGTGTGTGTGTGTGTGTCTTCATCGTATTACGGGAATGATTTCAGGGCAGCTGGTCACGTCGGAAATCATCATGGCCAGCGAAAGCGGCTGCCCCATAGAGTACCATCGGATCGACGTAGAGAAATGCGATCCGGTGTTCGACAAGGAGTGCCATGGTAACAAATACATCCCCTTTCGTCGCGCGGACTACGACCGCAGCACCGGGCACAGTCCGAACAGTCCCCGCGAACAGGTAATTTCCTTGCTTTACACCAATAGTGGCGTTCAAAACTACGTATGTACACATATAGCACTGCGTGAACCTTCGAAAAATTATCATTTTTTCGGAATTTTTTTTCTCCAGTGAACTAAATGTTCAACATGAATGACGTGTTGCCTATTTATTAGTAGACTTATTAAGACTTAAATCGGGGCCCTCCTGGAAAGTGGTGCCCGAGACAACAGCTTCCCTAGTCCTCCTCCCCTAATCAGGCGGTGACGTTGTCCGTTTCGTAGACCTTGATGTGAACTCGATGAATCGAACAAAAGAGATTCTTCAGTCCGATTAAACGCACGCACGGCGGTACAAATTATTCGAGTGGTATCATTATTATTAACGACGGGGGAAAGTAACGCGTGATTAAGAGCTCCATAAAGTGTCTCTCTCGGTGTGCATAATGATATTCGCTGTCGAGCGAAATCGGCTACTAAACGTTTCCCCCGATAAGGGTGCCATTCGAACACATCAATTTTCCGTTTCCAATTAGATTCGTACTGTCTCTAAATAGAAAACTGTAATTTCGATCCATTTTATCCATTTTCTGTCGCGCGATCTATAAATAAACGAACCGTCATTTACAGTGGGTGATGAAATTCTTATGAACAGACAGAGAAATCGTATACTTTATGGTTTCGGTGTTAATATGACTTCAATAATAACGAAGTATATCCTTTCTTTCTTTTTCTTCTTAACATATAGATACACAATTTAATTATATTCTGGTATGTTCAGAAGACAGTATTAGAGTAAAACGCATATTTGTACATATATATATATAAAAATATATCAGTAAAAACCTAACAACACGTTCTGTAGACAAAAGAAGGTATTATTATAAGTGTATTTGCAATTCTGTTCTTGATCAAAATTCAAGCTGGTACTTCATATAACATGTGATACATTTCTCTCTGGGAAATAAGTCGTGAAAAGTAGCTCTGAATACGTGAGGTTCCAGATAAACAAAGTGACGAGCTGGATCGACGGAAGTTTCGTCTACTCGAGCAGCGAGGCGTGGGCGAACACGATGAGGTCCTTCAGGAACGGCAGCCTTTTAATGGAACCGACCAGGAAGTTCCCTGTCAGGAACACGATGCGCGCACCGTTGTTCAATCACGCGGTACCCCATGTGATGAGGATGCTGAGCCCTGAACGTCTCTATCGTATGTTTTCTCGTCTCCACATTTTTATTTTCATCGTCGTGCTCTGCGACGTTTTTTCTTTTTTCTTTTTGTAACCAGTAGAGATTGTTTAGTACTCGGGGATCCGAGAACGAACCAGCATCCGCCGCTTTTGGCACTGGGGATTTTGTTTTATCGATGGCACAACGTTATCGCCGCTCGGATACAACAGGAACACCCGGACATGACCGACGAGGATTTGTTCCAGAAGGCGCGACGCATTGTTGTGGGAACGCTTCAGGTGAGAGGTGTTGAATAGACAGAATTCGATTTGAAAAATCTATATAATTAAATTAAAATAAAAAAAAAAAAGACTTCGCCAATGAATGAACAGTATTAAATAAATGAACACTTGTAACCAATGGCGCGAAAATTGTTTGAATATGAAAGAAGGAATTAAAAAAAATCAATATTTAATCGTTTGATTATTTTAATAACTAAATTTATTCGTTTTTACGTATAATGTTCATTCACTGGTACGTGTTCATTTACAGGTGCATCCACCTTACTTGGTTCGTTTTCATTTTAACGGAAAACTACGTAAAGTTTAAAACTTTTAGGGTGGTTTTAATAGTTACGCCACGCAGTATTTAGTGCTACTATTCGATTTTGTAAAAAACCTTTTGTGATGCGTTTGTAAGGGTTTGCAATCGAATTGACGAACATCGGTATGAATCGTTTCATCTCGGTGAAACATGTTCGTGTAGCTTATGTTACTTGCAGCGACATTTAACAAACCGTAATGACACGAACGCATCCTTTCTGGACTGGCGTAAACTGTCGTCTGAGTATTATCAACGACGTAATTCCATATTATTTCCCATTGTAACTGTACATCCTCGCCGTAACACGATAGACTAATTTTATATTGTACTCGGATACTTGAACGTGGAATCGCAAAGCGTGCCGTTCGTTCTGTGAAATCCCTAAACGGCCGTATTTGAGAATCATTTCCTGTCGTTTTCATTCACAGAACATTATATTGTACGAATACTTGCCGATGATGCTGAACGAGGAACCGCCACGTTATTCGGGCTACAAGCCGGACCTTCATCCGGGGATCAGTCACATATTCCAAAGCGCTGCTTTTCGTTTTGGTCATACCCTAATACCGCCCGGTATATACCGTCGCGATGAAAATTGCCAGTTTAGGAGAACCAATACCGATCAACCGGCGATCAGACTTTGTTCCACATGGTGGGACTCGAACGTAAGTCCTACATAAATCCTGAAGGTACCTAATGGATGGATATCTTAGTGATCTCAGATGTTCCATAATTCTGATATTCTTTAATCCACCTGATCAACAGTTCGTAACGATCTTCCGTTTCGCAGGAAGTTCTGACAAACAGCACGATCGAGGAGCTCATCATGGGTCTCGTATCCCAGATAGCCGAGAAAGAGGACAATCTCCTCGGGCCGGACGTTCGGAATAATCTCTTCGGACCGATGGAGTTTTCCCGTCGAGATTTAGGAGCGTTGAACATTATGCGCGGAAGGGACAACGGGCTTCCCGATTACAACACCGCTCGGGCACAATTCAAGTTACCACGGAGAAAAACATGGAACGAAATTAATCCAGAACTATTCAACAAGAATCCATCGTTGCTGCGCACCCTGGTGGAAATACACTCGAACAATCTGAACAACGTCGACGTGTACGTCGGCGGGATGTTGGAGTCCAGCGCAGGCCCCGGTGAACTGTTCTCCGCGGTGATCAAGGAACAGTTTCTTCGTTTGAGGGATTCGGATAGATTCTGGTTCGAGAACGAGGAGAACGGGTTAGTGGTCTCGATGGGAGGACCCATCGTGGTACCATTCACGGCGATGACTTTCGGGTCCTAGCAGACGGAATTTTTTTTCATAAATTATATCGTGAACCCTTTCGCAGAATTTTCACCAAAAGCGAGATCGAGGACATACGTCGTGTTACCATGTGGGACGTGATAGTCAATGCGACTACGATCCCACCGGATGCTGTACAGAGAGGAGTGTTTGTATGGGTGAAAGGAGATCCTTGTCCTCAACCGTATCAGCTGAACTCAACGATGCTGGAACCATGCGTTCCGTTGCAACGTTACGACTATTTCGAGGTGAACGGTCGTCCATCAAATTGCATTTTAACCTTCGAGGACTACACTGGGTTTCTTCGGTCACCCAGTCCGTCCGAAAGACACCTGACATTTCTGAATGGTAAAGGACGGGAAGGATGGGGCTGTGATGTTATATCAAATTACTTATATATTCTTTTTCCTTATTCTCTTACGAATCCATTGAAACAAAAATCTTTAAAATCGGTGCCTAATCTTGCTGTACAACACATCGTGCAATACTACATTTCTCTTTCTGCTTTTCCAACAAGTTTTATAACTTTGCTGTGTAACGTGTTTTATGTTACATAGCGTAGACGCTGCTTAACCAATGTATGTACGTGGTCGAATCGGAAATACAGTCTGGTCTGCGAGGATTAACGCGATATAATAATTTAATTTTTCATTGGACAGATCAAGAGCGTTATTTATGCGTGTACTTTCAACAGGGGAGCGAGTTGGTGTACATATACGCTTGTGTGTTCCTTGGCTTTGTGCCGATTCTGTGCGCCGGTGCTGGTTACGGTCTGGTGAAATTGCAAAATCGACGTCGCAGACGTCTGAAGATCCTCCAGGAGGAGATCCAGAAGCGAAACGACGGGAAGATTTGCGTGGACAAGATGGTCGTGCGCGAGTGGCTGCACGCGAACCACCGTCGTCTGGTCAAGGTGAAATTCGGCCCGGAGGCAGCGCTTCACATCGTCGACCGGAAGGGGGAGAAACTGCGCACCTTCGATTTCAGCGACGTGAACACCGTGACCATGGAAGAGTCTCAGGTGAATTGCGGCAACCCCGTCTTTTTTTTTTCACTGTTTCATAAAACTTTCGCGGAATCTACTTCAAGAGATCTCGAACGGAACCGTTTGCGCAAACGTGCGCGGTCTTTGGTAAGGAAAAAAAAAATTGAACGCACGGGGAATTTATTCGTCCGCGGAGAATTCCTCATGGAATAATTTTTAAATTTAAATTTTACATTCGACCGGGTCGTTGCAAAATACACCGGTAAACTTTGTGTAATTCCACGCTTTCGTGAACAGAATTTATATTCTCTTGCGTCACGCGGGGGAATCGCAACGGTCGAAATAATGATTCGATTAATCCACAACTAATGGGGGAATTCTCGCAATGATGTTCTGAAAGTACACAGTTGATTATCATACATTATTTTGCGCACCAACCAAATAATTGGGAAGTCGAGTATAGTCGAGAATGGTTCGACCGTTCTGTCAATTCGTGTGAGCAAATCAAGGTCCTCGACGTTATATGGAGGTTAGGCGCATAGATTTAATCAGTAAACCTTTCGTTGCATTGTATAATACCTTATATAAAACACATAAAGAACGGCCATTCATTCGGAATGCGCGTTGATATTGTTTCTCCGGGGGGATTGGCATCTTGGGTGTCCCCTTTGTAACAATGACTTCCTTTTTAGGAGAATGAGAATGGTCATCGCAAGGCGTTGGTACTGCTTCGTATACCGCGGGACTACGACCTT